TCAGCCACACTTCAACAGACAGCCAACAGTTGAACAGATCCGGTGTGCATTTCAAGAGCGAGAGTGGGAGCGGGAAGGGGAGAGAGTGAGACGACAAGCGTACGCTCGACACGCGAGTTCCATTTGAAAGAAAGCAGCGATAATAAAAACTTGAACCGCACTCGCAGTCGCAGTCGCAGTGGCAGCTCCTGCCAGCGCCTGCCCTCCCGACTCGAGCGGTACGCGTCACTGGTGGCCGATGCCGATGTCGACGTCAGCGACTGCGACAGCGTGCGAAAGTGAAATCGAACCTTTGCTGCCGGCGTTTGCGCTTTTTCAACAAAAACAACAACAACAGCAACAACCACAGCAGCCGGTTTCAAAGCCTAAGAGGGGCGCGACTGTGTCTGTTGACTGGGGCGGCAAGTGGCTGACAAGTGCGCCCGCTTGCCGCCGCTCGCACCACTGTCTTTAATTAACAACAACAACAACAAAATGAACAGATTTTAAACAAATTTGTAAAAGTTTCATATTTATTTTTAAAAACGACTGCACATTGCTGAATGAAAATTCAGTTTCTGTTTTTGTATCCGCGGGGCGTAAGCGCGCACCGCTTTTTTTTTTGTTTTTTTTTTTTTTGTTTTTGGCTCGTGGCGGTCGTTGAACTTTGTCCGATTGAAACGCCTGTAAAACGCTTGACTTTCGTCACTAAAAATTTGCATTCGCGCAGTGGAGCGACCAATCAACCGATCTGCCTGCCGATGTGCGCACAATGACAAGGCACTTTTTGCATGCACTTTATGGGTTGATGGGTGGGTTTCGTGATCGTCGTCGTCGTCGTCATCGTCATTCATTTGATTTCCATAACAGGCGCCACCTTTCGCTTTCCTTCCCGCACCACCCCACCGTTCGGCAGCATTTATTTCGGGATCAGGGTTATGACTCTATTTTTAAGGTGAGCGTCTGGCCGACGCCTTATCCAACTTCCACAATTAACTTCAGTTTTCGCCCTCAGCTCAAACGAGATACAATTTTCCAGCTATTGTTTAGAGGTTTATTTCTATTTTGGAAATATATAATTGAATAAAATGTATGCACTGTGGATGCAGAAACATATTAAGGGCCTTTAAAAATTAAAAAATGATAAAAATAACTAAAAGTATTGGCGCTTTTTCGCCCTTAGCTCCAACGAAATACAATTTTCCAGCTATTGTTTAGAGTTTTAAAAAAACGAACCTTTAGCTTTCATCCTTATTTCTGGATCAGGGTTATGCCTCTATTTTGGAAATAGTATATACATAATAGAATAAAATGTATGCACTGTGGCTGCAGAAACATATTAAGGGCCCTTAGAAATTAATAAATGATAATAATAACTAAAGGTATGGGGGCTTTTTAACCCTTCTACTATTTGTCCAAAAGTACAACAAATTATAGTTTCGTTATATTTCAAAAAAGGAGGAGATTATTAAATTCATTTTACTTTTAATATACTTCAAAGACTTTCAATGATTATATATTTAGAATAGTTGTGGAATTTTACTGATAATTAGTGCATAGTATTTTTCAAATTTCTTATATTTTTCGCATACGTTGAAAAATTTAGATGGTTCTGATACCCTCCTTGCTATTTAAATGTTTTCCGCTATTTGTCTGATATCCATATCGCACCTTCTATATGCATTATCATATTCTTATTAAAGTATAATAATATATGGGCATTGATGGGTATATTATATATTTGACGCGAACTTGTCCATTCAACAATTTTTATCTTTTTAATTGTCTTAGTACCAAGTATGACTAGGATATGTGAATTAGTGTGTGTTTGGCAGCTAATTATTTACTCATAACGGGAAAAGTTTGCCTGGAGGTTCTTGAATTATGGCTGCAAAATCATTGAAAATATTGCAAAAATTTATTGAGGAGTCTGCTCAGAACGAAAATTGAATTAACAATTTCTTCTATCAAAAGAAGCATATTTGTAATGCGATACTGAGAATTTATATTTAAAATTTTTAAAAATGGTGTAAATTTGGTGGAATGTTAAAAGTAAATAATTATTACTATTTATGTATGGTGAAATTTAATTATTTCTTCAACGGAATTTCTATATTAATAATTCTTTAAAACTAAAATAAAATCATAAAACAAATAAAACTGCATTAACAATTTCTTCTATCAAAAGAAGCATATTTGTAATGCGATACTAAGAATTTATATTTAAAATTTATAAAAATTGTGTAAATTTGGTGGAATGTTAAAAGTAAATAATTATTACTATTTATTTATTTTGCAATTTAATTATTTCTTCAACGGAATTTCTATATTAGTAATTCTTTAAAACTAAAATAAAAGAATAAAACAGATAAAACTGCATTAACAATTTCTTCTATCAAAAGAAGTCTATTTTTAATGCGATACTAAGAATTTATATTTAAAATTTTTAAAAATGGTGTAAATTTGGTGGAATGTTAAAAGTAAATAATTATTACTATTTATGTATTGTGAAATTTAATTATTTCTTCAACGGAATTTCTATATTATTAATTCTTTAAAACTATAATAAAAGAATTGATTTCTTTTAACATACTATAATATAAGTACATATACATTTATTCTAAACATTTTCCGATAGTTTTCTCATTACGCTAATTTATGACACTGCTGGGCGCCAATTGGCTAATTGTCGGAATGGGCAACCATTCCATCAGATAATGCAAATCGCACATGTATCTCAAGAAATATGCAGTTTTAATTAACTAATAAGCTCGCTGGCATGCGCAGCTGACGGTGGCACAACAAGATACTAAGTATATAGACGCCACACACAGGATTCTTAAGACAGTCGACGATGATAAAATTATGATTATACGAATAGCTCAATCATTGGTCCATATGTATACTCGTGCTATTTAAACGGGCGTTGCGCGTAATTAGCGCAATATATCAATTACTCTGTGCAATATACATATTTAAATATTACGTATACGCCGAGGCGCGCGCGCGCCTTTCAAGTGTTTTCATTATAAATCATTTATTCAAATTGTGTGCGGAAAGCAGACGGCTGGTCAGTAGTTAAGTCTTGTATATAGACTGAAGGCAGAGGCGGCCAAGCTGGCGGGTCAGTTTGTCGCCCGGTGCGGCGTCAAACAGCTGATCGACTGGCATGCGGTTTGTTGTCTCTATAACGTCTGATAACGCCTATAACGGTGACATTTGAATGCACTGTGGCCTGAAAGTCAGCTATTTGCAATGTTTTCTCTTTTCCAATTGTATCTTTGTTTATGGAACTGTCCCTAATGCGACAGTTATTCAATATGATAATATCCTTCAGCTTTAAAACCCCCTAATTTTAACAAAGTTTGAAAAGCGAGAAACAATTGAGAAATATAATTGTTTTTTGTTTACAGTGCAGATGAAATAGAAATCTTTGAAATGCCATTAAATGCATTTATTATTTGTCATTTAAGCTGAATTCTATCTTCTGCGAGCCATGCTTTTAAATTAGAGAAGAGAAAAATATCGTTGGGTCACGAGAATTAAAGATGAATGTGTCGGTTATCGTCAGGGAAGAGGACTTTTTTCTCAGCCAAATGGAGCCGTGTTCTCTTCAATTTCTTATCAAATCGATCCAACAGCTCACTATAGTACTACCCTGCAAAAGGTCCATGGGGATATTTCATTAGGAATCACAAAAAATCCTTGACCTTCATTTGGCTTTACTATTTCAAAGCTCATTTGAGTCATATGTGTCCCATTTAGCAATAATATTAGGATTATAAATCCAAATATCAATTGAATTATCAATGTCTTGTCTTTTATTAATTGCTATTTGCATAGCTATGAGTTACAAATAAAACTAATTGTTTTTTAAAAAAAGTACATCAGCATATCCTTGCAACAATTTTCAAGAAGATAGTCTGGGTTATGACCTTTACTGCCAAATATACAATTTTGTATAAATAATTTAGACATTTTCTTGGACGTATTGCCTCAATAGTGCAGAAAGGGTTATTTTATACAGCAAAGTAGATCCAGTACTGAATGCCATAGGTCCGCACCGGCTTTAAAATTGCCTTGAACAGGAGCAGTATAGCTCTCTCAGCTTAGGGAGTAATTGAGGCCCACAATGTTAGACCAATCCAGGATAAGACCCATGTACTTGTGGTTTTAGTCATTCATTCATTTCATTTAATTTTTAGTAGCAATTTTATTAGCTGCTAAGAAATTTGTGCCAAAATTTTACATGTCACCATTTCGGTTTAGGTATTAACGCGAATTTATTGGAATCTTAATATTTTTCTCAATCAATATTATATTATATTATTTATCAATCAATATTATATTTATTTAAATGTTTTTAAAACCAATATTGAACGAAACTAATATTTTTTATTTAAAAAATTTGCGAAAATAAAACCGTTTTAGTCAAGATTCAAACCACTAACAGTAACTTACCACGCTGTTAGGCAAACCTACCACTTCGTGGGGCAAACTTAACATGTGGTAGCTTACTAGATGGTGAATTTTATTTTTAAAAACTATCTAAGGGAAGGATATATGTACTCGACATGGCATACAGTGAGTCACAAAAGGAATGGCACACCCATTATTTTTGAATAGATTTTCTGATACGATTATATAAAAGTAATTAAATAAATTATAAGAAAAACACTAATACAGGTTGCAGTGATACAGTTTTTAAAGTTTCACAGAAACTAGGAACCAGAAGCTAATGCTGCAAAATTTAAAACTTGGGCTCGATAGTTGTTGTCAAAAAATTGCATTTATTTTTCTGCCTGATTATTTGTATTAATATATTTTAGTTTTATGTATTAATTAATAATTTATTTAATTGTAAATAAAAGGAAGCCAACAATACGTTTCCTTCGCATACATCATTAATATGTTAGTGCATACATAATAATTCCTTGCGATTTGAACTTGAAGCGAGGGCGGTGCATGAAACAGCCTTATTAAGTTAATCCTTCCCTATTACAGTAATTAACCTCGTCGGCTTAACGTAAACTTGTACAACTTTAATGCTCGATACTCTAATACATATACAAACACATACATACATAAACAATATGGGTGCTAGATTGGGGGATTATAGGGTTAATACACAACTACAAAGTACATTTTGAACGCGTAAGGATACTAATGGAGCTTATGGGCGTGGCTGCCACACGCTGGGATTTGTGTGGAATGTTTCTAAAAATAATTGTCGCTAATTAACATCATTGTTGTTGCTAGCTTTCGCATATTTGTGTTGCTATTTCTGCGGCTGTTCTTCATTTTTGTTTTTCATTATAAATGTATCAAAATTTGCATCGTGGCGCCTGTTCTTTTTCGTTTTGTTTTTAGTTACTTGTTGCGTTATAAATGTATAAAACGTTCTATTGATGTTGTTGTTTCGGTGTATAAATGTATAAAAATTGCGATTTGAGCTAGTTCGATGGTGTAGGTTACTTTTGGCGCGCACTGTGTTCGGCACACGCTCGTGTCTAGAAAGCGTCGTCCAGCTCCACAACGGACATTCTGAGATCAGAGACAAGCGGTAGCTACTGGGTCCGGGCGATCATGTCCAGGCCACCCTCCTCCTCCATTTTGGACAGGAACTTGACGACGCGATGCTGTGGATCCGATTGCCGTGCCATGTCGATGAGTCCCAGCAGCTTCTTGATGCCAATGTAGACACGCTTGCCGGCCATATTCCTAGCAATGCTCATCAATTCATCGCGAGTGAAGAGCTCTGCATGCTCCAAGACGCCGAGCACATGCTCCGGACTGGACAAGTTGGGCACATGCAGCACAGAGGTGAAGGCCGAGAGCATTTCCATTTCCTCGAGCACTTCGCGCCGACTGCTGGTGCACAGTATGAGCAGTTTACGACCCTTTGGAGGCTGTTTCTTGAGCAGCACGAGCAATGCTTGTAAAGTCAGATTCGAGTAACGTGGACCGATGGGTCCGTAGTCCAGCAGACGCTCCACATTGTCCACCACAATGCAGCTGAGTGTGGAGCGATAGGCATCGTCGAAGATTTTACGTATGTGCAAGCACTTGGCGGACTCGGTAAAGCCAACCATGTCCTCGGGCGAACACACCTTGACGAAGGGGAAATCGGACATCTTGGCCAGTCTGGCGGCTAGCGCCGACTTGCCAGAATTAGGCGCCCCCTCAATAAGAACAGAGACAAGACCAGAGCTTTCGGTGGCCTTGGCCTGCTGCACATAGAGCATGCCATCCTCGAGGAGACTGGTGACGGGTTGGCCCCAATTGATAACGCCCCTGGACAACATGTTCTCCAGCATTTCTTGGGCCGTGCCAAATGCCGGCTTTATATCGTTCTCAAGTGCGTGAAGGAAATCCGACCTTGTTACCTTTAACTTCTCCATCGCTTCAGGATCCACGGTGACTTTCGTGTCCGCCTTAATGAGGCGATTCATGGCAGTGGATTGTGCCGCACGTACCAAACCCTCGAGTTCCGCACCGCTAAAGTTCTTAGTGATCGATGCAATTTCCTTATTATCGACATCTCCTGCGATTTTATTGAAGTCGCGCATGCGTTTTGTGTGTATATTGAGAATCTGGACGCGTCCCTGCTCATTAGGCAGGCTGATCTCCATCTGCACCTCCAACCGACCCGGTCGCATAAGGGCCTCGTCGATCATGTCCCTGCGATTGGTCATGCCAATGACCAGAATGTTGTTCAGCTGCTCCACGCCGTCGATCTTCGCCAGCAGCTGATTGACAACGGTGTCGTGGACGCCACTGTTTCCAGCTACAGATCCACGCGCTTTGCAAATCGCATCGATTTCATCAAAGATGATTATGTGCAGCCCACTGTTCGGTCCAAGACGCTTTTCCTCCTCCTCGGCATCGGCAAATAGCCGGCGAATGTTCGCCTCCGATTCACCCACATATTTGTCCAGAATTTGGGGTCCATTCACAATTTTCGGCTCTCGTGCATTCAACATGGTGCCTATTTGGCGAGCCATTAGCGTTTTGCCTGTTCCGGGCGGTCCGTACAGCAAAATGCCCTTCACATGCTTAATGCCCAGCTGTTCGACGAGCTCCGGTGGGAAAACACGCGAGGCAAAGGCGCGGCGAAAGATGGCATTGAATTCTTTGTCCAGGCCACCGATGCCCATCTTACCGAAGTCCCAATCGGGATTGATGATGGACTGTCGCACTATCTTGCCCTTCGATTTGCCCTGCAGATTCAGCACCGAGTTCTCGGCTTTCTCGAATTGCACCACCGTGTTGCCCAGAATGCGTCCAAAGCGCACGTTGCGGGTCTTTGGCTCCTTGCCATCGCCAATTGTCTTCGGATCGAGTGCCTCCAGTGTCTTCACAGCTAGTCCCAACAGCTTCTTATCCTTGAAACTAAAGACGAGCGTCTGCCCCACTGTCAGAGCCATGCCAGCGAACTGCATTATGAACTCTTTGGCCATTTCATCAGAGTCGTATGCCTCTTGCGTGATGGTCTTCTTTTGCAGAAAGTCCGTCTCGAAGGACACCTCGGTGATGATGTCGGAGTTGGCATCGAAACGATAGGGTCGCACATCGATCTCCTGGTTAATGGACAACGTGGCCCACTTGCGTTGCACCAAGGAGAAGCCCACTTGGCCACGTGGAAAATCCGCAATCTTCTCCAGCGCGAAAATGTAGTGCTGTCCAGGTCCAGGCGAAATGTCTGCATATCTATGAATAGTGGGAGGAACAGGGGAGTAAGCCGTCAATGTCATTTAAAGACAACAATAACAATAACAACAACAATCGCAAATGTACTAACTTGACTTCATCGGTGAAATCGGCAATATTGACGATCGCCTTGTTGGTCAGCGACAGTACGTCGGTGGGACATTTGGCTGCTTTCATGCGGTAGGCCATTTTCCTTGACTTTTCGTAGTGCTAGACGAATAATTTGTTGGATTTCAGCAGCACTTTTACTTTTCTACTCCGACCAGCGCGAAATTCTATTTCTCCCTTTTCTTGTTTGCTTCCAGCCACCACTCACAACTGACAACGCACACACTGACTCACAGCCGAACAGCTGATCGAAACCGTGATGTGTAGACCTGTTTGTACGCATGTATGTGTCGATGTGTGCGCACTGGAAAAACTGGAAGCGCATGCGCATTAGACAGATGACGGATAGCAGACGTTAGATTATTTCTGAAATCCCTTTTCAAAAACAAAACAAATTTCAATTGTAAGCCAATAATGAATGTCTTTTAAAAGCACAAGTATTTAATGAATTTACGATTTATTTATAATTCCATTATTTATTATTTATACTATTAACTAAAAATTCGATTTATAGGTAAGATATTCAGTAAAACGAATATTTGTGCTGAAGATTTTTCGTGTATCTCTAAAATCTACGCAACGACTACATAAAATGCCATAATTTTACAGTTAAAAGACGAATAACTCGACTAGATCTTTCTTTAATTAATTTTTATAAATACAAATGAAATTTTTGTTGCTGTTGAAAATCTTGAAACCTCGAAAGTTCTCAACTGTGTGGTTTTAATTTTTGACTCACATGTAACGACATATTTTATTTATTTGTTTTAAATATTTTTCAATATAATTTTTATCTTTCCTGATTCCATGATATGGGTTATATTAATCAATTGATATGAAATTAAGTCAGATATCTAAGAGCATTTAATATGAATGGGTTCTATATCGGGTAGGAGAGCTTACATCTGAAAAAGCTAAGCTCAAGATGGGTGTCGGATCGAAAGGAGCATCGTGTCATTGATTCAAAGAGAGAAATTTCGCCAACTTTAAGCATAATTCACAAAAGTTTTTGCATCGTTTCATACAAAATGCTTCAAGTAAAATGTGATTATCTTAGAAGATAAGTAGTTCAATCAAGAAGGAATAGAATTATGGCTTAGACTTTTTACTTAACTCGACTTCTGTTTGTTTTCAAAACTATTGTACCAGTATGTAATTATAATCTTAGAAGACTTTGGTTTTTCAAGGGCTAGAAGGGAAAAGTTTAGGTTTGTATAAAAATGTTAAACAGATTTACAATTTCAAAAACAATTATAATCTTTTAATGCAAAGCTAAATTTACAGAAAACGTCAACGGCACATAAAAATATCTCATGGAGCTGCAAAGCAACACATTTTTTAAGCCTGTTCCCAGGTCTGCATGAGTATTGGAAGAATCATGTTAGCTATTGTCCTTTTGTCGTGCCAGCAGCACGACATTCTCCAGCGTTACGTCGCGTGGCACATAGAATTTTAGTGCAGCATTATAGCCATGTTGCTGCAGATATTTCAGACGACCATGGTCCAAGACTCGCTTGCATTTGTAGCCGATTTCCTCGCGCTGCTCGCGACTTAGTCGTTGACTCGGTTGCTGTTGCTCTTCCGTATCCTCCTGCTCCGCTCTGGTCTTATCCTCGGCCATGGCCTTGCGCCGCTCACGACTCAGGCCAGTGCCACAAACCGCCCAGCTAACCATTTTGGTTATAATGACGAACTCTCTGGGCGTGATGCCAGTGGTTTGCAGCCACTGCTTGCCCACATAGGAGCGCCATTCGCAGCGATGATGACAGCAAAGCGCAATCAGTATGTAATCGGTGTTGGTGGCTTCCTTGCCCAGAACGCAGCGCAGCGTCAAGTCTGTCGCTGCTCCGCACAAATGTTTGGACAGCGCCACGTTATGTTGGGTGCGATGCAGCTCCGGTAACTGGGACATTTTGAAGTCGGCTATGTCGGCGCGTATGCGTTGCACCAGCTCCTTGTTGGCCACCTTATTGTCCTTTTTGTGACGCAGCGAGAGCCGATCCAGCAGCACAACTTGTGAATTCCCCAGCTGCATCGATTCCAGCACACTGGCAAGGTAATACGCAAGTTGCCCCTTGCCTGCACCAAATTCAATGAAGCTAGTGTTGCTGGCGAGCTGCTTGTCGTGTTCTAGGATGCCCAACAAGGCCGCTGTTTGTATTAAATGCTTCCGCGATTCCTGCCCATAATCTTCTATTTTAAGCTCCCTTTCCAGCGATTTGTGTTGCAGCTGCAGCTCGTCAATTGTATTCTCGATATGCTCTGTGTACAAACGGTTCACTTTGTCAATCACGCCATAGAATTCGCTGTCCTCCAGCTCGTGCAGCTTAAGTTTTTGGTAGTCTGCGAGTGCCACCTCATCTTCGGGCAGCAGTGCATCGCCGGCATTGATGCCCTTCTCTATATAAGGCAAGGTACTTTGTTGTTCGCGGGCATTGCAGATGCTGAGGTGTTTCTCCAGCTTACGCTTGAAGACCGTGTGGTTGGGATCCAGGGGGCAGGGAATGCGCTCTGCGTCGCTATTTTCTATTTCAGAGCTTTTGTTGGCGGGCGCATGGGCTCCGCAGAACTCGCTGCCCTTGTTTACGGTCATTTTGCAGTAACGCTTCTTGCGCTCGACCCAGTGGGCGCAGGTGGTCGTCGACTCGCCGGTCATCTTGGGTCGCTTAGCAGAAATTTCGTCGGCCATGCCATTTGAAATAAACAATTTGTTTTTATATATATATCTTCCACAACGTGCAACAGCTGACAAAATTCAAGAGATCTGGTAGCGCTGTTTGGTGTACGCAGCCCTTGCACTGGAATAAAATCAACGCTGCTAAGACAGTGTTGGTAAATGTGTACCCAAACAAACGCAAAACGAAATAAGAAAAGCCGCGCGGTGCAAACGTTTGCCAAGCAAAAAACCAAATTTTTCTTTACAAAAAATACAACTGTAGAGTAGAAAGACCCATTTGCGCTACAGTACACTTGCCATAAACTTTGTAACATGTAAGTAGTGGGGATTGCGCTGCAGACTATAATAAAATTATTATACCGGCGTGCATGTTTTTTCGTACACCTTTAACACACCAATACTAATGCAGAATTGTTTTACAGGGCGCTTGTTAAACCAAAATCAGAGCTCTCGCCCGAGGAGCTGGCCCGCCAAGAGGAGGAGGAGTTCAACACTGGGCCGCTCTCTGTGCTCACACAATCCGTCAAGAACAACACACAGGTGCTCATCAATTGCCGCAACAACAAGAAATTGCTGGGCCGTGTCAAAGCCTTCGATCGCCATTGCAACATGGTGTTGGAGAACGTCAAGGAGATGTGGACTGAACTGCCGCGCACCGGCAAGGGCAAGAAGAAGGTGAAGCCCGTGAACAAGGATCGCTTCATTTCAAAAATGTTCCTGCGTGGCGATTCCGTCATCCTGGTGCTGCGTAATCCGCTTGCTACTGCGGCGGGCAAATAATAGGGCGCCCCGCAAAGAAACAAATCAACAACAAAAATAGAAAGAAAACCACAAAAACAACCACAATCAATAAAACCAAACGCTATTCACTTTAGTTTAATTAAAATTCATGCACAAATTCAATTCAAACGCTCACAAATATTCATCCTTTTAAGACTCCGACAACTGGCTGTGAAGTGTGTGCACATAATCGTCGTACTCAGCCTGATAGAAATTGCCGGCGACTGGATTGCCCAAATGGTACTTTTCAGCGAATTTGGCGGCGCTGAATTTTGGACGATCGCGTCTAGAGCGGTTGCTCACGCTTTCCTCGTCGAATTGCAGTTTGCCGGGCTGTTTGTAAAGCAAGAAGACATAGCGATGCAGTCCAGTGTCCTTGGGTGGTCCAGAACCCACGTATTCGGCCAAAGCTTCACCGGCACTAACATCATTGCCAGGTATGTTGACCACCACCCAATGTTTGAATTCACGAAATTTGGGTTCGGCACGGCTGGGTGCATCTGGGTCGGTCATAATAAGTGTATAGTAGTCGGACGGGGCAGCAGTCCATTCGACTTTGGGTTGGTCCTTCACTTGCGTGGGAGTTAGTTCCACGCCCTCCTTGGCCTTTAATCCATTGCTGTAGCTGACCTTTGAACGGAGTTTTTCCATCAGTTTTTGTGAATTGCTGTTTGTTTTGAATCTTGAAGCTTTTACTTACCTCCAGAAACTGGTTTGGCGCTTGGGGAATGACGTCGGGAACAACTTCATGCGATTTGAATACCTGCTCCACAGAATTGGCCTGCACAGCCACAATGGCTGCCAGCAGTAGAGATAATAGCAGCATTTTCCCCAACTATGATAATTTTTATTTCTGTAACTGATCAGTCGAAACTAATGTAATTTCTGAAAGAATTGTGTGTACCCCAGAAAGAGTACTAAGTAGTTGCATTCAAAAAGAAATGGGAGATTTGTTTCCCTCGTCAAACCGTTTACAACTTACAAAATGTGTTCAAACTATCTGGATCGACCGGCCCGTGGAGAAGTCTGAGTGCAACTGAAACCAGTTTGCCTTGCCAGCTACGCTTTAAAGTTTCATTCAGGTCGAGGGTGAAGCTTTTTATCGAACTACTATTTTTCCATTGGCAACACCCAGTAAATTATTTTGTGTTCACCCGCCACGCTCGAATGAACTTTTATTCGCCAGTTTGCAGAACAATACTTCACAATTTTTGAAAACTAACAAAAAAAGACAATAACAATTATCAATCAAGTTGCTTGCTACTTCTTTCCAGAGAGCTGCTTGTAGAGCTTCGGCACGTAGTCATCCCACTGGGCCTGATAGAAATTGCCCGCCACAGGATTGCCCAACTTGTATTTGGCCACAAACTTTTCGGTATTGAAGTTAGCACGTCCGTCGCCACTAGTCTTGGGTATGCGTTTCTCGTTGCAAGTCAATTTCTGGGGTTGTTTGAAAATCAAAAACACATAGCGATGCAAGCCGGAGCCCTGCGGTGGTCCAGAGCCAACGTAGGCGCTCAAAACTTCGCCACTGGCGATATCATTGCCTGGTATATTCACAACTAGCCAGTGATGCCATTCCCGGAACTTGGGTTGCTTGCGACTTGGCGCGTCTGGATCGGTTAGCAGCAGTGTGTATAGAGCGCCCGGCTCGGTTGGCCACTCCACAGTGGGCGGAGCCTTTACCTGGGTGGGTGTCAGCTCATCACCTTTGTTGACCACCAAGCCCCCGGCATAGGTCACCTGCGTGTGCGTGTGTACTTTTAGTAAAAGGCCTGCTTCTGGGCTTCTCTATTCCACTTACCTGAGCCATGGCCATGGGCGCAGTTTTGACAATATCCGGTATGATTTTATGCTGCATGAAGCATTCGCCCGGTTCGCAAATGGGGGGTGCAGACATTTTTCACAATTGAACAGCCTAGCACAACAGATTGAGGCAATTTTTGCTTTATTTTGTTTGAAGAACTAGAGAGCTATGGCTTGCTTTGATTGCCAGGCTTTTCAATTAGTCTACACACTTAATGAACACATTGCTTATTGTTCACAGACTTTCGCATAAGTTGGCAGGAAAAAAAAGGGCAGAACAAAATATTTTGTTCTGTCCATGTATAGCTATTTTTTCCAATCAATTCTAGTGCTTCTATTGTGTTTGTTTTGTTGTGCTTTTCATGTGCCCGGTAGTTTTCCATTTTGAATTCGAGCTTAAAGTTTTCTAAGACAATTCCAAAAAGACTTAGTTAATTCTACAATTAGCAATTATTTACGATAACTATTAGGGGTTTTCAATAATTTGTTCAAATCATTTCTAGTGCTTCCATTGCGTTTGTTAAGCTTTTTATTTAAACAGTAGATTGAAAGAATAATTAAAATTAATAATAATTTAATTTTATTAATTTAATTTTGAAGAGAAATTCCATTGCAAACGAAAACTACTTGTAGTACTAGTAACTAGATTTCCGTGCCGTAATTTTCTAATATTTTTCCATTGGAAAGATTTTATAATTGGAACTTTAGGAAATTTAGATGCAAGCCAAATCTATTGTGGGTTACTTATTGGTATATTTAATTTGCTGCTATTTATAATAGCTATTATTATTTGATCAAATTGTAAATCTTTTTACATTTTCTAGGACTGTATATCTTTTGTGATGGAATAAATTGGAATATCCTTTATTCTCGGAGGGTTTCCAGATCAAATTATAAGTATATATATACCTATCAATTAAATATTTGGGGAACATTTATTTACTCGTAATTGTACAACGGTTGCATTCTTAATTCAGACTCCTATAACATGCGGTACGATAAGCTCTTGCCCTTGGCCTTCCCAAACGAGATGGCATCGTACAAGTTGGGCACATCTTTGCTCCAGGCTGCGGTGTAGAAGTTGCCCGCCACCGGGGCGCCCAACATATAGAGCTCGGCAAACTGCTTTGTGTTGAACTTGGGCCGATCGAGGGTATTGTGTTTGGCCATTGTGGGTATCTTAAACTTCATGTACTCGGGCTGTTTGTAGAGCAGGAACACATAGCGATGGAGGCCGCTGCCCTCGGGCGGCATGGAGCCCATATAGCCGGCACGCACATCGCCCAGATTCAGCTGATTGTCCGGTATATTGACCACCAGCCAGTGCAGGTACTCCTTTAGCGTGGGCGAATACCGGCTGGGCACATCGGGATCGACCATCAACAGTGTGTAGTAACTGTCTTGGGCTGCAGGCCAGCTAACCATTGGCTGGTCTCGCACTTGTATGGGTTGCAGTTCAATGCCCTTATCGGCTTCAATATTTCCTGAGTAGGTGACCTGTTTGCGATGAAATACGATTTAATTCGCTAGTTTTCAGGTCGTTTCAATGGCCGCTCATTTTACTGTACATTGAGGAACTCCTGCGGCCCTTCGTCTATCAAGTCTGGTATTACGTCTAGATTGCGCATAATTTTAGTGACTTCCGTTTCCGCGCCGGCAATGCCGACGATGCAAAGCAGGCAAAACCACTTCCGACAGCTCGGCCTCATCGTTTCTCCCTGATTGGAGTGCCCTGCAATGTTCTTCTCTTTAAATAGCAGTTCTTGAAGTAGCAGGCCATCTTCAAAACAAAACATCTGTCTAAAACGCTTAGTACGTGTTTTTGCTAAGTACAGTTAGCTTTGGGTTTGCAAAAAACAGCTGCGATTCAACAGAATTCATTATTCTGCCACATCTAAACAGTTTTTTTCAATTACAACATAAGTGGCTGGCAGCGTGTTTCAAAGTAATTTTCTGGCTGGGCTTGCGTGTTCAACGCATTTTCAAAATGAATATTACAATCAGTTAGTACCCCATTATCTTGACAAACCTCGAGTAGTAACAACGGATTGTGTCGCCGAATTATAAACCTACCCTTAACATTATATATTATTTTAATGGTATGCTATCTTCTCTATTTTGTTTATTGACAGTTCTTAAAAGTAAATTGTCAGAAACTATTTAAAATTATAGCTTTGAAAACATACGGAGGACTAATCGTAAACACAGAGCTTAAGAATAGGCATCGAATAAATAAACTAAAGTGTTTGTAAGGTGGTCAAAGGTGTTGTAGACGTTTTGAAGTGTTACTTTTTCCCCTTTCGAATAGGCAAATGCAATTTTCTGAAATACAAGAATACTCGAGGAATGGTTTTTGAGTAAAATTTGAGTTTGATTTTTTTGACGCCATAATTATTAATTTTTTTGTAATTTTTGTGAAACAGTGTTACCTTGTGCTTATAGCTCCGCTCCCATAAATCCGATTGTCATGAAATGTTTGCAGGATGTCGATAATAGATGTAGCTAAATAACTCTGTGATATGATTGCGATGTTTTTAAAAATTCCTCTTTACTTTGCAATGTGTCTTGTAGACGTCTTTTACCACTAAGAATTGATTATTCAAGTATTTCCGAGTGTGAGTGTTCCAAAGCACGGTTCGAACCACGCCTCAATTATCATCGCATCAAATGTTGATAATAATTCGCAATCAATTTAATAATTGACTAACCCAGGACAGATCATAATTAAACGATAACACTCTCCAAATCGTTATCCGTTGATCTACGATCGTTATCGGTTTAATTAATTCTATCGGCCACTAAATATTTCTATCGATCACTACATACAGGGTGCGCCATCTTTTATGTCGGTATGTAAATATTGAATAACTTTGTCATTAGTGAACCGATTGACTTGAGTAGACCAATGTTAAAAACCTCAGTTCAAGAAATTGTACAGAACCAAATTAAATAAAAATATATCATACTTGAAAATCGGCTGTTTATTTTCAAAGATATTCAATGTTTACATACCGACATAAAAGATGGCGCACCCTCCATTACTATCGTTACTTACTATCTACAATACAATGGCATGACCTTCTCAATGAGATGATAAAATATTCTAAAATATTTATTACAGTATCCCCACAAGCCTTTGTAAATTTTTAAGGGCCTACAGAGCTGCAAAGTTTGTTTATAAAGCCAGAAATGGTGTCCTTGGGAACCTTATTAAGGTCCTTCATACTTGTATGTGTATCAGCATAGTCATTGGCTCTAAAGGGTGTTTACAATTCGATGTCAACTGTCACTTTAAAAAAAAGAGGTGCAGCCCATGCATGTTTTGATGACCGCTCTGAACCAGCGATTTAGCACAATTCCCACCCACAAAGCACGCAAAATGAAAAACGAAAGCTAAGTTTTCAATTTTTGCTTTTTAATAAATTAAATAAATAATAATTCAATTAAGTACCCTCTGTTTTTGGTCGATTTGTTTGTGTTGTTGTGCTGAAAAGGTTGATAGGCATAGAGCAGTCGAGGGTAAGAGAGCGTCAGACATAGAGAAAGAGAGAGCGAGTGAAGGATAGACTAGAAAAGAGAGTAGAGAGAAAGCATGCAGGAAAGTGGAGGAGGTAGAGGAAGGCGTCGAATGAGACTAAGTTATGAGCTAGTTGATGGATATACATAGCTAAGAATGGCTAATTAACTCGCGCGTTTATCCTTACAACTAAATATATGGCCTAGGCATGTTCCGTTTCCATTTGGTCTGCTTCTCCAAGTACCTGAGTGGCATGGGGGCGGTACTCGATTCCTTGGTATGTACAAACTGGCGCTTGGCGTGTCATTTATGATGACGAGCTATGGCTGGAGGAGCCTGAGGAGCCCGACGAGTACGAGGACGAGCTGCTTGGATGATAAGAGCTATAGGCCAGGTTCTGTGAGTCCCAACGCGCATATGGACCACCGCTCATGGGTTCCCAGCTGCTGGGATCGTACGAAGAGGCTGTGGTGCTGGGTACGCCGTATTCAGTGGCTGGCACTGGTGGTGGCATGGGAGCCATGGTCATCTTCATGCCGCCGAGTTTCTGAATCAAATTGTAGATGAGGAAGCCAAGGACCAGTTTGATGGCGATCTTTGACAAAATCAAAGCCTTGGTAGCCTTAAGTGACACCAGAGCCAGCAGGATGGGCATAACAACCTTCAGCTTGAGTTTCATGAGCAGCAGCAGAGGTAGGAAGAGCTTGTCCTTGTTCTTCTTCTCGGCACGGCCTGTGAAAGAGCCAAAAAGATCTTAAAACGCTGGCCACATGCTTCAAAAATACCGAAAGTCTTACGCACCTTCAGCTTGAGGCAACTCCAAGTCGAAGCCACGATCCGAACGGTAGGTCACCACAGAGCTTGAGAAGAAAGTCTCGGGCAGTTGAACACGCACTTCATTGGTGCGCAGAATGCGTGCCACACGGTCGAAAATGACTTTATCGATGACATCGTCATCAAAGGCGCGACCACTGACATCCTCCTCCACATTGGCGACTGTGTCCAAATAGGTGAGCACCTTCTCCTTCAGGCAATGCATGGCATTGGCATGGAAACACTTATCCACAATCGTCGAAATGAGTTCATCGGAGCTGTGAATTCGTGGGGTGACCGCATTGTCGATGGCAGCTCCATTAACTGGAGCACTGGCCGCCAGCAGCAAACAACCGAACGCGAGCAAGGACGTGAAACGGAACGCCATTTTCTGTGCTATGTTACACTACCAATTTATTATATATACACTACAGGTGCGCGTAGTGTGTTCACTGCGATGTCGATGCGACGACAATGATGGACAATTGTGCGAGTACCGACGATTTTATACTGCCGCTCCCCGCATTGGCATATCGAAGAAATTGAATTGTGTGTGAGGGCTCAAGAGAGTGGTGGTCAGTGTAATAAAGTTTTGGAGCGCGCACATTCTTCGTTTTCAGTTGTTTTTGGACAACCGCACCGCAACGTATCGAGTGACGAAAGCCAATCCAATCCAAGCCAATCCGCAGAGTAGTAGTGTTGGAGTTTTTCACCAAAATGTTGTGTCGCTTTTTTTGATTTTGATATTTGGGTTGTCGCTGCCTGTCCAGTCGGTGTCCAGCAAGTGTCCAAGTCGTACCCATGTCGCAAGCTTTCTCGCTTTCCCATTGACATTAACACACACACACACACACAAACACACATAATCAATTGTAGTCTAGAGTCACCCCCTTTCCGTTGACCAAAGTTGCATTATTGACGGACGAATGAAAATAACTTTTTCCAATTAGTATGCGTGGCCTTAACTCTTACGCGACTGCAAGAAAGCCAACCTGTATGAAGAGCGGGGGCGATCGATCTGAACACCACTGGTAGAGCTAACTTGTTGGGTCACGTACATTTTTCAACGTAGTGTGTCAAATTTCGATACAAGAAATCAGTACGGAACTCGACTACGCATTGGTATTGGCCTTTGCCTATCGTATAGACCATGGGATTGGTCTTCAGGGGCCCTGGTCTTTTAAATGCGGAACTGCTCGCCGAATTTCATAGCGGATTCAATTAATATTGTTGCTTTTTGTTAGATTACGAAACTGATTTTCGTTTTTATTTGTGCCAATTTTTTTTTCTAGGTTTCTGAAATACCGATATCCGAATGCCTAGTTTAAACGGATGCTTTCAATTACCTATAATTTATTGCTATAAGAAATAGAGCAATCTAATTTAGTTTCTGATGCTAATGCTTAACACGATTACATGAGGTAATTGATATTTCAATTGTTTTTTACAAAAATGTGTCAAAACGAAAAAAAAAACACTTGATAAGCTAAATGCAGAAACTTTTGTTCCTCCACCTTGTAGGCCTTAAAAGCAACAAATTCATCCAACTACACATAGCTTTATCTATTTATCTACGAATAATATGAGTGTGTCGTAAGAAACCTAATTATACTATCCATAGACCGCAGGCACTGTAACGTCGTCATGTGAGGAGTAAACAAAATTTGACGGTATCTGAACAATCAATATAGTATGTTCAAAATGTGGACTCAATTAAGCAAAATTTCTTAATCAGCCAATGACTATCTACACTGGTCTGGGTCTGAATACTCCGTGGTAATTAAACGAAACAACGAAGTAAAACAATGATACGTCAAATAGAGATATCATCAACAATCCGCCGCTGCTGCATTACATGAAAAATAAGAATAAGACCGCTGCCGTAGTTAGTGGGTGGAATACTAGAATAAAAGTTTTTCCTAATACATTTTCTTAAAATTGTCCGATTTGGATACAATTTAATATAAGGTTAGGGAATTTAGCATTCAAGAAATTCTTTAGCGGGGAAGGGAGACAGAAATAAAGAACCTCGTGTTGCCTAGGGACCACAAAAGTGTATTTTCCATGTTTGATCCATGTGGGCTCAGCCGTTTTTCGTAATCCTACCGTTTATACAGAGGAATTGACAGATTCGTGGACTATGGAGTGGAATATGCTTCCTTCTGCTTGTTCAATTCTAGCCCCTAACCCAATATTGCCTTCAGATAAAAGGTATTTAAAGAAATGTTTGATAGTCTGCATCAGAATCCATTAATACTTTTAACATCAACTTATTTAATTAAAAATTTTTATATTCAAAATCTCTTGGAGACACATATAACCGTGAAATACACAAGTATGAGCGAATATATTCGCTTTCCAATCTAACATGAGAAAATATCTGTGGTGATCTTCTCTGCTATCTCAAAATTAGCAAAATAATTAATCGACATTTTAATATTTAATTAACAATTTATTTTATTAATTTTTTATTAAAGTTAGGTTGAAAAAAATGGTTATTTTTGACAAAGAGAAAAATAATACTACTTCATTGTGAATAAAAGAAGATTTATCTTTAAAGAAGCATTTCATACGAGTATATCTGAAGACGAAATAACTAAACAGAACTGTTGCATATTTAAAGGAGACTGGAAAGAGTAGCATCGTAAAACCGTCCAAGGTCTACGTGTGATTACTTTCTATAAAATATAAATAGACTGATTGGATGGAGATAACGGCTGCAGTATATATCCGTGCCCTAGTTTTTATTGGTGTTAATATCGAATATGTTATCTATTGCTTTTTTTTAAAATATTATCATCAAGGGTAACATGCGTTACCTTTCTTTATATGAACTTCTTAATGTTATGTGGGTAGATTATGTCTAGAACCTTCCATTCTAATAAGGGTAAAAATGTCACATTTAGATCTAGAATGGTCAGAAAGTCTTTCTTACGGTATTACGAGGCTTCGTCTCGTCTTCCTCTGGTGTGAGTCTTCGCAGCTCATTGAACGGAAGAGCAGATGAACATATCTTAAATAAATCTTGTATTTACGAAATTATAAGGGATTCTCATGATATTCTTAAATCTTATCAAAATTGTTACACTACTGTTGGATTAATTAATTTATTATTATAATTGTTCGATTACGTTGGCTTATTACAATCAACCATGTTTCACAAATGTCCGCTTAATTTCAAAATTTCACTGGCGTCCTACTTCGTCGGCTGGTCAATATTTACTTCTCTGTTAGTCCTTACTATCGATTATCGATTACTTATCACTACTTCGCTATTCAATCACTATTTTTGTCACTGCTTAATTATTGTTAGTGATTCGGTGTGTTCCTATTATTACCCAGTTAGGGCATTCCTACACTACTAAATTTGAGTAGTTTGGGGGCAGGGCATTCAGCAGTCTGGCTGGCTCGACTTCTACGCTCTACTCGCTTAGCTTAGGCTCCGAGATACGGTAGTTTAAATCCCTATCGCATGTAAACAGACCCCCCATCCTATTTCCTGGTCTGATGCCCAAAGTTTTAACTCTCAACCATGTCATTACTAAACAAGCAACGTACATGCCCATGGAAATCCGTTTCAAACACAAAACGCCGATCGTCATAGATTACCTAATTGTCGATTTAAATAATGCAACGAGTGTCGTGGTTGCATGTTTTAATCTCTTATCACCACATAAAAGAAATTTTCGGACAGCTTCATGTATATTTCACAAGCGCCACACTTTGTTCAAATCGTGCCAAAATCAAAATAACAATGTCCAAAAAGGCATATCGTAAATTTCAATAAACTGGTGGCGTGTGTCGTCCAAAAAAGAGGCAACAACAATGGCGCATGCCAAATGATTATGAAAGTAGTCGAGGATTGGAAGCCACAATGCAGACTGAATTCGGGTCCACCTGGCCCATTCCACTTATGGGCCCCTTTTTCATTTCATTAGTGTTGCAATGCATTTGGTAAGAATTTATTATGGGTTTTTGCACTCGAAAAGCTTTAAAATGTTTACACTTTGCTGCCCATTAGAATTTGCTGTGGAATAAAATGCTTTAAAGCCGAGCACTGGGTGTTAAGGCATTCGATTCCTTTTTATTTTGAATTGGTATGCATTGAGATGTGGAAAAATGTATCCTACATTTGCCTTAATGATGTCATGCGGCTGACCGCATTTTGAATACAGACGCAGCAAGTCGAATTCGTTATCTTTGTGGTCGGTTTGTGTTATGTCTGGACATTGGCAGCTTTAATAGAAAAATACACCGTCTCACTATTTGTGTGCCATTGAAAGGCAACAGTTGTGCTTGTGTTACAAAAAATATTAAGTGGCAAGCAAAAACAAATTTCGTGTTCAAAGCACGTTAAATAAAATTGGTTTCTTGCGAAATTTAGAAGAAGAAGACCTGCGAAAGGCAAACTTATTTGATTGATTTTAATATTAAAAGTGCTTTGTGGCAAATACTTATATTTTTTTGATAAATATTCTGCAGAGGCCAGGCCTTCTGCCCTAAAGTAATGCCCGTTACAAAGGTATAAAGCAAAGCGTTTTTTGGGTGATATTTTAGGTCAGTTTGTCCATTCCCTGCCTGTCTGGACATTCTTGCCCGCCTTGCTATTCTTTTTAATCCTGTGTAAGGATTTATGGACAGCGTATCATAATTATAACATTCCCAGTCTTCACATGCTAATAAACAAGTTCTGACGTGCTGACATACAAGGGGTGTGAAGCAGTTCTTCTGCTCAGTAATAATTGCTTAAAAATTTGCAATTAATATTTAATATTTATATAATTTTTCATTTTATGGCACTAATAAATCTGATGAAAATATAGCATTGTCTTTAACGAATACAAAAATTGAGTAATAAAGATACATACTAAGTATACTGTTGATTTACTAATCAACAAACATACATATTTGCAGAAAAACTGGGAAGCATTATTTAGGCATGCTGCTGTGAAAACAAAGTATGATTTGGCACAGAATTATAGTGAAAGGGGATTAATATAGTATGTATTCAGATAGACGATAAATTACGAGGATAATGCTGTTCGTTTCAATAATTTGATCATATTAGGAATTTAGGAATACATAAAATCGTATATACTATATAGCCAGGAGTGAAAATTGTTTTGAATTAATTTTATCCCTGGTGCACATATAGTAGTATATAGGTCAAGTCTGAAATTCGTCCAATCCATTCCTTATTAACCAAATCACACTTGAGCGTATCTGCATGGTTGAAATGTGAGATTGCTTTTTGATCATAAGTAAAGCTAAGGGTGTTCCGGGCACTATTGAGCGAGGTGAACGTCCCTTCATCACATCATATACTTGTACCTTTATCAAGCATTGGTGCCCGCAGTACGAGCATAATTATTATTGAATCTGTGCTAAAACAGTTATCTTTGCACTAATGAGGGGTAGGGCTGGAATCAAAAACTCAGCTGTAGAACCGATACATAGGCACATAAGTAAGTGTAAGATTTGGACCATCCATTACAGTCTCAATAAAATACATTAATCATTACTTTCGACTGACATTAATGTGCAATATGCATAATATTTTGTTTTTACTTAGGCCGCAAGTTCTTTTCGCTGTGGCCTAGAATTCATACCTACTTACAAATGACTTTCACTTTCGACTCGTGCCATCGTTGCCGGCGACTTTCGCGCAAGTGAAAATTATAAATTAAAATTATGTGCAGCTCATCAATATCGTATAACTGATTACCTTTTGTTGCTGGCACCTTAAGAAAGTTAACAACAGCAAAACAAAAAAAAAAAAAATAAATACGGCCAATCAGCAAGGTTTGAGTAGAATATTTAATCAGGTTTTATGTAGAGGATTTGACGTGTTTAAATTTGGCTAATTAGGACGCAAATACATTGCACGTGATGGCTTATAAATATTTAATATTGAGTGAAATTTTCTAGGCAGCAGCTGGCCCTGCCCTCGGTTGTGGGGGTGGGGGTATAATTGTAGTTCTTAGGCAAGCTATGTAGGTGCCGAGTGCCAAGTTAATTAAATAGATTCCAAAGATGCTACTGGATTGACGTTGAGCGGAAAATGCGACCAATTTTTGTGGTGCTGTGGGTGTTTGAAGGCATAAGAACTTTAGCAGCGTCTAATATAAATGAATCCGACACCCTCAGCGTTGGTGTTGGTGTTGGTGTTGGCGCTGGCGTTAACGTTAAAATGAAGTGTTTAATTAATTGAATGAAGTTCATCATCTTCAAAGCATTTAATTTGCTACTTTATTCTCTTGGGGCTTGGTACTTTTTCTCTCTTTTTTGTTTGTTCATCTCTGTGTTTTTTTGTTTGTTTTTTGTTGTTTTTGTGTTGTCAATAAATAAGTTAATAAATAAGAAATTAAAGTCTAAGGAATGCAGCATGCCAAAAAGTTGCCAAAGCGCGACAATAACAGCAGAGAGCTAGTGGCGAACAAAAGGCAACAAAATATTTTTAAACAATTAACTAATAATTTTGTGCGCTCCTGCTGCCACACAGGATATAAAGATACAGATACAGTGCTATGGCAGCCACGTTATTGTCATGCTGGCTATTGTCCTCGTGCTTGATGTTGTTTTGGTTTTTGTTCTTAGGTATTAGACATAGCCCTGGTAGGCCAGTTTATGTGCGGCCACATTTTGTTGGGGCTGCTCCAGCACGGACGCGGGGGCGACAGCTTCGGCGGCAGCGTTGAACATGCGTCCATCCCAAGGACCGTGCGCTGTGATGTGTGCGGTGTGGTGATGATCAGCCGCAATCTGAGTGAACAAAAATAAACGAGAAAAGGCTATAAAATGTGGCAATACAATGTTATGGCACAACAAACTGAAATGCTTGGGAGGGGAGTGAGAGGGGGTGGGCGGTGCAGGCGATGTGGCTTGGGGTGGGGTGGCATTTAGCCAGTATGTGAGTGAGTGCGAGGGTTGGTGGTGTTGGAGGGTTCTTGGCTCGACTTACCGTGCACGTCACTTATATTTATGTATGTCACTTATATTTGCAATATTATGTATCTTTGTTTCTCTATAAAGTTTTACCCAACGCCACTCCCTCACACTCCCTAACGCCTAATTACCACAGCCCGCGAATGCCTAAAAATGAATATAGAGATGCGTTTTAATACGCTGCCGCTTACCTTTTTGCACAATTGGAAAATGGCCAAACCAACCGAGACAAGGAAAGAGAAGAAGCCCAAGCCGAGTGCATTTAATGCCTTTATCTTCAAGATGCCAATGGCCATCGGTATGACTGTGATAGCCTTCAGCAGTATGAGAACCATAATGGGCATGGCCATTTTGCGCAAACGATGCTTTTTGCCTGTAATATTGGAGCAATGGGGCGTATGAGTAATATACAAATTTACTCTACATTGTTAAACACACCCTTCTTGAAGAGGTTGCCCTTCTTACCCTTGCCTTCGACGACACCATCGGCCAGTTTTAAATTCAAACTCAACTCGTCATTGGCCAGATTGCGTGCCGAGACGGTGACCTGGGCATCGGCCATAGGCAAGTCCATGGTCACATCGTGTCCTTGTATATAGTTCTCAATCGCAGCAATGAAACCATCGGCACTCTGACCACGAGCCTCATTTGACACCGCTGCCTTATAGCCATTGGCGCGCACCTCCAAATTGGATAGCTACGGGGTACATTGATTAGTAATTGGGTGTGGGGTGTTTCGGGGAAGGGGGGGGGGGGAAATTCCACTCACTTTATAGCTATCTTTGCTTAGCACTGTGTCCACAAAACGCATGGCACGCTCTTTAATGCAGGCCATCGAATCTTCGCCACTGGCGCACTTGCTCTGCTCCTCGGCAATCAAGCGCTGCAATTGTTGTTGTGTTTGTTGTGGTGCAGCGCCTGCCACACTGCGGGCCGCCAGCGCACAGCAGATAACTATAAGGAGCAACTTGGCCATGTTGGTGGTAAACGTTGTGCACGTTGTCGATAAATCGCTTTTCGTTTCGCTTCGAAGACGGCACACAACTCGTCTCAGTGCTCGCACAATTGCGTTTAATAATCGTTTTTCTATTGTTCACGATTTTTATACTCCCAATGTTAAGTTAAGGCAGCGAATGGCGCTCGGATTGGACTTGTCAAGTCGTTGCCGCGAATGGCGGCGCAAAAGAAATGGCGGAAGAAGACATTAATGCAAAGACAAGACCAACGAACAGAGAAGCAATGCAACAACTGGTTATTGTTGTTGTTGCTGTTGCTGTTGCTGCTGCTGCTTTGCTGAGCTGTTTTGTAAGCATGCAAGTGTGCGTGCTTTTGGGTACCACGTGTCGTATGCGCAATGTGATTTAATTTCAAACGCGTGCTTGTGCCAAGCGTTAGTCTTTGAAGTCGAACCCCATTGATAATTCAAGAGCTGCCTTTATCAAGTAGCGTTTCATAGCTGTGCTGCCGGCAGAGTTCTAAAGAAAAAAGAAATGTTTGTTGGGAAAAAGTGGAAGGATTTCATTTTAGCTAATCAGCATTAAATACAGAATTGCTGATTATTTCCTGCTGCTGTTGCGTAATTATAATAAACGGCAGTCATAAATCGTTCGTGGCTCGCCCAAAACTAGCCACACTGAATTGCTTAACTCATAATTATATACAGCGTCAGTTATGCAAACTTATTGTTGAGTAATTAAATCACTGGACATACGCATAATTAATAATTAAAGCAAAGCTGGCCATTTGGGTGGCAGCTGTCAATGAGTTTGGTGATGACAGCGTGCACATGTCAATGAAAAAGAAAGTGTTTTTCCTGGCCAACGAAAGCGAAAGTGCAATTGTTGCAGGGCTACTCCCCCCTCCCACAAATCGCCAAAACCGACGCACGAAATGTCATGCCTCGAATTTCGAAATGTTTTGCGTTCGCACACAATCCAATCACACACACAAACACACCAATAAGTTATGAATTTCATTCATACTCGCGCATATTAAGCGCCTTGCCGCTTTTTTTGCTCTTTTATATCAAATACCTCGAATGCAAGAGGGTATTGAAGAATTGCAATGTTGTAAGTCACATCTTAAGCAATGCGAATTTGTTCCTCATTTCGATTTTTATACTCTGTACATGAAATGTACAAGAGTATATTAGGTTTGCGGGAGCTGAAAAATGTAACAGGCAGAAGGAGGCGTGGCAGACCCCACAAAGTATATATATTCTTGATCAGCATGACGAGACGAGTCGATCTAGCCCTGTCTGTCTGTCTGTCCGTCTGTCCGTCTGTCCGTCTGTCCGTCTGTCCGTCCGTATGAACACCTGGATCTCAGAGACTATAAGAGATAGAGACACCAAATTTTGCACGAAGATGCGTTATGTGTGTATTCTATACGAGTTTGTTTTATTTTTTTGATTTTCCCCCCCACTTCCCCCCTATGGGGGTTTTCCCGATTTTCCATTCGTATAATCGCCTATATCTCGGAGACTATAAGACCTAGGAACACCAAATTTTAGTCCCAGATGCCTTATGTGAATACGCAGAAAATGTATATTTTGGAATTCCCCTCCCTCCCCCCTCTACCCCGCAAATCGTAACTCCCGTAATTCTTGGAATTTCGAACTAAAATTTTGCAAATACCCCCAGTTAGTTATTATGTGTCCGTATGCCAAATTTCATTATGATAGACCGATTTACCAAGAAGTTATAGCCATAAACATATTTGCTGCTGCAGCGCTGCTCAAGCGCTGCCCGCGGCTGTTGTTGATGTTGCTGTTTGGTTGACTGCGAAAATGCTTACACAGACACGAATTGATGCGCATAGGCATACATACACTCACACAGACGCAATTGCTATGTAAATGTGCAATTATACACCCTTTACGTGAGTTCGAATACCGAGAGAGGTAAAATCGATCAAATTTTTTTTTTTTATTTTCTTAATTTTTTTTATTTTCTATAATTATTGTAAACATATGTACAGAGTATTTCAAAGTCGGGACACCCGACTTTAGCTTTTTTACTTGTTTATTCCTTATCAGCCTCTGTTTTTTTTTTAACTTCTATTTCTATTAATCTTCAAATATACGTAAAACAGTGTGTCCTAACTAATTGATTGTAAATCATTGCAAAGCTCGAAAAAGATTCATTTATCTTGTAGGGGAACATTAAAGTTTTGGAAAATTCGATTCCCAAAGGGGGAAAATGGGCTTTAAATGTTGAATTATTTAAAATCTAGTTTTTAAACACTCAGGCTGAAAACAAATCAATTTGCTTCTGTGTAGTTCCAATAGAGACTTTTCTGGAAATGAGCTCAATGTGAGATGGAAAAAGAGTATACAATAAATAAATAAATAAGTATCTAATAAATGTTACCAAACAACAACTAGCAGCAACGGCCAACACTAAAATTGTTTTTATGTATAATTGAACTTTGATTTACCTTTTAATTTGTGTTTTATCATTAAAAATGATTTTCTCATTTAATTAATTAAACTATTTTTAATTTTTGTTTAAATGTTCTCATGTTTTAATTATCTAAATAATTGTTTGATCGAATGGTAGATGCAGAATACTATTTAGTAAATATGTTTTAAGTCTGCTTATATTTTTTTTGAAAAAATCTGTAGATTATTTGGGGTCTAGCTTTTAATGTGTTTCTTAAATTCATATTAAATGGAACTAATGGCTTGGGGAATTGTTAAAATTAAAAACAAACTTAAATATATATTTAATGGCAAAATGAAAAGCATTTTTAAATAATCATAATAAAGCAGCATCAGATCGTGTCTCTAATTTCGATTATCCTGGGTATTGATTATAAAAATTATAAAATCCAAATAAAATAATAGTAAAAGAAACTGTTTTTTAAAAATATTGTACTAATAACTTAAATCGTAACTTATTTTTTGTATTTTTTTCAAGTAAACTGTTGGAAAAGGGTCTACTTAGTCTTAATGAATTATCTAAATTAAATGAATGTTCAAATCTTAGATTAAACACTTATCGGCTTTCCCCTTGTTGGAGGCCCGTATCAGGTGCTGAGCTAGTAGAACGTTTCTCCGGAGTCGTGAAAACATTTAAATTGTTCAACATTAAAAGATCTTACTTGCTTACAAATAAAGGAGTGGTGGTTACGGGACTAGCCCTTATAACTAAATCATTTTAATACCATATTTTGTATACACTTGCTTATGGTTATTTAATTCCATTTCTGTGTAAGGGTATTTATGTGTCGGGCACTATAATGTATGATTTCTGTATTTGTTTTTGTTTCCTTTTGCCGCGTAAAACGTAATGAAAATTGAATTTGATATCAATTTAAATGTCGAGCTTTGGTCAAGCAAAAATTTCACCTCGCACACACATTGGCGCTTAATTTGCAATTCCGGGCGCACTCACTACTGCCCCAGCTGCCGCGGCCCCACTTGCCCCGTGCCGACCATGCATGCACATGCGTGCTTATTTGATTAAAATTGGATACAATTTTCACATTCGAAATTGTTGCGTAGAAATGGTGTTGACACACACACGCACACGCACACACTAACCGGGGCGTTGATGTTGGCGCCGACGCCATTTTGCATTGTTGCACGCAGCCATCGCTAGCTTTCCCACATGGCTGCCTGCCTGCCTGGCTGGCTGTCTGTCCGTCTATCTGTCTGTTAGGGTTGACCGCAGAGAGCGGGCGCTGAGGGGTGGCGGGACTGCATTGGATATGAATTACTATTGATTTTCGGTGTGATGTATGCGAGAAAAGAAACTGATTTCTTTGCCACTTTCACAGCTTATGGAGGACAGAGCGAGAGCAAGAGAGATACTTAAGGTCAGAAAAATTAAAATGAAATTTCATGATTTACTCGTCTTTGGCAAATAACTTGCTCAGCTCATGGGTCGAGCGGCAGCGCTTTGCTGCATAAGCCAAGGAGATTTGTGCGGCCACAGCGGGCACCTCCGAAAGAAAAGGGTTCAAAGCTAAGCAAATTAGCGCATTAGTACATTTTCGTCTGATCCCCAATTTGGATGATTTGATGTGCGTTCTATTTTCGGCACTTGCGAGCGCGCAATCTTAAGCATTTTTGATTTTCCTTTTTAGTTAGTCCCTTGAATTAAGTAAATAATCTTGTTCATGCTTTATTTCATAAATATTTACACACACATAAGGGAAAGAGAGAGAGAGAGAGAGAGAGAGAGAAAGAGGAGAGAGCATGAAATGCTGCTGAGCGGACTTCCTTCCTCCTCAAATACTTTCTAATTGTTTGTTTGGTTCTCCTTTTTTTTTCTTATTTTCGCTTCGTTTTTTTTTTTTTTGTTTGTACACTTCTCATAAAAACAATAAATAAATAAATACATAAATAAAACAAACGCAGCTTTTGCAGCTTTGCGTGTCGACTACTTAAAATAGCAATAAATAAAGACGTGCTCTGGCCGTTTCCTTAGCTCTTTCTTTGTTGCTTTTAGCGGCGTTTCTGGCCCGCATATGCCATATCCTGTGCATTTTGCGGCTCCTGCGAGGAGCGTGCCCAGGCATGTGGATCCCAGGCGGGCGCAGGATGCTCCAAATGCTCAATATGCTCCACTGGCAAGTCGACGTGATGGTCGATGTGATGGTCCAAGTGGTGATGGTCTATGTGATGCGGCACTATGTGCTCAATGTGGTGGGGCACCACATGCTCCACATGGTGGGGGTAGTGCACAACCTCGTAGTTGACGATTTTCGGCTTGGCTATCTTGAAAATGACCAAAGCGCCGGACAGCACCAGCGAGAGCAGACCTAATGTCATGGCCTTCCAGGTCTTCAGGGCAATGAGCGCCAGGGCAAGGGGCACCAGCACGGTGGTCTTCAATTTCAGGCCAATGAGGAAGGGCAGCACAGCCTTGCGTATCATGCCACGACCTACCACAACGCGGAAGCAATGCATTAAGTTCATTTAGCTTAACCCAAATATCAGTCCCACTTACCCTCATTTGCAGCAGCCAGGGGCACCAAACCGCCCCGGGTCAGAGCATTCTGCATGAGAAAGTCTGGCACTAGCGAACGTGCCTCCGTGCTGCGGAAATATTCGGGCGCCTCAATATTCAGCGCGTGTGTGGCCAAATAGCTGTCGATGTTGTCAAACATTTGCTCCTGAGGACCAAGTGCGCGCTGCTGCTCCATGGGCTGTGCCGAGGTTCGCACTATGGATAGACGTTCGGTCAACTTCACCTGCGGCTGGTGCAGGGCCTCATTCAACCACTGAATGGCTTTGGGGCGTACACACGACACACTTAAGTCCTTGAAACAACTGTTGTACATATCCAATGCCAGCTCTGTGGCGGATTGTGGTGCCATTTGCGGCGTCTGACTGGGCGCTCCGTCGACGACGACGGCGGCCAATGTCGTCGTCAGTGCGACGATAAGCCAGGCGTAACTGTTCATCCTTTCACTTTCGTTCGTTCTTACTTGAAGTACTCCTGGCTACGCTCGTGATTGTGATTGTGGTTGTGGCGGTGGTTGTGGTGGTGCGCACGCGTTGGCCACTCAGTGGGTTATGCAAATGGCTTGTGGGTCGCGCCTGGTTTTTATACGTCGGTACTTTGTTAATTGAATTGCGTATGCAGCCTGCGATTTCGTTGTCTGCCTGCCTCTTTGCTTTCCGCTGTCCGCTTTGAGCCTTTTCTTTAGCGCCCATTGCGCTTCGTCACATTCGTCAGTTCGCACTCACCTTGTTCGGCCTTCTGGCGGGGCTCTCGCAGCCCAAAGCCGTGGAAAGCGCAAGTTGTTGTAGTTTCACCTGCTCGTGGGTTAGCTTCCCATTACCTTCTGGTTCTGTACAGCACGAGTGGGAGGTTTTGGGTTAATTGTGCGTTTTATGGCCACCTTGTCATTGTCTGTGGCTGTAGCTGTGCGTCAAACAATTTTTGAACATAATATGCGCCGTAAAATGGAGACACCCTCATAATTGAAAGTTATTTTATATCTTCGGCATTTGTCAGTTTCTATCACGCATCGTTGACAGGGGCGGGTCGTTTTGTGCTCGTAAAATCAAGTGGCTTGACTTCCAATCGTCGTGCGTGCTTGGAAACTCAATTAGAATATCTTGCTCGATGGCAAGACTAAACACAATATACTTGTATAGTACGAGTATACTGAAGCAGCAGAAGGCGCTGCATTAACAGGCGCGACACATAAAATATTTCTTTTTATTGATTGAATTAGCTTTAAAACCAAGGGACTTATCATTTTGTGGTAAGTCTCAAAGAAAATAAGATTTTGCATCATTTTGAAAATTATATTTAGATTGTATGATAATGGGAAGAGTGTTTCTTAAAATGCATAATTGTTTACCTTTCTCTTGTTTTTCTAGGCATTATCAGAACAAACAGTTGCCTTAAAGAAGTTCATTTAACAGCGAAAAATTAACTTTTTAGAAGCAACGATGGAATTTGTTAGACATTGTAAACATAGAAAGTATTGGAGTTAGTTCATCGAGTCATTTAAAACGAACAGTCCGAACCCATTGTTGGCAGTGTATCCCCAAAATATGAGCTGAACTGAATCGCCTCCGTGGTTCACTTTTTCCCATACAAGGATATTGTAGTACTCTCCACCCAAAATTGGTAAGTTTTTGGTTTGTGTAAAGTATGTAACAGGTATAAGGAAGCAGATCCAACTCCATAAAGTAAATATATAGTAATAATCAGCATGAAATCGATGCAGCCAACCTCCGTCTGTCCGTCCGTTTGTCTGTCTGTCTGGCAGAGCGCACATGGACCACACTTGATATGTAAGCTCTCTTTATCCTTATCCTATTTAATAGGTATACATAGTATTTTTTCTTTACATATATATATACGAGTAATAGTTTGTTTCTTTGTTTCAAAAGGCATCCAAATCGGCCTATTTCAGAAAGAGTTATTAGCGAAATAATTTCACTCTAGGAGGAGGGGGTTAGCTTTTCTTCTTCTTTTGCTTCTGATATAGACGCATATAGCTCAGCTGCGAATGCTTGTTTATTATTCATGAAACATTTTTGTGATGCATTTTATTTAAGGGAGCTTTAATCTTTCCACAGCACGCTTCTCCCAAACTTTTATAGCATCTGCGAGGTCAATCTTTTGAGCTTGTTCGCCTTTCATATGCCAGATATATCATGTCTTAAATCTCCGAAATGTACGCTTCTTGATTCGAATCTTTGTTGATTGACAGTCTTAATTGGGCGTTGTTTTGCACTCATCACCTACTCTGGACATGTTGATGATGTCTGTATGGGTCTTAGATTTGTTTATTTGATGGTGCACTATTTGATGCGACAAATTAAAGTCATGTGCAATGTGTTTAGCTGTTACGCCGGCATTTAACATCGCTACTATTTTGTAAATGTATAAGAATGTAGGGATATAAATGATGACAAATGCCGGCGAACAGATCTGGCATCAATTAAATAATTTTGCAACATTTTCGCTTTAATTAGAAAGATTTAGCTTTAGCTTTAGGAATGGTTGCCAGACCTTTAAAGAAGGATTTATTATAATTTAAATAAGAGAGAACGCCACAGTCGAGCCAGCCCGACAGGGAAATACACTGTACTCTCCACAAAAAAAAGGAAAATTTAAGAAAAACAAGAGAGAACGCTACAGTCGAGCAAGCCCGACAGTGTAATACCCTGTACCCAGGTAAACTTCCGTCACTGAGTTATATGCGCCCATAGCAGCAGCAAAAAGAGGAAGAAGAAGAGCGAACTTGTTGCTGCAGTTTGTGGGGGTTGTACTGGCGAGAATTTGTTTCGCTAATAACTTTTCTTAGAATTGACCGAATTGAATAAAATTTTAAACAACAATAGACAATTATATATAAATTATGTGTGCAAAGTTTGGTTTAGATAGCATTTGAAATGTGGACGCTATTGACGAAATTCTGTAGCGTGGGAAGGGGGGGGGGGGGGGGGGGGGGGAAATTCCAAAAAATAAAATAAACTCGTCCTTTCTCGGACCTAGGAGAATCTGGATGCCAACTTTGGTAATTCTAGCTTTTATAGTTTGTAAGATCCTCGCGTTCATGCAGACGGACGGACGGACAGACGGACGGACAGACGGACGGACGGACGGACATGTCTAGAACGATTTCTCTCGTCATGCTGATTCAGAATATATATACTTTATGGGGTCGGAGATGCTTCCTTCTGCATGTTACATACTTTGCACAAACCTAATATACCCTTTTTACCCTACGGGTACAGGGTATAAAAATTATGTATTTAAAAAAACACGATTTGCGGGGGAGTGGGACGGTGTTTGGCTATTCTAGCTCTTATACTTTCTGAAATCCTTGCGTTCATACAGGCAGACAGACAGACAGACAGACAGACAGACATGGCTATATCGACTCGACTTCTCATCCTGATCAAGATTATATATACTTTGTGGGGTTCGTCACGCCTCCTTCTCCCTGTTACACACATTCGCATAAAACTAGTAAACCCTTTCACCCTTTGGGTACAGGGTATAAAAATACGAGCACATATGTTTCTGCTTACGCCCTTAAATGCTATATAACTTCTTTATTGCTCGAACTGAAACAGAGTCTAGTTTTAAATTTATTCTGTAATTTCGTTTCTTCTTTGAACATCCAACGTACGTATCTATTTTAAAATAAGTGGCAGCTAAATGGCTCTTGAACTCAAAATAACCCCGGAATTCGTCGTCTGCGCTCAAGTAGCGAACCCGGCCTCTTCATATTGAACAGGGTGTGTCAATTTCTTTCGTGACATTTTCCTTTTGCTGTGTGTGCTGGCGTTGGCTGCCACTTTAAGTGCCTCATAGATTTTTTTATAGGTTTCGAATAGCGGTGATATTTTGATGGGCCGAAATTAAACCCATAAACGATAATGAAATGCGAGTGAGGCGGCGCGGGCAGGGTGCAGGTATTGCCTGCCTTGGCTGCCATGCCACTTAATGAGCTGCCAATTTGGCAATTGGTGTTTTGATGTCATTGCAGTTGGCTAGCCGGAGGTGAAGCCGCGCAAGTTGTAGCGACATTTCCTGCTTATTTCCGCATTCGTCGTAATTTTGTTTGTTTCTTTGGCAAAGAATTTTGATGTGACAATAGCGCGTACCCGAAATAAAAGTGAAAGCCATTGGCCCATTGCGCGTTAATTGTGCTCGAAGTATACACACTTGCATTAATATTCATTACGTTCCTTTTTTTATAAGTATATACTCGTATTTATACACTCGTATATACATATATATTTTCCTTGTCGTCGGTTGTGCGGGCAGGGGGGTGGCCTGTCGACATCAAAGCCACACAGATTTCAATAGAATTGCTTGTAAATGTATTTATGCAAATGACTTCCTTCTAATTTGACTGTTGTTGACGACAATTGAGCGACAAGCGCCGAGTCTGCCACAGCGCCTGAAGTTATGCAATGAAAACAACGCGGCGTATGTTAGAAATTGTTCGCTGTGGTTGCTGCTGCTTTGCCTGTTGCTGCTGCTGCTGCTGTCGTTGTTGTTGTTGTTTCCATCCATCCATATGTGTGCTAATTGATTCATGTCGCTCGAGGGGGCCTTTAATACGCATACGCCCCGCTGGCTGTTGCTCTGATTTCCTGTTTCTTTCTTTTGTTTTTTTTTGCATTATTTATGCCTATACCATAAAATTCGAATGATGTTTAACAAATTTTCAATTTATTTTGAAATTTTCTTGCGTGCATGCAAAAAGTACAAAAACATACAAAATGTGTTGTTGTTGCTAGCAAAAATTTCTTTTTTCTTGTATTGACTAATTTGATTTAGCCACATTTGTTTGCGCTCTTTTAAATATAGCGCAGCGAATAATAAAAATTCTGATTTCATTTTTTTTTTTTTGTTTTTTTTTGTTTAGTGTTAGTTCTTGTTTTTGCAATGTTATTGCATGTAAAAGTGATTCACGATTTGGCTATTCTATGTGCCATCATTTAAAAAGTGTTAAGGCATTAAAATTTGATTGACTGTAAACAAAATCAGAATAATTATTATGCAAACAGTGATGTGGCTGGGATGGACTGGACTGGGTGAGGTCTTAAATTAAGAATAAATAAACCAATCAATTACAGTACATTGATAAATAAATAAATAAATACATAAAATTTAACAAATAAATTACGCTTAAACATTTAACATATGCGCCTATTTACAGTTCGGTTTAACACATAAAAAAACAGAAAAAATGTTGACTCAAAAACAGGAAAGCACCTGCGGCCATGACGGCCATCGTCGGCCATCGATGGCCGCTTCGTCCAGTCTCACTTCGTTGGCATATTGCACTGTGGATATAGGCTGGCGCAATCCTTTTGATCCTGACCATCGCGCGCCGCTTGTATGAGGCGATAGAAACGTTTCACAGCCTCATTCGCTTTCGTTACGGGCTCCAGTTCGCTGGTGTCTCTATAAAAGATATAATACAACACTCAGAATATTATTTCCTTTTAATCTTTTCTAAATAATTTTGTTATAGATAAAAAGTTTGTTGGTTTGCATAAAGTTGCGCACTAAATGTAAAGTAATGTCTGATCATTGATTATAAACATTCAGAGTTTTGTATTTGCATCTTCATTCTATAATTAGGGAATTAAAATTGTTGATAAATTGTAAAGAACAGAACATTTCTGCAACTATTTTTGATAAACTAGCTTCACCGTTAAATGGTAACCAGAGCACCATGAATTACTTTTCTATTAGCTTTTATTTATATTTAATTTATCTTAACTCATCTAAACTCATTATTTTAGCTTAACTTTACCACTCAACTCAGCGCTTCTAACTTTTTAGCTCGAGTTAATGAAATTAAATTTTACTTTTTAGGTTAACTCAAACTTAACTCAACTCCACTTAACGTCTGAACTCAACTAGACTTAACGCTGCTGAATTTAGGTAGAAAATGGCAATCACTTGTTTTCAAATTATCAGAATTTGTATTCAGATTTAAAATTGGTTTATTGCAACTTAAATGCATTGCTTTTTCTTTTTCTTTCTTTTCTTGCTGGCACTGAAATTTTGAAAACACTTGTTTAATTCCGGCGACAACTTATCTATTCGGGCATCGCTCTTTAAACAAGCATGAAATAATGGAGGATTCTGATTTTTTTAGTACTTGTACTGTCCTTAAAAGGTTCTTTTTCTTCTAAGGTTTTGGAAGAATACGAATATCAGCTTTGTTTACGGAAATAGGTTTGTTATCAAAGATTGAGTGCATAATATTTAGTTCGTGAATTGCAGAAAAGATTAAATACAATGAGATTTTCATATAAGTGTATTTTAATTAAGCAAACATGTGCGCGGTACAGTTAAAATTATAATATGATATCATTAATTTATTTAACAAAAAGTATCAAAAAAATTTATTTATTTATTAATAAATCAAATGGCAATTGGAGATTGTAATTTACTCTTTAAATGGTTAAACATTCAAAGCAGAACTTGAATGTATGACATGGGAATTTTCTTCGAGTGTAGTATGCTGCTACAGATAACGCAAAGTTTACATAACTTTTGCAAATTCAATTAACTTTCTGGAAACTGCCAGCAGCTGTCCTGCTACTGCTTGGCCAATTGTAAAGGCTCTGGGCTAAAATCAATGAGTGGCTTGAACTTGGATAATTAACTTTGTTCCGAAACAGACCGCCAGTCACACTTACATATACGAGTACAGTACAAATATATTTCTTTTTCGCACATTCACAAATGGACTTTAAGGGTTTTCATTCGGAGCTTGCGTGTGTGGATCCATAGATTTGTTGTTATGCTTTAGAATACTTGCATGTGAACGTAGGTGTGTGTTTTTATTTTGGGCTCAGACTCAGACGTCTCGCTAACTATTCAGGCGTGAATTGTTCAGTTGTTAAGTGCGACGTCTTTATAAAACGGCATGTCAGATGCAACTTAACGATGCTGAACGTGTCCTTTTTTTTCTTCCTCCGTTATGTTCAAGTGTTAGGCTAATGGATTCCATGCCGACAGTGTGTTGAAACGCTTAAGTCAACAACAACTACTTGTAGATCTATTTAATATGCTGTTTGTGTCAGCATTTCTTTGGGATACGTGATGTAGTCCTTTTGTTACATTAACTCTTTTTAATGACTTTACTATTAAAGACAATGGACTTTGATCCTTTTTGCTTTGCTCTTTTATAATCAATCATTTATTTGAACGATAGCTACAAAGAGAATTGATATGATGCAAAATTGGCTTCTTAATCGATCAGAGCTTGTCTAAAATAGCTATTAGTTAGTGTTTTGCTTGTTCATGGCAACTTTGTAACAAATGCTTGCATTCGTTGGTGGTCTTTGGAAATTATAGATGTGCCTAATTCGTTAATTGCAGATTAAAGTTCTAATTAATTTTTATTGGCTTTCCCAATCAAAAAAATCATAGGAAGAGAGTTACGAAATTTCTTTATCTTAAAAGCCCAAAGTTCTTCAACTTTCTATAAAAATTGAAATGAATTTGTTCTTAGCCAACTATTTAATTCATGCATAACTAACAAAATTATGTAATATCATGAGAACAAAAGGGGTCGCTATTGTCTAAATTAACAACTAAGTATATTGATAATCTGTTAGTTCGTTTGTCAATGCGACTTTATGAACGCCTTGATATTCTTGACTATAAAAGCTGGAGCAATGAAACTATTGATAAGCATTTGCTGAAGATTTATCAATACCCCTATTTATTTAGTATATACTTGTATAATCATGCATTTAAACATTATTAAATTCTTATAGAATTTCTACATATAAAAACATTCAAGATTTCGAACTGTATGTGTATTATTGTTTATAAGTACATACTTGTATATTCAGAAAAACAATCTTATCTGAAACTTATAGTGTGTACTTGAAGATGGAATCCATATCTATTTTAAAGGGCGACCATTTAATTTGAACATCTCATTATGAAAACTACTTTTGAAACTTATATATGCACCAAAGAAAAAGAAAACATTTTCTAAATATCTCGAAATTAAGACAGTATTTCTTAACTAACTTTTGGGATAAGAATACATAATCTTCTAATTTTTTAGAAAACTCATTCTATCTATTTCAATTGCTAATAATTTATAAGTTATCGTCTTTTTGCAAATTGATATTTGTGCATTATTTATGTAAAAACTAAACTTCTTTCTTTTTACAAAAAAATTTTCTATTATTTCCACTATTATTATTACTAAAATGTTGAATTGGGTTTTTTTTTGGGGCAACAGCACAAAAACACATTACACATTTTTCCCAATTAATATATAACCGAAGAGACAGTCATAAATTTGAATCTATCTCTATCTATTACATGCCAATGCCTTCAAATTATATCATAATGAATCGTTCCATAAATATTTGTTTGTCTTTCCATGGATAGTTACTAGAGTTCCACCTACAGTTTGCCATTAACAATTGTTCAAGTAGTATAAGCGTTCAATTACCTGGCGGCTAATTAATTAAAAGTTGGTATCTGTGACGAAAAGAATGGCTGTAGTTGATGCCTCTCCACCTGAATGACCTTTTGTTTTCGGAGCTTTGTCTGTTGCTGCTGATAAGCAATTAAACACACTTGGGCTTTCAATTAATGACTTGGCATTGACTTTGCCGGGCGAGTCATAAATCACCCAACGAGGCCAACTACAAGTATTAGAGGTACCGGCTTGGCGCGCAGAAAGATATGCAACAATAATGCCACTGCCTGTCAGCATATCTCTCTGCTCGTCCTATTTCCAACAAGCAAAATGTCATGAAACTTCTCCTAGAGATACCGGCGACAACGAACGACAATGAACGACATCGCAGTCGTCTCGTAATTTAACGTGCATTGTCTACGTCTGTCCAGGTGGCAGATAAGATTCTGCAATTGTCATTGCTGTCACCGATGTCGTTGTCGTTGTCATTGTCATTGTCATTCTCGTTTGCTGCCGCTGCGGCAGACAACAATAATAATTTATTAAAATTACATGTCTGATTGTCTGTCCGACTGTTCGTCGGTCTGCCATTGGCCTACGACACGCTTGAGCGACAGTGCAAAAGATAGCGCCAAGTCTGAGCGTGAATAGTGGTTGTGATCATGCTGCTCGTATTATGTGGGTGGGTGTCCGCCTGACTGGACACCGAAACGTCAGTCAATTATGTGATGAGGATTCGCACATTCGCGGGCCGACTTTACACGCTCGTTGGCGCCAAGAGTTACGCTTCGATGGAGGGGGCGTTGATACCAACTTTTGTGACAAATGCGTCGCTTTCTTTTCACGCTCGTGCCTATTAATTGAAAACGTGTGGCATGCAGTTTCACCCCGAAAGAAAACACTGAACTGTAACACTCATTCCGAATTCGCCATGCCTGCGGCAATGAGGCCTGCAGCTGCATCTTGACAAGCCCCTGACATTATAATTAGAAACGCTGACATTTAAGTGCGACTGCGACTATTAGAGCACAAGAAAGCCATAAGCCAAAAGTTTAGTGAGCTCTTTATTTGACAAACTGCCGTTGACGGCGGCACTGAGCAAGTAAGCCAAGTCAGCCAACCTAACCAGGCAAATGGTTTGGGCCTCAATACCCATAATTAGCAGTGCACTCAAAGTTGCCAGGCAACGACAATACTTACCGACTTAGCTCGGCGGAGACAAAGTTGCTGTGCGGACTATAGTTGGCCGGATCCTTATACATGCTGCAGACCACACGCTCCTTGCACAAATCGTTCTTAACGCCCAGCTGTTCAATGATTTTATCGATTTTCAACAGTATGGGACTGTAGAAGGGATCATAGTTGAGCGGATAGAGTGGCTGTGTGTTGGTGGGTGGTGAGAAAATAAATGATTAATTGTTGATTGCATTTATAGCTTATGCTGCTGCTGCAAACCTGCCCATCCTGCACAAATGGCTGATGTTCCAGTATTTTCTGCTGCTGTGCAATTAATCTCTGCTCAGCCTGTATGCGTATGGCTTCCTTTAGCTGTGCAGACAGCTCGGGCTGTAATAAAGAGGTGAGGTTGGGTTCGGGCAATAAATAAATGAGCTCAACATGAAATTGAGTTTAATTATATTATTCAGTTTCACTGATAGTTTAGTAAAACGAATTCGTTACATTCTACTTTATTAATGGTAAGCAGTATAAAATATTTATTAATCTTTATCATTTAATTGTTTTAACTGATAAAGTATTATATTTGTTTAAGGTAAAGTTGAAATGTTGCTTATAATATTCGAACGTGCTTCTATTGCCACAAAGTTTTGTGTGATTTCATTATTGTTTTCTTTAACATTCACAGCAAAACATCTAATACTATGTATATACTCATATATTGATATTTGCTTTGTTGATAATATTGCTTACAAATTTTGGTTTTGCCGAATATTTAAATAAAGTTTGTTATATAAAATGAGTCTTCTAATCTAATCTAATCTGCCCACTGAATTTTCAAATGATGTTAAAAATGTTCGGCTATCATTAAAAACAAACATTTGGGTAAAGGGTATAAAAACCTGATTTTTGGAAAATTAGAAAGAAGGTGCTTGAGAGAGCTCGGGTGCCAGGACTAAGTATTCCACATAGACCAAGCACCTGGGTGTCATCCTGGATAAGCGGCTGGTTTGAAAGGTCCCCATTGCAGACAATATGTAATCAAACTTATCGAATGCCCTGCATCTCAGTGCCATACCAAGAGACTGAAGTCTGTCATCAGCTTATTATGTTCAAACCCTTTGGCACATTGTTCAGATTGTACACTTTTTTGTTTCTTAATGTTGTCAAGTGTTTGAGATGAGTTTGAAGAGTAGTTAAATAAGTCTTTGCGAGTTAAGGTATTTTGGTCTGCTTTGCGAGCATTTAATTTTTTTTAATAAATAAATATATTCTTCCTCACTGATTGACTGATGGGGGGATTTGATTTAAGAAAGCCGACCGTAATATTTTGAAATTAGATTTATGACTTGGTCGTAAAAGCATGCCACAAATTAGATAAATGTAAATCCAAATATATATATATAAATATATATTATTGCACTAATTAAGTGGCTCTTTGCTAAATGAGCCCTAGACTTAATTTAAATTAGACAATGAGTTCGTCTCAATGTCTACGCAGCCCTTACAGAGACACCTACTTATGTGTACATGCGAGTATATCCTGCTGTTAACGGTGCGACATTGTGGTGCCTTAAAACTGCTGACATACTTTCGCTCTTGGAGCAACAAGGTGGCGTACTTAACTGGCACTTAGTTGTCTGGTCTGGTGACTAGGCATTCCCATGGCCCGTCTCACAATGTCAAGTGCTGTAGACAACGTTTTAAGTAGTGCGCTCATTTAATTAAATGCAACAGCGGGCGATTTTGCAACTTGGCCAACGCACTGACAAAGTGCATTTAATTATGACTTTGTGTCTGGTGCTTTATGGCTTAGAGGATGGCTAAAGACAATGTTGCGGTTAAAGTACTGCAAAAGTGAAAACTGGTGGCGGACCCAGAGACCTCTTCAACTGGCAATAAGAAAATTTTGTGTCTTACCCAGCCCAGCAATTTGCATGTACCGTGCAGTCTAAAATCATGAAGAGGCCATTGAAAGATTGAAAGGCCTGACGAAACTATTTACACATTTGAGGAAAGTGTCAATATGTGCCAGAGCCCACGTCTAGTTGTTTATTTGTCTTTATTTGTGTCTGACGTTAAGGCAAACGCTAAGTTCGGTAAAAGTTCCAATACTTTGTTTGCAATGGTCGTTGCTGCACTTTGTTGTACTTGTTTTCGCTGTTATTGTTATTGTAGTTGTTTTCAGAGACACTCGTCACCTACTCGTATTGAAATTTGATTGATTGTGTTGTTGCACAGCTGCGACATGGACATATGCATTTGTGCAAATACGACTATATAGTATGCTATATACCAACCAATTGCTGTTGCTTCAGCAGTAAATCCCCAGTGATCCACTGACCCAGACAAAGATCCGTTTACACATGCAATTTTCACTTCGAGGGCTCGCCTTCGAGTCTTATTACTTCTGCAGAATACAAAGTCTGGACAAATTTCATATTGTCAAATATATCAGTAATCGTCTTTCAGTTGCTACTAAATCGAAATATTGTTTGAAAAAATGTAGACAACTTTCAAAATGCACAAATACTTTAAAATTGTGCCTCGTAACTGCATTTTAAGACGTTAGGTTTTAAGGAGGCAAATCAATAAACACATAATTCTGTTTTTACACGGTATTTTTTGAAAATTAAAAATTTTATGTATTGTTATTCCATTTACCACGGCTCAAAATAACACAAATAAATAAAAAATAAATAAATAAAAACACAAACAGCTGACAAACCTAGCTAGAAACCATTCTTTAATGGGCCGTTATGCATATGATTAATGTCTTTTTTAAACGGTTTTTCTGGTAACAGAATTAGGTGTACATACATATCTGACCATTTCCCATTTAATGTTTCATTGAATTGTAATTTAAATGGAGCTTCATAAGTGCTTTCAGTCAACTGAATTTGAATTTTGAAATGACTTCGAATGAATTGAACAACATAGACACACCTCTCATTTTATTTAAAATAATTAATAATTTCAAACCATTTTCGGTTTAGAAAGATCATAAAATCTTGAATTCTATTATCTAAGATTAGAAACAATTATATTGGTAAATAGTCCGAGATGCAGAAAGGGAACATATAGTTATAAAGCTAAAGGTTTGCTTACTTATGATCTACATTTTGTGACCCCAAGTGTAGAGATTGTCTTTCATTAGTTTTTCAAATTGAAACCATAAAGTAAAGTTAAAAACTTGCTTGCTAAACTACTGATGACCTACGATCGTCTAAATTGGTGACCCCGACTATACATAGCTATGGAGAGACAGTGTCATTGTAAGAATTGTATTTGAAGAGTACCTCTAATATTAAAGGCCTGTTATTAAAAGCTTTAAAGAAATTATCTAATAAACACAATATATTTTCAGATGAAAACCTTAGAAATACAAATCTTAAATCCCACAAGGTTGAATTCTTTATTATTTTTTTTTTTGAGTTTTTGTGGGCTTTTTATTTTTATTTCAGTTTTTATTAGCTTAAGTTCTCTATTAAATTGCATTTTTGTTTACATCGACAGCCTTGTTTGTCGATGAAATAAATAAACTATCAATTTATATGCTTAGAACTGTGCGTGTAAACTAGGCTGTATTTTTCATTTAGAAGGACACTCTGTGTAAACTCACCGACAGTTGTTGCTGCGGCTGATGCTGTTGATTATTGCGTGCTGGGTCATATTGTGCCGCAATTTGTGCAGCTGCCCCGCCGGGCACAGGCCCAATGGCCTGAGATCCTGGCGGTCCTGCCACATAGACAGGACTTGGTGCTGATTGTGCGAATTGTGGCCTTGAGCTGTAACGGCAATGGAGGATGAGAATGTAAAGTTGAATTTGGGTTCTACGAATGCTGCTGACAGTTGGCATTGGGGTGCTGTTACTATTTCTGTTATTGCTGTTATTGTTCTTGTTAAATATATAATCAACATTTCAGCGAATTGGCGAGAACAGCTTGTTATGGTTCAGTGCCCCGGATTGCGTTCATTTTGCCATTCAATGAAATTCTTATTACATATTTCATGCAAATATTTTAGAGTTTTGTTAGCTGAGAAGTCGAGGCAATAATCAAGCATTCGCTTTGGTGTGCATTGTTTATTGTGTGAGTGTATGTGTGTGTATGTGTGCGTGCGCAGAGGTGTGTGTGCAGAAAGGATGTGTTTAGTGTGCTCTGTTTGTTGTGTGTGTTAAGTTGACTTTCTGGTTTGGTGAGGTACCTTTGTTTCTCCTGATTTTGGAATGGACTTAAGCTGTGACTAGAGGCGTGTGCTTTTTGATAATTGATTTGCTGTTGTTGTTGTTGCTGTTGTCTATGTGGAGCGGTATTAATGGGTGGTCTTGGTTGTTGTGTGGCTGGCCAGCGCTGATGTTGTGCTTGTTGTGGTTGCTTCCCAAACGGCTGAGTTGTGGCAAGGCCCCAAGCATGCAACTCATTTGCGTCGTTTGCAGTATGTGGCTTAAAATAATGCGCATTGTCCTCAATCTGTGCTACGCGATTAATATCGCTTATATATCTATTACAATGCAGGGGAGTATTGTCAATGTTGCATGCAATTTGAGTATGTTTGTGATTTAATGTTTGATGTTTGAACAAAAAGTAGAGTTAGAAACACTCAGTTAAGAAGTTTGATTATGCAAACGAACAAACAAACAAAGAAGAAAGTGAATAAATTTTGTTGAAAAGCGACTTACTCTGATCCCAGCCCTGGTCCGGAGTTCTCCCAAGCGCCCTCAAAATGTTCATGGCCTGGTCCAGGTCCATAGCTTTCATGCACTGGCGCTCCATGCAAATAAGCCGACGGATGTCCTTTGGGTGGGTTTGTGTAGATAAGTTCCGGTCCCGACTGATGCTCACCGCTATGCCATGGTGGCACCACCTATAGATGGAGGGGAGAGAAAAGGATGTGGGCGTACGGTTAAATTAAAAATAAGAAGAGAAAAAGTAATAGCCAAGCAATTTGACGGGGCTTCGTATGTCACATTTAATAAACTGAACACAAAGTTTTTTGACATTTTTATTGCGGCTTCTATGGCTCCGGCTCTTGCTCTGACTCTGACTCTGGCTCTGACTTTGACGGCTGTTCATCATCGGTAGAGTGCTTTATGCTGTGGCTATTTATAGCAACAAATACAGACGCTTTCATAATGCGCCTACAGTTGTTGCTATTGCTGTTGTATATATGTATCTGTATGTATGTATGTATGTATGTATGTAGCACTATACTCTATAGAGCTATGTTTTTCAATGATGGCACATTTTCTGAGCAGTTCATTGACTGTTAAATAGCCGTTAATAAATACACGTTCATAGAAGTTCAAGCTGGAATATTGGAGCGCATTAAATCGATGCTCAAATATGTTTGTATTTGCACTTTTGTGCTGTTGTTGTTGTTGTTATTGTTCTTGTTGTATTGCTGTTGCTGTTGATGTTGTTATCCAAAAGCGTTAGCAAATACTCGCAGACGTTTTAAGTCATTTCACGTTCCCTGAACTCACAGTTTTCCTGAACAACTTTGTTTGCCAACGGTTGCCTGGCAAGCAAGGAGTCAAGCAGGCAGGCAGGCAGTCGAAGTGACATTTTCGACACATCCGAAACAGATGGCATCGTGTCCTGGGCTTAGTGAAGAATACACATGTACACATGTCTGTGCGTGTCTGAACATGTGTGGGAATGACGTGTAAGGCAAACGCGGCATAAATTAATTTATGTTCTCTATCCGACCGTGTTCGTCTGTGTGTGTTATACTCGCATTTTGATTGCTTGTTGGCAACAGGGCTACGAACTTCTCCAAATTCCATATAAATGTCAATGGATTAATAAAGATTTGCGAAAAAGCTTGTGAAAAGCAATTTAAATTTGCAGTCAAAGAGAGATTTTGTGATAACCAACGAGGAAAAAAATGTGCAATAAAATTGCTCCATAGTTGAACTACAAACTTTAAAAGAGATTACATACTATATGTATATCCTATTTATGTAACACGATAAAATATGATTTGGTGTGGACAGATATCGGAAACATTTAAAATGAAACTAATTTGTCCTTAACATAAGTAAGATTTCTCATATATGTAACTGTAAGTACTTCTTAGTGGACAAGAAATTAGATTCAGTTGTGAATTGGCTTCCTCTTGTCTTTTCTTCCTTAATGTAGAGCTAATGAGTAAGAAAACCTTTTATCGGATAAATATTGATACTTTAGCTTTAAATTCATGTTTTACAATCAATTTAGTGCGCTTCATTGATTAGATATTTAGATTGTTCCTTCCATGATCTTAAGTCTTACGTTTGATATTTAAGCTTATTAAAGGGATTGCAGACTTCGTCATTATCATGAGATAATGGAGTAATTCGAATATAATTTTCCTAATGCGAAGTAACTTTAAGGTTTCTGCTTAACAATTTATTACTCTTTTTTTCAAATAGCTAACAAGTTCCATAACATAGATTGCGTATGTATCTAAGTGAAGATTAGCTCCTTCCTCTGTTGATATCAGAGCAAATTATTTAGTGCATATATCAATTATTTATGGAGCTGGCTAAAAATATACATGCCAGCCTTAATAAAATTATCTAATAGAGTGCGTGTTCACATGCCATTTGTAACGTCCTTGTGAATAGTAGCAATTGTACAAATGAATGCGCTGTCCTCTGCGCTTCTCACGCCAATAGGGTCGTGCGTGCGTTCGATTGATTGCTCATGTGGAAATATGCAAATAGTATTGTTTCATATTCATTGCATAAATATCCGTTATTATGGCAATTGCAGCACACATGGCTATACTATATATAAGCACTCCCCTGATAATCATATGCAAGCTGTTCCACATGAATTATAGAATTGCCGACGCGCTGGCAGCCCTGGATTTGCTGCATATTGTAGCGACATCTTCATATGTGTGTATATAAATATCTCATAAATATCTACGCGAGTTTGTGCTTGCCAAGAGTAGGAGTGTGAGTGTGTTTGTGTGTTTACTAATCCTTGGAATGTGAGTGCATATATTTTGGCTTTGTGCGAAATACGCATTTATGTTGTGAAATGGCAGGCTCTATGCCGGGACTTTAAGTTTAACACCCGACTTTTTTTTTTTTTTATTTCATTAATTTAATGGCGAAATTCAATTACGTTAGATATGCCACGATTTATGCATATGATACTGATGCCTTTCTGTTATTTACTTTTTAATTGAATTTCAAAAGTGGGCAGCAACCACAAACACCGGCAAAAAATGTAGGCAAATATTCTATGCCTTCATAAACAAAAGGCACAGAATAAACAAACAAACAAACAGAGAGGCAGACAGACAGACACATCCGAGTGAAATGCGCTGTTATTTTAATGAAATTCCTCAAAGACTTCCTCGTGCAAGAAATCTAAGCGCGCATGTGTTCTGTCAACCCTATTTCCACTTCCACTTCCACGTAGTACTTAGTTAAAAGCCACCGGTCCAAAAATTATGAAATCAAATAAACAACAAACTTTTTCTTGTCTTTTGTTTTGATTCGTCAGCCTATGTACTTACCGTATGATGATGATTAATCAAATGATGATGATGATGGTATTTTGTCGTGTGATAAGACTGCTGATAGTATGAGCAGAGCTTAAACAGATGCGACAGTGCCGGGAAGAGGAAGAGTAGAAACTTCAGCAACAACTTCTTCGCCGCCCCAACGCCAATGACAATCGGCAGCAACCAGAATAACTTGATTTTGATGATTTTGATGATGAGCAGCAAGGCGAGGAATGACAACAACAGCTTGCTGCGTAGAAATTTTTCTAACCAAACGAAATGAAAGCATCGTTACAAATTACAAATTTTGGTAGTTTTTCTAACCAATTGATATTATTTAAATGCAATTGCAGCTGCTGCCGAATGCAACCTGCAGTCTTGTCTAGTAATGATAGTGAAAGCGGGCCTTGCAACAAATTGCAGTCATTTTCCGGTTAGATTCAATATCCATCCTACGTTTATGCGAAGCCAGAAAAAATCGTGAATTCAATTTGCAGACATTTCTTGATTTGCACATAAAATATTTTCTATATATTTTCTATAAATTTATTTCATTTAAAAGGCTTTAAAGGACTTAAATGTTTGTAGAATGATAATTTGAAAATTTTATAATAACTTTTTAATGACGTTTTATGCATATTTTTTTTTTTTTGAAACCCGGGTGTTGAGCTACCAATATTTTTTGGCTGCTGTTTGAAAGCAAGTCTTGGCTATAGCATTCAACATAAGTAACTTTGTTGATGCCAACTTTCGACCTTTTTTTCACTACGGTAGATCTTTCTGTTAGCTTGAAATTTATCTTTAATTTTAAAATGTTCGCACAATATTGAAATGGAAGAAAAATCAAGATTGCACAAAATGTATTGATTCATGCAACTATGTACAAGTATATGCGTTTGTTGTACGACGCCTGCAGAAGGATTTACAGCATAATAATAATAAAAGTAAATAGCTGAGAGATAAAACAAATGAGTGTGCACATTGCGAGAAACTCTTCGGTATATGAGATGAATGTGAAGAAAAAAAAGGCTAAAGAATTTATGAAAATATAAAGCTGAGTACATAGCCTTGGACTAACATATATATTGTTTTTCATGTATCCTTGTGCTGTGCCCTTTGAAAAAGTGGCTGAATCAACAACTTTTTTTCTGCTATGCGTTGTGGCACGAATGCCTTTTCAAGGCATGCCTTTTTGAGGAATTTAAATGCCAACAAGATAATGGATAAAAACTGAAGGGAAAATTTATATTTATGAATGGTACATATTCATATTTATTTATTAATTTTATCTGCATTTCAAGCCAATTATGTTAAAATAAGTTTTTCTTTAATTATTCAATGATTAAGTTAATATAATTTTAAATGTAAATTTTAAGTCGCTTTTTGTGAAAGAAGGCATCATTTTTAAAAAGCAAAATATCGTCTACGTTTAGTGTCTTCTTTGTTTGCGTCAATTCATTCGACGTAGTTTTTAAAAAAAATCATTCTAGAAAGCTACTTGATAGCTAATAACTTGTTGCTAATAATAGTTGAAATAAGGTATTGTTTAACCTCCTATGGCAGAAACTCTTGTTGTGTGTTGTTCGCATAGACTTTGAAATTTGTCAGTTAAGAAACAAATCTGTTGTGCTACTACTTACGTATTTTCTTCATGATAATTTTTCCGGCCAGACGTGCTTGGACCTCCTGCTTGGGTATGAGTTCCAGCTTGGCAATGATGCCATTGCCTTCGATGGATCGAGGTGAGATGCGAAATGTGGCACCATCGAACATCAGCTCCGGCAGCTGCACCTCCAGATCGTGTGTCATGGCAAATTTGATGCTTTTGCCATAAAGTGCATTGGTCACTTCCTCAATTGGAGTTTCCGGCGCTGCAGATGTGGATGCTGCTGCATGGAATGCAATAATTTATGCATTTGAGTGAAATGCTCATAAATGCTGACAGTTTTAGGCAAATGAAAGTGGATGAGATCTACTCTGGCCTCTGAAGCAATTCTAACAAGTTTATGCTTGCATAATTGTTGTTTTTCTTGGTGTTTATTGCGGCTCTCTTGAAGTGTTTGTAGCACCGATAGAAATCCAACTGTGTGGCTTTAATTGAGCGCCGACTAAGCATCGTGACTCACATGTATAAAGCGCTGTCGCTCATTTTTCTACGGTTTCTTATTTTGACTGAACTATACATACAAAAGTGTATATAGTATATATGTGTGTATATTCACATATAAAATCAAATCACAACTCAGCGGCAAGTGAAAGTTGTTGGCGGTTGAACGTGTTGAGCAAAAGGTAAACAAAACACATCACCTCGACGCGGCAAAGAATCGAACTGTGAGATGTGAAAACTAACAGAGACAACAACAACAGCGAAGGCAGACGAGCATTCCAAATTGTAACATTAAACGAAATCGAAACTAACTGCAGGCGCTTACATAACACGGAGAGTTGGGCAAACCCATTTGGCTCCAACATTGTGAATAGCGAATGGACCTACGGTAGTTTCTTTTGTTGTTCTTTAAATATTTTTGTGTTTTTAACTGTAAATAAAAACTGTGCAAAAATAAACAAAATATTCAGTCTTCAAAATGAAAGCGATACTCAAATGTTGTGAAATGCCTTTGTTTCTTTTCAAGCTCAGAGAAGTAAAGTTCTGTTTAGGTTTCAATGGAATTACTCGCATGTAGGACTCTTGTTTTGCACATTTTAGCAATTTATTAAAATAAATAGGGAAGCATATTGTATTTCTTTCTCTAAAGAAGTTGTTAACATTTCACTCATTTTGATTGTAGTCCAACTTGTTTTTAATTGCAGGCATTGCTTTTATTGCACTTAGATTGCTCTTTTTATCGGAAACCGAATTCATGCTATTTTTTTTTTTTTTCAAATCTGCGCATTGTTGCATTCATTTTTTCACAATATTTTAATACGAAATTAAGGTGGATTTAGTAGAATAACGTTGTTGATTATTAAAATATCTAAGCAAGAATTTGATATAAATAGGCAGTGCCAATATTTAAATCGGTTCACTATATCATATAGCAACCGAAGCAACCATCAATGAAATAATTAGCGCCGAAGACTTTTTTGATTTTGTATGCATTTTGCTTAATACTTCACCATGATCTGAAGTTATATTTAAAGCGCTGCACTACATTTTATATCTGAGTTTATTTAAATTGCGGGACTGTGACAGAGAAGGGTGTAAAAAGTCGGACTGACTCGATGTAAATGATGTGCGGTTCTAAGAAGTTCTAACAGCAAAGAAAAACTGTGGAAAAATGAACAAAATATTCAGTTTTAAGCCATACTCAAATATTGTTAAATGTCTTTGTTTCTTTTCAATCTCAGAAAAGTAAGGTCTAAGAAGTTAAGGGCTCTATCGCTTCAGAAGCATCTTTCCTATGCCCTAAAATTGTTCCATAATCAGTTTGCTTCGAACTTTATTTCGAAGGCTCTGTTAATTAAGGATGTTTGCTACCGATAGATTTACTGATCTTACCAGAACGTCCTTGACTTGACTCTGTTGTCGTTGGGTCTACTTCGTCCTTGGTCTCATATTGCACTTGATTCCTGTAAAATTTGAATCTTTGTGTCACGTTCACATCGTGCGCATCGAGCGCGCCATCCAAATAGCTATAGACGTTCTTCTGAAAACACGATATGCTGGGCTTGATATAGCAGTCCCTAATAATGCCATCCCAGAGCTCGTTCCCGGTCGAGAAACGGCGTGCAAAGCGGAGCATCAGCGAATCACTGGCTCTTCCGCCTCCACTGACCTTCTTGGCGCTATCAGGTGGTGTCGCATTTAAGCTTATAGGTTGCCAGTCTTCCTGCGGCAGCTCGGTGGTTGCTGATGGCGTCAATGTTGTTGTTGTTGTTGCTGCCGCTATGTCAGTCGCCTCTGTGTCAATGTCATGGCTTAAAGGTGTCGTGGCCGCATATCGACCAATGCGACTATTTACTTGCGCTGTGTGCTCATCCGCTTTCTGGACGGCAGTCGCGCACTCGATTAGGAGGATGATGGCGCTCAGCATGAGCAACCAACTTGAGCAGCAGCTTGTCTTGGCCATTGTGGGGCGATTTCTACAGCGGTAGTGAGCAAGGTTTGTTGTTCGATTTGGCCTTAGTCGTCCGGCGGCAACTGTTGAGGATATGCAGCTCTCACTTGACGCATCGTCGTCGCTGTCGTTCAGTCGACCGTGCCAATTATAGTGGTTTGTGTGTATTCGTTTATGCATTTTGTGTCTTCTCCTTCAATTTCACTAGCTTGTTCGCGTTTATTCTGTGAGCCCTCTAAGCCCTAAGCTGGAATTGCTGTTAATGTGTCAGCAATTTACACCTTAAGCCCGGCAATTTCAGAAAGAAACAGACAGCTGAGGAATCACTGCTGTATCTATTGTTGTTGCTATTGTTGTTGCTTGGTGGTAGCCAACAATCCGCCAATTTGGCTGTCCAAAGAAGTTTATTTAGCTGCGGCTACGCTCGATTGCGCTAGCAATTAGTTTGTTGGGGCTAAGCGGCTAGTGGCCAGCCAGGTATCACAAACAATGGCAGAAAAGAATTGCCAAACAATGGCAAATGCCTGTTTATTTGATTGTCGGTTTATGTTTTTTCTCTTTATTTTATTTTATTTTTGTATTTTATTTTGTTGGCCGCAAAAGCGAAATCAACACTGAATGGCCTGCACTTAATAAATCAATTTATGAGCACTGAACAATTCCGACAAAACCAGATTAACACGTAAACACAATTTCATCGAATTGTTGTAGTTATTGTTGTTGCTATGCTTTTCACAAACTCTTCGAACGTGCGTATCCAACGCGCGACTTTCCTTTCCTTCCTATCGTTATAGCTAGTACGTATTTGCAATTTCGCTGCTTCATTTAGCACATTTTCTATTTGCTTTGCTCAGTTATTTTTGCTGTCGCATTCTGCAATTATATCATCACAAAAAAGCCGCGACACACCTACGACAAACGCTCAGTCAAGTACGTACATATGTAAGTCAGCTATGCCTAACGGCAAACTTACAAGTAAAGTAAGGCCTGAACAATTTCGTTATGCAAATAAGCTGCTTAGCGCGTTTCGCGTGCGCATGCGTGCGCGTCTAGTTGACAACTGACTGAGCCGATCGAAATGTGCGCCAAGATCATGGCCACGCGACTAGCCGGCAACGGTAACGGCAGTGGCAGTGGCAGCCGCGGCGGTGTTGGTGGTGCTAGTGCTGGTGCTTCAAAGTGGTTCAAAACTGGCTGCTTTCGTTAAGCTCAAGCTAAGAGCGTTCGTTCAGTTTTTGCATTGCACTGCATTCGCACGAGTTTGGTTGCCTCCGCCTCTTCCCCTTCCCCTTCCCCTTCCTCTCAGCGCTCAAGTTCAGTGTTAAAGTGAACTTTCCGCGATTCTTGTGCGTCCCAATCACTAACTGTAGTTGGCAACACAGTTGCTGTTAAGTAGTATTAGATGTAGTAGTTGTTGTTTTTCCTTGGCCGCTGAAAGTTGTCTAGCCACTGTGGCTATGTTTGTTTACATTTTCCAGTTAGTTTTGATTGTTTCAAGTGCAGATTGTCTGCCTGGTTGGCCGCCTTGCCTGTTGATTGTGTTTTCCGTCTTTGTGGTTGCCTTTTTCACGGCTCTTAAATCAGTTGTGCTCGCACAAAAACGTGTTTTGTCTGTAAATACAATTTCATTCAGAAACTTCATTATTTATATAAACACACATGGGCCAAAGATTTTGTAAGATATCAGTTATATATGTTTTGTTATTTAAGTAATTAGAATTCGTAAGTATAGCTAAGATATATTACATATATGTATAATATTTTTATATGACAAATGTCGCCGCTTTCTCGGCGGGTAACTTATTTCCTTTTCTAAGCATTTGGCCTAGTTGCTGATTTGTATTCGAAAAAGTTAACTCCATTAATGAACTCTTCTGTTCCTTAACTATATTATACACGTTGTTTTATAAATTTTAAAGAAGCGAAAATGTATATAACGAGAAATGCAAATTAATTTATATAATTCTAAGAATAAGTACTTACTTCATAAGTACCCCCAACAACTGGGACTCGCTTTATTTGCTTTACAAATATAAAATTAGGAATACAAGTAATTTATTGTTGGAGAAAAAAAAAAATTGAGGCCAAAAAGAACACAAACAAACAGGTTACAATATCTTTTAAAATTTAAATAAAAAGTCGTTTTCTTTGACACTACCAGGAAGCCAGTTTAACCTATGGAAAATGTCAGCCATATGCAAACATTGTGGACATTATTTAATCAAAATTCTTAATTATTCAATCTAAAATCTTTAGAATCATTACTGAATCTCCCTGCAATGACATTCATTTAGAAGTATTCCCAACTGGTTAAAAGTTGAAAATGGATGGAAAACAGAAGTAATCGAATTTCGTTCTTACACAATTGTTCGTATTTAAAGTGATAAAAAATTATTTAAACTATTCCAGCTCTGAACTCTTTTAAATGCCACTTAATCCAACAATAATCAACTTTCTGTTGTTGCTGTTGAAATTTATTTTCTAGTCGAATTTAATTCGTGCAAAGCAGGAGCTATTCAAATTTGTTTTCCCCAATTTGGCCATCGGCTTTTGTATTAAAATTAAAATGCAATTGAATGTTAGCTTCGATGGATAAACATTAATTTGGCAATAAATGCAAATAAATCGGTGGTCGGAATGCAATTAAACAGCTTTTCATTGTTTGCTTTTTATACCCTCTAGTCAAACAGTAAAAGGATACACTAGTTTAGCGCGAATGTATGCAACACACATTTTTTCAGGATTGTAGTTCCTGAAGCTAGAATTTGTCAGATGTTATATTTAAAAGCTGGGTTCGATTTTGTTTTCATTTAATTTTAGTCGAGAATAGCAAGGAGGTAATTGATTTAACTCTTTTATCGGCCACATTGGAATGATTAATTATTATGGACCACTTGGCCACTAAACATTTAATTTATTACTTTCATTTCGGTTGCATATCGCGGCTCACTTTAATTACTAAAGGTCTTTATCTAACACAGTCGGATGATTTAATCGTAAGTGTTGCGAGCTTTAGCCTTCGGGTCGCTTATGTCATAGCCTGACATTCAAGCAGTTTGATATAATCTCGAGCAACACTTATAACATTTATAACATCTATGAAAAATCAATTATACTAAATTGCTCGCTCACAGCTACACTCGTAGACTTGACTTACGATTATTGCTTTTAATGAGCTCACTTGTTGCCAGCATGAGAAATGGGCAGAGCGCCAAGCAAACCCAAGTCAGGCCAAGTGTATTGGCAACGACATGTGCTTTATGCGTTATGAGAGTCGTTATGTTTTTCAAAAAGTAGCAGCAGCAGACACATATGTTAGCTATTAAACATTCTATTAAAATGGCCGCGACTTACTCTTGAAAAATACAAAATTAATGACCATAAAACATGAGAGTGCAATGAAAATAATGGCCGGCAAACAAGTTTTTTGGCGGCATGTCGCAGAATTTGACAAAGTTGGGCTTGTTATGTAAGCGACATGTTTAAACTTTGTTGTATTTGTTGTTGTTGTTGTTAAAAAATTCAGCTGAATTAGACGGCAAATGACACAGAGACACCGTTACATAAAGACTTGACCGGCCGGGTCGTCTGCCTGCCTGCCAGTCTGTCTGTCAAGATGACAGAGCCCGCGGAGAACTTGTGTTTTCGCTCTTGACGGTGGTTAGAACTAATGTTTCGTGGCTTATATAACCGTTTAGTGAGGGCTTTTTATTTTTGTTGACCATTTGAAAACATTCCGGCTATAGCTTTCACTTAAACGCTACCGCCATCGCTCTTCTCAATTAAATATATCATTATATTTGCTTAATAGCACTGGAAAACAACAAAACCAGCAATAAGTATGAAGATGCGTAGATATCGGTGTTACAGGCCGGCCGCGTGTACAGATTAAATTCAACAAGCTTTCCCTTGTGGCTCTGTCAGTTCATTTCAGTTGGCCGGAAGGAAGGGGGAGGGAGCTAGGCAGGCAGGCAGGCAGAGATACAGATTTCATTGCATTTTTATGTGACAATTTTATTTGTGTAGCAGCAGCGATATCATGCGTCTATTTGGCATGTTTAAGCGCGTCCATCAAGTGCCAAGTGTCGTCATTCATGTTTAACAGCCTGTTATGTAAAGCTGCATATTAAATTGAAAAAAATATAAACATACATATTACACATGTATTCGAGTCTACACAACGATCTAAAATGTAACTCGAGCAGGTAACAGATAGATGCTAAGCATCTTAATAGACTGGCAACTTTCGGTTTCTGCCTCACTCGAACGTTTTGTGAATGTGTCTATCTGCCCATCTATATATCTATCTATTAGATACCTATAATGAATGCTATTACTAATTTCACTTTGTGCGTGTGTGCTGGCGAGTCTGATTTGCTCATTCGTAAAACGAACTCGTCTAGCGTGCAAATATTTTGTTATTTTATAAACTGTTTAAGTTTTTTGTAACGTTAGCGCTTTTTAAATACTATTGCTTGGGCTAAGAGAAATCTATCTAAAAGCAAAGCAAATAGCAAATTCACTTTCGTTGCGGTTAACCAACCCGACGCAGTCAGCCAACAGCTTACTAATGGCTTATTAAGTCCAATGGATTGGCATTTATTATATACTATATACTTGTATAATACATACATACATACGTCTATGGTAAAGTGCAAGAGAGTGCAACGTTTTACATTTAATATCACAATTTAAATTTAAATATTTCTTGCTATATGTATGGAAATGTAATTTCCGTGCAGTTGGGGGGAAAATGGAGCGCAGAAATCATGAAAACAATTTACACGTTTCACATTTCTCTTCTGACGCCAACATTTATTGCGCTGGGCTTGCATGAATGCTTTTTTTTTTTTTTTTTTTGCTGCCCTTACAAATTTGCTCTTAGATTTGCTCTGAAGCTTGTCACCAGCTCCGCGTTATAGATGAACGATCTAAATTAGTGGAGCCATGCATCGTTTGTTTGCGTCTCCGTTTAAGCACTTCTGATCTTGGTATCTTTCTTTTGTTTTTTTTTCACTTCGTTTTATTAATTTTAAAGATCAGACGATAACGTTAGTTCCATTTTTAAATTGTAGGAGAAACGAAACTGACTCTTTTTCAAATGGTAATTTCTTGTTATTATGCGTTGATCTAACTGTTACTCTCTTTGTAAACACCTGATCTCGGCAATAACCAATTCAATTTTCTCTTCGCTATTCTTCCATTTATCGTTAAAGTTTTGTTGATGTTAAAAATTTTAAATTTGATTCTGTACTTCTCTGAAGTTTTATATTTACAAGTGTAAAGATGTTAGGACCTTGACCGTGAAAACTAAAACTACAGTAACACCTGAGAATAATTTGCAAACAAATTTGTTGGTTTTGAAAAATATTTCGTAAAAAAGTCTTTTGAGGCAGAATGTTAAATTTTAATATAGAATTCTTGTTAGTTTTCATTAAAACCACATTTTACTCATGACGTGCATGTACAGATGTAGCTTAAGTTAAGTTAGAGACTAAAATTTTACTGTAATAGGCTTATGAATCTTTTTACTATTAAATACTGCTTGCTATTGTTCTTATAGTATAATTTATCCTTTTATCATGCGAATAAAATGTAGACTGCCGCGATTCTTGCAACATATATTGTTGTATGGTTGACCAGTCCCAATGGATCAAGTAATCCTAATATATCAGCTTAAATATTTCTTTTAGTTTAGTAAAATTCCATGGCTTTTAGATAGGAATGAACATTTTTCTACTAGTTGGTAAATCAATATGCCACTTGATTGCCTTCAAAAAAGAAAACAAAAATTGGTTCTTACTGTTACAATTTCATTATCTGTGCATCTGATGCTCTGTTTGCTGTATGCCGCAAGCAAGGGTGTAGAATATTCTTGGCAGCAAAATTTGCATTTGCTGTGTTATTTTTTTGTGCGAGCAAATATTTTTTCTTCACACATGTGAAAAAGCGCAAAGGTGAAATGCAGCTCAGAGCAGTACACCGTTCAACTTTTTCAACAGCCAGAAATTCAAAAAGTTTGAGCTTATCTTAAACGTTGTAATTTTATTGCCATGTAACTTTCTTTTGGCATGGCAAGTTAAATATGCAGGCATTTATAGAACATTGAAAGCATTTTGTATGGCAACTAATTGTAGCTGAGCATGCTACACGTGAGTCGCATTTAATTGGCATTCTAATGTGCGACGGTAAAAATGTCGGGCAACCAAGCATTAACCGGAGAAGAGGAACCCTTGTGTATTAGAGCGCGTTGAGATTTTTTATCTAGGTACGAGAATATCTGTTTATGTTTTTATATTTTTGTGGCTTCGCGTGCGCCTAAAACCAAGCGCATGCGCTAATAACTTAAGCGAGCAGCAGCACAGATGGGGACACAATGCAACTTAAGAACTTAATTTGAGCTCGTATGCTCATTTGAAGCCGCAAGTCAAGCTGTTGGCACTGCCACAAATTTCACTTTTATGCTAACAAAAGAAATGCTTTAAACCACACTAAAAATGCAACGAAAATGTGAGAAGAAACGGGTTTCGTTGATAAGCGGCAGCGGCTGCTGCAGCATCAGCCAGCTGTTTTTTTGTTGGTCACTCAGTCAGTCAGTCAGCGAGTCACTCAGTCAGTCACAGTCAAATCTGGGTCAAATATTTGCATTCACTTACAATAATTTTCGATTTAACTGTGTGTGTTAGTTAACGCCCGACTTTTACCCGCACGTAACGGATATAAGGCTGCAGTTTCTGAACCATCCGAATGGACACAGACACGCACACGCACGGGCACAAGTTTTTTCTTTTCTTTTGGCAATTACCGCGTAATTCTTGTGCACATTTTTCAGTTAGCGTGACGTCTAATTAGTGTATGATTTGGTTGTTGTTGCTGTTGTTGCTGTTGTTGTTGTTGATGCTGGTATCGTTATTGTTATTGTTGTCGCTAGGTACTTTCGCTCTCCGTTTTAATAAACAAATTTCATGTTTCGCATTAAGAATTAATCTTGTCAAGTAGCGGCTTCTTTCACTTTTTATGCGCGTGTATGTGTGTGGGCTTTTTATTATTTATCTGCTGGTTTTACACACGCGATGCCCAAGTGACGCGGCAATTTCAAATGTGGGAAACGTTTGGCGGCAAGACCTGAACACCAACTGAAGTGAAGTGCTGCTGTGGCATGGCTTTTTGCGGGCACCTCTGGCAACAAACTCGTTAAGTTGTACGTGAAAGATGTGTCTAGCTGCGACTGCGTTTGGGTGTTAACTGTGCAAAAGAGAGAGAGAGAGCGAGAGAGAGTGGTCAGCTCTGCAGAGAGAGCATTTCTTTTTCAGCCTAAAAGTGTGCACTACATTCTAAATGTCGTAATAACTAAACGGTTAAGGCAATACATCTCTTATTGTATAAAGATGTGTATACACACATAGTGTAGGAAATTCCTAAGAAGACTTAATTGTTATATTGGGGTATAAACAACAGCAATTCCCATACCTTTGTTTCAGCTGATTCATTAATTCGGTAACAAAATCTGTGCAATTCAATCGGATATTATTTTCACTAATATTTGTGATCTTTTCCTAAGTATACATCCCATTTTATGTGTATTTCAAAATCTTCTACAAAAATGTCTAATTTGACATCGGGCGTAATAGTTTTGGATTAAAACGAGTGAATTAAATATTAGTTGCACAAATTTCAGCTTTAAAAAAAATGCTGTAAAATGCTAAGTCAGCTCAAAAAAGGATAGATTTCCAGATAGGGGCTGTTTGATATTTTTTCAGGCTGAAGCAATTTTTAAAAGGACAGATCTGTCCGGAAAAATGCTGAAATGGCAACACTGGTAGGAATAGAAAGATAATTTAAATTTAGTAATAATATCAAGAAAGAGTATCTATTCACTTCAGAGTTAGCAGTGTTCCAAGTAAGATGCTGTCTGAGCAAAACTATTGTATAATTAATAAAAAACTATATAGTATACGATATGGGTTACCCTGACAGCTGCTTAACATATTAATCCATATGAGCCCCCATATCCATATCAATGCTCAAACGAACACACCCGTTTTGATCGTAAGCGTCTTTTGTGATTTGGCCGTATTGGAAACGCATTCTTATATATTCCGTAAACTTTTATTGTTAATATTTAACATTAAAGTACCTGAGATTCTCGATTACGTACTCAGGCATAAATGGCCCGGACCTTAAATACGAGTCTTGGGCATCAGCGCCATTTTGATGTGATTAAAAATGTAGGCCTATTATTCTAAATGCGCAATGACTGTCTACTTATTATTGCTAATGACGGTTTCAAACGAAATATTCACACACCTAGTAAAACAACAAACCTCTTTGGTCTTCCTTTAAGTAGACAAGAGAGAACGCATTCCATGTACAGAGTATGAAAGCTTAACGATGCAATTGTGAAACTTAACATGAGAATTGATGATTGTCAAAATCGAAGCTTCAGAACTCTTCGTTTTATTTTCTCCTAAGTGCACTTCAGGATTAAACTTACGCGTAAACAAATAGTTTAAAAAATCATGTCTATTTCGGACTAAATATCCTTTAGAAACTCCTGGGTGTTCAGTTTTCTTTCCTAGGCTTGGACCAAACCCGCCAACCTCAAGTCAGTCTATGCACGAATTTAACAATCTCTTTATTACAATTTATTAAAAGTTATTGTTCCACTTTTTGGTAGACTAATTCATTTTCGTTGAGAGGTAGCATTACAATCTTGCCAATACTTTTTTCGCCTATCTCTTCGTTTACGACATGTTTCGGCGTTTTCTGGCTAGCAACAAATTTTTTCTTAGCATTCCCTGGCTTTTGCTTAATGGCATCAGTTTTGTATGCGGGGTGAGGGAACTTTGGATACTGATATGGGTAAAAGTATGGCGGATAGATAGGCACGGGGTAGTAAATTGGTTGTGGGATAAAATACGGCAAAGGCGCGAATGGCATATTCGGAAGTAGGCGGTTGTTCTCACGGTGCTGATCGCAATGCGGGTGAGGGTGTCGAGTTGGTCGAGGTTTCTGCTGATGAACTTCCTCTCCAGATTGTGTTGGCACAGCATCCGTCGTTATTTGAGCTGGCAGTTCTGTTGAAGGTTCCGTTGTGATTTGAACTACTTGAGTAGTATCCACATCTTCAGAGTGAATTGTTGACACGGATACCAGTAGAACTATAACTTTATAAACGCAATTTATTAATAAACATTTTATTTGAGATCAAGAGCAATTCTTACGTACCACTGCAAATCAGCTTCATGGTGTCTGTCGTACTATTGATCTGTGGTTGGCACAATTTTGCTTTTATATCGCAGAAATCGCTTAGAAAATCGCTTGAGTTGCTAATTGAAATTTCGCACGTGCGGATCTAGCACAGAAATCAAAGAAACGGTAAGAGCTTTCTGACCGTCTTAGACTTGCTAATGGTGGTAATGAATGATTGTCAAGTGAAAATCTTCGACTTTATTAATAAAAAAAACTACTTCGATGTTTTTCGTTAGCCTATTCAATAATTTAATATGTAGTATGCCTAAGTAAAATTGTTTAACATAATTATTAAATCGAGAACATTATTGGAGGTTCTTTCTTTTTTGGGCAATTATTTACAATTATTTTCAAAAAAATTATATCCAGTCGAACAACAATGTTCTTTAAATTCTGGTTCTGTTTCTAGTTGGCTCCGAGGGTCTAGTAGTAGGAGGGATCATTGTAGTTGTAACTGGGGGAATGAGTGTTGTTGTAATTGGGGAAGTCTGTGTTGTTGTAATTGGAGGGATCATTGTAGTTGTAACTGGAGGTATTAGTGTTGTTGTAACTGGAGGAATCTGTGTTGTTGTAACTGGAGGAGTCTGTGTTGTTGTAACTGGAGGAGTCTGTGTTGTTGTAACTGGAGGTATCAGAGTAGTTGTTATTGAGGGAGTCTGTGTTGTTGTAATTGGAGGGATCAATGTTGTTGTAACTGGAGGTGTGAGAGTTGTTGTAATTGGAGGAGTCTGCGTTGTTGTAACTGGAGGAAGCATTGTAGTTGTAACTGGAGGTATTAGTGTTGTTGTAACTGGAGGAATCTGTGTTGTTGTAACTGGAGGAGTCTGTGTTGTTGTAACTGGAGGGATCATTGTAGTTGTAACTGGGGGATTCAGCGTAGTTGTAACTGGAGGTATTAGTGTTGTTGTAACTGGAGGAATCTGTGTTGTTGTAACTGGAGGAGTCTGTGTTGTTGTAACTGGAGGAGTCTGTGTTGTTGTAACTGGAGGTATCAGAGTAGTTGTTATTGAGGGAGTCTGTGTTGTTGTAATTGGAGGGATCAGTGTTGTTGTAACTGGAGGTATCAGAGTAGTTGTAACCGGGGGAGTCAGTGTTGTTGTAATTGTAGGAGTCTGTGTGGTTGTAACTGGAGGAGTCTGTGTTGTTGTAATTGGAGGTATCAGAGTAGTTGTTATTGAGGGGGTCTGTGTGGTTGTAACTGGGGGATTCAGGGTAGTTGTAACTGGAGGTATTAGTGTTGTTGTAACTGGAGGAATCTGTGTTGTTGTAACTGGAGGAGTCTGTGTTGTTGTAACTGGAGGAGTCTGTGTTGTTGTAACTGGAGGTATCAGAGTAGTTGTTATTGAGGGAGTCTGTGTTGTTGTAATTGGAGGGATCATTGTAGTTGTAACTGGAGGTATTAGTGTTGTTGTAACTGGAGGAATCTGTGTTGTTGTAACTGGAGGAGTCTGTGTTGTTGTAACTGGAGGAGTCTGTGTTGTTGTAACTGGAGGTATCAGAGTAGTTGTTATTGAGGGAGTCTGTGTTGTTGTAATTGGAGGGATCAATGTTGTTGTAACTGGAGGTGTGAGAGTTGTTGTAATTGGAGGAGTCTGCGTTGTTGTAACTGGAGGAAGCATTGTAGTTGTAACTGGAGGAATCTGTGTTGTTGTAACTGGAGGAGTCTGTGTTGTTGTAACTGGAGGGATCATTGTAGTTGTAACTGGGGGATTCAGCGTAGTTGTAACTGGAGGTATTAGTGTTGTTGTAACTGGAGGAATCTGTGTTGTTGTAACTGGAGGTATCAGAGTAGTTGTTATTGAGGGAGTCTGTGTGGTTGTAACTGGGGGATTCAGGGTAGTTGTAACTGGAGGTATTAGTGTTGTTGTAACTGGAGGTATTAGTGTTGTTGTAACTGGAGGAATCTGTGTTGTTGTAACTGGAGGAGTCTGTGTTGTTGTAACTGGAGGTATCAGAGTAGTTGTTATTGAGGGAGTCTGTGTTGTTGTAATTGGAGGGATCAATGTTGTTGTAACTGGAGGTGTGAGAGTTGTTGTAATTGGAGAAGTCTGCGTTGTTGTAACTGGAGGAATCATTGTAGTTGTAATGGGAGGAGTCTGTGTTGTTGTAATTGTAGGTGTGAGTGTTGTTGTAATTGGAGGAGTTGTGACTGGAGGGTTCATTGGTATTGTACCCATATTGGCTTGATTATGCAGGCTGTTCAATATATTGTTGATCAAATTCTGAATTGGCTTTGGTTTATTCACATGGAAGAAATGCTCTGGAAGCGGCCATTTTTTGTGTGGTTTCTTTGTAGCTTTAGTTGTTGTCGATTGAGTGGGTCCTGGTGTTGTCGTGGTTGTCGTAGTTGTTGTTGTAGTCGTTGTAGTTTTCCTTTTTGCCTGCAATTTTTCCCTTATTTTGGATACCCAGCGTTTGGTTGGCTTAGGGGTGGTCGTTGTGCTGCTTCCTACTGTCGTTGTAGTCGACTGTTTGTCCTTCCAACGCTGCCAAGGCTTCTCACGATTCGCAAGTGGACCACCATGAAAACGTTTCAGGTTGCTTAGATCGTTCGAGGCTGTTTTTGTCTCCTCCTCACCATTTAAATCACCAACAACGTCAAATCTGACATCGCTTTGTTTTATATAAAAATCTTCGTTGACATTTTCGCCAAAACTCACACGGAGAGCAGAGACAATCGTAAATATTACTAAGATTAATCTTAAACAGGATATTCCGCCGACGAAATGGTTGCGATTCGAATTCATTTTCGCGCAATACTCACAATTCTGACCAGTTGAAAGCCTTTTATATATAAATAGTAACTGGGGCATTTAATTAAATTCCAATTAAGAACCATGTGGAACACAGAGAAAGTACGAATTAAAGCAAGCTTTTATTTAAAATATGCTAAATAGTTATGATCTACCTCAAGGTGTTCACAGCTTCCTGTGCTAATCAGTTTGTGCGAAAAAAAATGTGGTTTGCCATTTGTATTATTCTTCGGGTGAAACGGATTGAACGGTGGGCTAAGAAGCTCGGGATATGTTTGTGTAAAAGGGATGCGGTAAGCGTGGGAGCCTTTTTACTTTAGGGTCTATGGCTGATTACCCAAGAGTCTAGTGATCTATTCTCTGCTTGATTAGAGTTCTGTCCAACTGCAGGCAACATTTTTCTGCAGTCTTACAATGGTTTTTGCTTTCAATAGCGACAAAGCAATAACTCTTCTGGCACATGCCAATTTCGTCGCACCCTATTAATAATTATGTGAAGAGGGTTAAGTTTTTGGACTGACAAATACCATAAATAAAACTTACGTTTTGGTACCTTAGTTGACGCGGTCACGAACATTATGAGCGCACAAAAAAAATAGGTCCGCACGCAGACATTAAACATTTCGTTGCTATTAGTGAGCTCCGAATAAATCACATTTCACTACCAGAGATGAAAAAAATGCAAGTGGAACCGCAGCAAATTGTTCTTGATGCGACGCGTAATTACAACTCATTGATTCGTAGCGGGTAGAGTTGCTCAAAAGTGAGTTCGGTGGAGTTCAGTAAGTGGAGTGCTTTTCGCACATTAGTTTTTGGTATATTTGAGTAAATAAATACAATAAATAAATAAATAAAATATTTAAATAAATCTACAACTTCTGCAGCTGGCTGGGTGGCTCCAGGTTAAGAGCACGTCCGTAGCCTCCATACCCACTGGCTGTACCTAAGCCTCCTCCACCACCCCCGCCGTAGTGGGCGCTATGTCCGTGACCATCCTCATGGCTCACTGAATGTGAATGGCTCGAGGTGTAGATGGGTTTGGCCACAATCTCATATGTAGTGGACTTGCCGCCACCCGCCAAACTCTTCAGGCCCAGTACACCAGAGAGTGTGAGGGCCATTAGTGCTGTCATCAGCGCCTTGCCAGCTATCAAAGCAATTGCACCGAAGCCCATAGCCATCATCATGCCTTTCATCATGACGCCGGCGGCAATCAGAGCCTCCAGGCCCCCCTTTTTGCCAAATTTGTGCTTGCGACCGCTCTCAACGGCAGAGCGTGCCTCCCGAACCCCCTTATCGTCCAGCAAACGGAAGCGTAGAAAACGTGTCTTCAACAAATTTTCAATTTTTGCCAGTATATAGCCATTAAGACGTGTGTTGGGGTCACTAGGGTAGCTGCGTGCGACTTCTAAAAAATGAAATAATAAAGTTTTTATTTACAACTTAAATTAAGTTCTAAGCTCTGCATTGCTCAATATTCAGTTCGAATTGAACTTGGAATATATTTTTGAAAGCAAATATCTCTATTCCATTTATAATAGCTTAGAAGTTTCGGACAATCTCCGACTTGTCAACAAATGGGTACTGTTGCTTGCCAATTTTTTCATATAATGAAAAAATATTGTTTGTTTAGCCATTGCGAGGTCAATTTACAATTCTCGAATGATGCTCGATGATAAATGAAATTAAAACAATAGAATAAATAACGTACCCGCCATGAGTTCGGAGGTCTTCAGCTCTGTGGCATTAACATCCTTCACGACACTAACGCCCGGCAAGACCGTCACCTCTTGCAGCTCAGCTAGTCGTTCCATAATCTTCACGAATTCAATTTTCAAGCACATCCAACTAAACGCGGAAATCTCGCAGTCATCCATTGGATTTCGCATTGGTTCTTTCTGTGGCTCTTTCAAGGTTTCTGCGGGCATCGTCGGTGCTGCTGTTGCCTCCGTTGGCTGTAAACTGGCCGCCTGTGCATATTTGCACATAAAAGCCAAGAGCAGCAAATAAAATAAATACTCCAAGGTCTTTAAGAGCAACATTTCGTTGATGAGTTCTATGCAAAATTGTGTTGCCCAGAGTACGGTCCAATTGACTAGCAGCTGTGCTTGCGACTGCAGTGGCAACATTTTATGGCCTTGCCTTTTATACCCGAACAAATATTTTGTGGCCAGCCGCCCATTTCTATTTCACAGCATTGGAAAACATTCCCTTTCACTGCCCAGCACCAGCAGCAGCACCAAAGTCATTGCCGCGTTTAAGCTGCCAAGCGTTGTTGTCTTTGCTTTTCTAATTACATAGCCTCGATTTGTGGTCGAAATTCTTCCCAGCGTCAGTCAGCTGCGTCCAACCGAGCAACTGCCCAGGGTACTGGCACTTTCGCTTTCGGCCAGAAACCGGCGCTCACTGTACCGGAAACTTTGTCGCCAAGTCCCTAATGAGTTCCCAATGAGGCTCAAAGAAAAATTTACGTAAAAGTCGCGTGCAAAACGCTTCAGTTGCCTCCCCCTCCGTCCGTCTCTCAGGGGCGTCCACTGTAATAAACGCCGAATAAATTAAGTTGTACAAACTAGAAGTTGGACACTCGTTTTGCTTACCTGATTCCATTTAACTATGTGCAGTTAATTATTACTAAATTTTCTTTTTCTTTTGGTGTTGTTGTTGTAAAAGTATTGTTGCTGATAACATTTCTTTCTTTTCTTTCTTTTTTTCTCGGCTTTCTTCATCTATGAAGTAATAAATCTTTTGCTGCGACTGCTGTTTCTGTTAACGACTAATTAGAAACACAATTGGAGGTCTGAATTTCATGAATCATTTTTATTCAATTGCTTTAAATTATCAAAATAAATACTTAGTTATACAATTCCTTAGCAGACATTTTGAATCCATGGCGCGTTTCCATTTATATTTATAACCTGAGCTACGCATATATGGATGGTGTGGTAGGGTGTCTGTTCTGCAGTCATTGTGCAATAAATATGGCGCAAACATAATCAAAGATTTCCGTGTGCATTGTCCTGAGCTAGCCAAGTCGTTTGGTTGTCGTGGGGCGAATGTTTTTTTTTCTTATTTTTTTGTTGTTTGTTTTTGTTTTGGTTTTTGGTATGTCGCAGCTAACTAACTAGATACTAAAAATAATTATTGACTACAACACTACAACGAATTTAGCCATTCTTCGTCTCCTTTCTGATAAGCATAGATATAGAAAAGTCTTTAGCGATAGCGATAGTTGTATAGGCAGGATGACAGTGAAGAAAATAGGAATGGAGTAGGTGGTGCTGGGAGCAGACCATAGGTAGGAAAGTGGGCGGGCAATAGGGTAGATGGATTAGCTTTCAGCTACAGCTTAGAAGGGTTGGGCCAGACCATAGTGGTTGTAGGCCAATTCCGAAGCGGCAGCTTGACCGTTGCGGTTCCAATCGGAGTGCACAATCTCAGCGTTCAATGGGCTGCCAGTAATGTAGGCAGTGGTGATGTGATCCTTCTTCTTGGCCAGCAGATCCTTGAAGAAGGTGGCACCTGAGCAACAGAATATTACAAAATTCATAAGCAACTCTTTTAAATATTCATAACCATCACTCACCAGCTAAGATGAGCGCGAGGAAGGAGATGGCCAAACTCTTCAGGGAGATGAATTTGATGATTGTAAAGAGCACCTTGACGACGACAGCCTTCTTCAGTTTCAAAGCCAACAGCAGTGGCAGCAACATTTTCTTCATGCGCTTGCTACGCGACTCTGTATAAAAACGGAAATTGCATAAGTTTCTGCATTAAGTTGTTGCCCCATGCATGCTGAAAGGTATGCAATGCTCTCTGTCAGATTCTATGTGTGTGTGTGTGTGTGTGTGTGTGCGGCTCCCATGTTATTTCGTTGGTAGCCGCAAAGTATGCAATATGAGTGGCAACCAAATGTGTAGCAGCATGCCACGGCGATGCCAGGTAAAGGGGTTCGGTTATGCCCTGCTTGTGGCATGTGGCGTATGCGTAATGCAAGCGTCCGTGAAAGTGCAGGCTAAGACAACCTAAGGTCTATTATTATCCAGGATGCTCAAGATGGTTTAAGACGGGCTTTACTTCAATCAAGCTTATTGTAGTCCACATTGATCAAACCTTTTTTAATTTGAACATTTGAATTTGCAAATAAATTGAAAATGTTATACTTTTCAACATATGTTTAAGATTCAAAAGTTTCAAAATTAGTTTGGCAGTTTTGTGTGCAAATTATTTGCCTCTTTAATCTTAGCACACAAACTACTTTCTAAGTGTTCAATAACAAGGAACGAGGCAATTCTTTTCAGCTGACTTCTTTAAAAAATAATATTTTTTTAAATGAACTACTGAAATACTGTGCTCTTTTGCAGATTCCAATGCGTTGTGACAGTGAAAGTTTTAATTTCTTTTAATTTGCATTACGTGGTTTCAAGCATGTATGGCATTGCTACTCACCTTCCATGGCACGACCGCTGTACACATTCTCAGCATTCTCATCTTGCTCGTCACCGGAGAACGACAGATTCAATTCGTGAGTTTCTAGATAGCGTTCGGCACGATCTTCAAAAGATTCGACAGCCTTGTTGGCACCAAAGCTGCGACCCGTTTCTGAGCGATCGATGCGTAATCCACCGAATAATGGCACCGATTCCTCACTATCCAGTCTGTTGAGCATATTGACTAAATCCTTTTCGCTGTTATCCTGCGAGGGGAGTGCAATAGCGCCGCACACAAAGCTGGCCACGAGCACTACACAAACGAATTTCGCACACATATTGATTCACTTCTTTTTTTTTGTTTGTTTTGGGATAAATTATATTGGTTTTTTATTTATAGTCCTTGCGATTGCTGCCACACACTGTTGGCTTTGTGGATGTAGATTGCTTTGTGATTAATTGTATGCATTGTGTCGAGGTTTTATACCTTTTCGAAGTCATTCAATGTGCGTGCGTGCCCAGTTGGGCTGTTTTGTCCAATTTGGTAGCTAGAAATCGCGGCTGTGGCCAAAAGTGCAACAACAACAACAGCACCACAACAACAAAAGCGCACAATTTATGCAAAGCATATGCGCATGCTACCTACTTGCCTGTCTTTGTGGAAGTCTCCCCCTATCTTCGCCAACTGTCGCGCACAAAAAATTTCTTGCCCATATTTCCACGTCTGTGGCCAAATGAAAGGGAAGTCATCAAATATTGTGTTATTTTTCTCTCTCTGCATATACTTATGTATGTATATTTTTATATGTAGGTATAAGTGAATGCCCCAATTCCTGTAACTCGGCGCTCAATTGGAGTTGCACCGTTAGGCTCTCATAATTGGCATGCAGCGATGTTTGCAGAGCCAAGGGACGTGACTGAATTCGATTATGAATCTTCTTCAGCTTGTCTCTCTGTGCCAGATTCTTAAGCTGGCTAGTCTGGCCAGCACATGGCCGTTGTTGTTGTTGTTGTTGGTGTCTCATTAGCCATGCCATTGAATTTCATTATACTGATTATTGGCCAGTCGGCAGTACAAGTAAGCAAGTAAGTAAGTAAGCTGACTCGCCTGCCTGCCCTATTTGGTATGCCCCGAACGTGGTGACTTAATGCGCGCTTTGTCCCACATAGTTGGACGGACGACGCTACTCGTCGCGACGCTTTCAACGCTTTCGATTTCATTCTCTTTTGCGATTGTGCCTGTGCCTCTATGCCTGTGCATGTTGGCGGCAAGTGGCGTTTTCTATTTCAATTGCTTCTAAATCTGTTTCAAATCTGCGCATAATTGGCCATGGATGGCACGTGCAAAAGAAAGCTGAGTCCACACAGCCATATATCTTCCCTTCGATCACATATACATGTAGTAGTCGTACTCGTACTCGCACTCGTACTCTCACACAGCAAAAGTGACACTTTTATGAGCATAAGTAGAAAGTTTCTACTGCGTCAAGTTTGCTTGATAAATAATTAACTTGCCGAGACAGGCAGTCATTCAACTGGCATGCCGAACAAATACACTAACTACAATTGAACAATTCGAGCCGAGTAGGAGTTGTACTCGTAGAAGAAATCCACAAATGTCGCACACTTGCCAATTTCAATCAACGCGCAATGATTATCAGAATCTTGTCAGAAGGCGGGACATGACCAGCGACAAGAGTGCTTACTTAGTTACTTAGTTTTTCGCCCTTTTCAAGTCACAGTGCCATTAACTTGTCACTGTCGGAACCTGCCCAACGTCACCAAAATTCTAAGGTATGCGTGCAAACGAAACTTGTTGTTTTTTGTTGTTTTTTTTTTTTTGTTTTTTTGAGGGTCGAGTTCAAGCCCCAAATTTTTGCCGTTTAACCAGTTAAGTGCCTGTGTGCTAGTGTACCTGAGCTTTTCAATTAAGCTGTCTGCTCGCAAGTTCGTGAGCAGTTTCGATTTTCCACAGCTGCTTTGGGAAAGTTGCCACAGAAAGCATTAGCCTAATGACGCAAGAGTCGGGACTTGACATGACGCCCTCCTGTCAATTAAGCCGCCCACACCCACACACACACACACCAACTAACACCCTCTCATCAAATTAACCGCAATCACACCCACTGTCACACATTGATGTGGAATTTAAGAAATTAATCGTTGGTTGTTTTTATTACATTTGTTAAATTATGACAATTATTCATTCAACTTAATTACAGCTGCTGACGTGTTTTTTTTTGTAAGCTATGGTATTGGAACAAATTTTTTGCAGATAGTGCTAAGCAGTAAATTAGTTAATTACGCGTCAACTTCACGCTTCGAATAAATTACTACAAACTAATTTCAAATGAAGGCACATTTTTGGCTGATTGGCCGATGGACCAAAGGCAGTTGCAGTTCTCATTCTTCTACTGCTGCTGCTGCTGCTGCTGCTGTTGGCCAGCATAGGCCAGCTCCTGAGCATCAGCATCGCTCAGGCTACGTGCATATGGATAAGCGGAGGAGGCGCCAGAGGACCAGCCGGAACTGGCAGGTGCCGACCAGGCATTTGAGTTGTAGCCGCTGCCATAGGAGCCACCCAATTTGCCAAAACCGCCCAGCAGACGCGAGCCGCCGACAAGCAGGGCCAGGAAGAAGGCAATCTTGGCCACCACAACAGCCTTGAAGGTCAGCAGAGCCAAGAAGCCGAGTACGAGGGGCACAACAGCAAAGAGCTTGGCACCAATGGCCAGGGCGAGGGGACCGATCATCTTCTTGATCTTGCCACGGCCTGCAAAGCAAATAGGAGAGAAGAGAAGTAAATCATCTGTGCGATTGACTTGAACCTTCACAAGGGCTTACCTTCATCCAAAGCGCGTGCGACTTGCTGTGTGGTCTCGGCAGGCAGTTTGAACTCCAGATTGTGTGTGCTCAAGAATTCGGCAACGCTGGACACGGCCAAGTCAACCAGGCGGCTGTTGCGCTCCTCAGTGGACGGGGGCAGCTCAGCGTAGACATCCTGCTCGCTCAGGGATTTGCCGGAGCGTTGAACAGGACTGGCGGGATCTCTGCAAGCGGAAGTGGGAAAAAAAGAGGTGATTAAAGGCGTCGAAAGAAAATTCATGCTGGTCACAAATGGAGGAAGTGATTAGGAGAAGTTCTTTTAGCAGAAACGTTCGGTGAGGAAGTAATGATAGCATTTATAAACAATTCGGGAGAGCGTTGCAATTGGAAGTGATCGCAATATTTGTGTTTTATTTTTTCTTTTGGATAAATAGAGCAGTGATAAAAGCAGCAGAATAGGTGTAGCTTATTATGATCAATTTGAAAAGATCTCAATATTTTTGTATGCTTCGAAAATGTAAAGTGATCGTAGATTTTGCTTTCGATCAGGGAAAAGTAATATTATCCGCAAAGAATTGTGTTCAGCAAGTGGCGATCACTGATCGTACAAATAGGTATTATTATTATCAATTGATTCGTGTGATTAATAGTCAATGGTTAAGCAGTGATCGTGTTAGTTGTATGAGTTTTTTAAAGCGACTGAAATGTTTAACGTAAGTCAGTCAGGATATGTGTAACAATGTTTTAATTGATGATCGGAGAGGGGTATGAGTTCATGCGTTCATTGCTTCCTGGTTTCATTTCACTTTCTTGAATAGGTTTTATAACTTTTTGAGCTCGGATAGTCTTGAAATTAGCACTTTTTGGAATGCTTTTCAAACATGGTTATATCGTTTCTCACTAGCACACACACACACACAAACACACACACCTCTTGAAGGTGACACCATTGGCCAACTCGATGTTGTTGCTCCTGGCGGCGCGATTCAGTGCCGTAATTCCCTTGACTGCCAAACAGGTGGATATGTCTTCACTTTCGAGACAGGCGCCCAAATAGCGGGCGGCACGTCCGAATGTACTATCACTTTCGATTTTATTATCTTGCACATTTGGAGCAGCCCAGGCACAGCTGGCGACCAAGAGGCCCACACAAGCGATGGCGAACACTTTCATTTTCGGTGGAGTTATTTAAGAAAAATTTGCGATTTTGAATACGCGACGCGTTTAATCCTTTTGACACTCGACGGCTGCTGCTACTGCTACACTCGAGAGCGTTGAGATGAATTTGATGTATGCGTCTCGAGACGTCTACCCTTTTATATTGGGCGGCGTTTGTAACGCTGTCAAAGTCACAGTCACAGCGCGCAGCAGCTGCTGCTGCCCAAAAAGTGGACTGAGACGTCGCAGCAGGCAGCTGACAGAGGGCAGCCAGCAGCGACGCTTCGCACGCATTACAAAACAATTTAAAAGCAAATTAAACAAAACCAGCCAGAGACGCGGCTGTGGAGTTGAAGTCGGTGTCGGAAGCTAACGCAAAAAGCGCACGTCCCCAAAAACAAAAAACCCGAAAAACACAAGACATAGCGCACATACATAAATCTAGAAAACAATAACAACCAGCCGAGCAACAGCTTGAAAATAAAGTCAACTTGTTTGTTAAGTGAATATGTTCATTTCTTCATTTCTTTTGCGAAGCCGCCGCTGCCACCGTCTCTGCCATCAGTCAACGTCAAAACGCTCCGTGGAGAGAAACTTGGACTTGGCTGTGGAGCCAGAAGTGTGTGTGCACGGCGGCGCGCCTGCGTCGTGTAAACAATTGGCATCATTGGCTGAACGTGGCAATTACCTCGACCGCGACCGCAATCGCGCAACCGCGACTATGGCCAGCAGCAGCATCGCTTCGATACACGCCCTCAACGCGGCAGCATCGTCAGTATCGATACCTGTGTTGTTGTGTTTACGCACGGTCTGCGTTTGCGCTCAGCTTTCATTCGACTCGCGAGTCTCGACTCTCGCAATATTTGCTAATTTATTGACGCTTCTTCTGCAACACTTACATATGCATCGAAAGCGTCGATGATCCGGTTGCCGTCTGCACACGGGTATATTATACCAACCATATCATGCCAACCATTTATGGCGCACATTTTTAGTTCGCTATTACGACTTGACCGTAAATGGGTCGTCGCTATTAGCTCAGCTAGTGTTGTCCTCTCTCTTTCCATCTCCCTAATTGGTATGCGTATTGTGAAATGTTTCTTAGCAGACCAGCAGTGCGTATTTGTGCATATTATTACTTATCTGTTGACAGCAACTATTTGCCAAGTATTAGATAATATACTCTCGTAATGCTCATTGCGAGGTTCATTGCGATAAGTCATACATATGTGAAACTGTTATCCTCTCAAAGACGTAAAGTTAATCAAATAAATTAAAAAAAGAATCTTATGATTGTTATAAAAACTACCTTTGTATCAACTGTCCCTGTTTAGTGGGAGGTTTTATGTTGCATGACATAGTATGAACATATAATACAGTATACAGTATATAATGCATCGCTTCCGTATGTACAAAACAGATATCACTCTTTTAAATTATAGCTGAAAACATGTTGAAAACTCGCAATCTCTTCACTCTTAAACTCTATACACCCACCAAAAAAACTAAGCGTAGATGCCCAATAAAATAAACATTGCTTTTGAGAGTAATGATGAATGTAAATAAATATTTTATCAATTTGTCGAAAAGAAAGTGCTTTTAAAAATGCCCTTGTAAAGTTTTTTATATTATAAGCCATTAGCTCATACGAGTAACTAAGTAAACTTTAGTTTATAAGCATATGGTGGTTAGTTTATAAGCGACAATGCTTCACTAATTGATTCAATATTTATAACCTATTAACTTAGTTTTTATAATTCATAATAGCGAAAATTAGCAGATGTATATGTTTGTCGCATGAGCCTTTAAAATGTGTCACATACGACAATGATGGGCGTATCCTGGTTAAAGCTGGTTGAAGCAGTTCAATCGATGTACAAGCCAGTACATTGGACATTTGACCAAATACTGAATTTGGACCTCTACTATCCACAATTAGACTATTCGAAGCTATTGATTGTTAATGGATGTTGTTGGGAGGTTTTAATGCATCGGAGGTTTTAATAAATCGATTCGTCTGTAAAGCCTTCTTGGGCCTGTTTTATATGCACATTTGGCACTTAGAGTTCCTAATAGTTAATTCTTTAGATGTTCGGTCTAAAAATCGGTGACCCTTCCATTGTTAGGCGCTCTTACGATGAACCAGCCGCCAGATTTGCAGTCCCAGTTCTAGTCCCTATTCATTCCGAGGGCAGCTTGATACTTTATAACATACTTTACTCATAACTCGGCCGGTAGTTTTGTTATAAATCTTATTGCAGTGCTCCCGATTAAATATTTCATGCTCACCGCTGCTTTATAATTTCGGGTGGAATTTAATTCTGTCATCATCCTTAACATGCCAGCTTAGAACTTAATAAAATTTGTACGACTTATTTGACTTCCACAACACGAGCTGTCAATTTAGAAAATGTCAAATGTCTTTAAAAAATTCTCTCGTTTGACTTTCACATATTTGTAATTAAATAAAAATTGCATTGGCCGAGATTAGGCGAGCCCAACTAACAGTTCTGTTGTTCATTTTTATGGACGCAGGCACACCACATTTCTCTGCGGCAAAAATCCGACATTAATTGGTAAAATTTGTTTTTATGAGTATAAAGAAAAGCCTATAATAAAAAAAAATCGAAAACCAATTCAATTTGGCAGCCAAACAATGGTCACAAAATTTGTATTTTTATTATTCCCAGCTTATTAAAGGCAAGCCATTCACAGGCCGGCTTACTCACTCACTCACTCACTCACTTTCATTTATATTACAACAAATGCGACACTAAATGCTGCCCTCGAAATTGTCCAGTTGTTATTGCTGTATTTGTTGTTGCGTTTGTAGCGCCGCAGGTAGTCTGTGGCGGCATACGCGCTTGTCACACGGTGCGTATGAGTGAGGCGCCTTTATTTTTCGGCCATTGTTTTAAGCAAGCCATGTAAACGAGATGGGGGGGGAAAAAGAAGCAAGAAAAAAGAAAGTGTGCTAGGCATGCCACACGGCGAGACGAGTGCTCACATTTATGCTGGATTGTGATTCACTTGCTGCGCTAATTTGCATAGTTTGCCAAAAAAATAAAAAAAATCATAAAACTTAAAACAGGCTGTAGGTCAACATACATGTATGTATATGCATTATTTCAACATTCGTTCATTCAGTCATTCATTCATTAATCGATGTGGGGCCGCATGCCATTGCCTTTGCTCACGCTCTTGGTCCAGTTTCATTCATTGACGTAGCCGCAGTGCAAGTCCAAGTCGAAGTCGTCATCGTTGTCATTATTGTTGTGTTGTTGTTATTGTTGTTGTAGTTGTGTGAGTGAAAGTTATGTAATTTTCATTGAATTTTGCAATCTGCAACGGGCTCTGAAACCGGATTTCGCCGGCCTCCGTCGCCTGTGGCAACAACGGCAATCCGATTGCAAATCGGTTGGGCACAGATATTCGCATCAAGTGTCAAATGTATGTACGAGTACTCGCATGAGAGTCTATAAGCGTGTTTAACTGTCAAATCAAACGAAATTTCTAAATGCCAATCATAAATAAGTAATTTCTCTTTTTGCTGTCAATGTTGTTAATTTATTTTCTTCTATTTTTCTGGGGCGTAATGTGTTTCTGACAGCTGCCAGTCGATGACAACGGGGGCGAGCGGTGCTTGCAAAAAAGGCGTGCGGCAGCCAAAAATGGTCGACTGCATGGTAGACCACATGTTAGTGTCGTTGTTGTTGTTGTGGTTGCCTTTATTTATTCATACGATTGTCAAATTAGCTTCATTTCTTTTGTGCAATTTGTTGCTGTTGCTATTGCTGCTCAATTAGCCGCAACAAGTTACCAAAAGAGCCAATTGCCTCAGTTACTTTCGTCTCTCAAACATTTCACTAGCCGCTTCATTTGCGTTGCGTGGGTGTGGCAGGTAAGAGGTAGTTGCTGTTGTTGGTACGGGTATTTCTGGCATACCACTGCCATTTACTTTTCAAATTAACTTAGCAGGTTTATTTGTTTATATTTATTTTCTGTTTGTCTGTGTGTGAGCTTTTTTTTGGCAGCATTCGGGTCTGCATGTTCTAGTAACCCATTTCCACTCTTGCATGCATATTGTATGATTAATAACGAAATGGCGGAGCAACCACATTCCTCGCATGCCACCATGTGTGGTAGAAAGATTGGCATGACTGGGACAGGGTTCAGAACAGTTTTCATGGCAACTGATTTATTGATTTTCCCCATATTTCATGCTTACTGACATTTATTTCCAGCCGATATGGGACAAAAGAGCCTTTTTATAACCTATATTTACAAGTCGCATATTGCGGTTGAGCCATTTTACCTTGAAAATAATTGCTAACACGCTTAAATTGCTTGAGCAAAGAGTATTTTTCTGCGCTTGCGAACAACTTGGGCTGCAAGAAGGCGGAAGTGTATATTTGAAAATATGAAGTCAGACAAGCAGGAGGGATTTCTCTTATTAATATATTAAACAATGAAATTACTCATTGGGTATAAAGTCAAGCTAGCATTTATAGTTCTAGCTGATAAGAGAATTTTCCAGTTCGGCACCGCAGCTCCTTTACATTGCAATACGAACGTGGATATTGAAACGTTTTTCGAACTCTTTAATGGATAGTCTAAGCATTTGTTTTGGTTTTTTTTTTTTTTTTTTTTTTGCTTACAAATCCAAGTTGTCTGTTTATTAGAAAGAATATTAATGAAAGTAAATTTTATTACATGATAAGCAAATGTGTGCATAAAACTATTATAGCAATAATGGTAGATGAAGCCCCATCTAACGCCCTTGCTTTTCTTACACGCGTAAAGAGTATTTGTTGCTTTCTTTCGATTCATAGCGCTAAATATCTGGCCACTTCAGCTTACTCCCTAGGAAAGTATTTGGCTCTGTATCTGAATGGGAGGCAGACTCCTTGTAATGTGGGTGGTAGTAGTAACAGATTCTTGTATTTCCTTGTAATAATACTATAGCTATAGTTTTGAGTTATTTATTGCCAGTCCACAAAGACTTCAAACATCTTTACGATTTAAAAATAACAAAGTATTTGCAACACCAAGTCTTTCATATGTACTTCCACATTTTCATTCCATTTGGAACATTTAGAAGTAAGGGATGATTTAATGCTTCAAAAATGTGATAAATGTGACGTAAGAGAATGGAGAATGGGAATAATTTACATGCGCATTACACGTACTCGTTTGGAGTAGAAGCGTGAAGATCTGCACCTTTACCGTAAATGTGACGGCAAAAGCCAAAAACAGTGGAGAAATACAAAGTAACAAGCTGCGGCAAAAATGTGTTTTGTACGTTTTTTTTTTGGGTTAAACGCATAAATACCAACAGGTGAAATTGATTTTCTTTTCATTTGCGCAAATATGAAATGTCAATATTGTGCGTCGTTGCCATCGTACTTGGTGTTGTTATTGCTCTTATTGTTGTTGTTGCTGCTGATGTTAGAGCCGCTTGAGAAAGTGCACTGCAGCGTTGTGCAGTGAGCTAGCCTTTTCGGTTTTGGGTTTGGGTTTGGGCTTTGGGTTAGTCTTGGTCTATTTGCTGTTAAAAAATTCATAGCCATTGCGTCGCGTACTCCACAGCACTCGACTCGACTCGACTCAGCTCGGCTCGGATGGGCTCGACTCGACATCAAGCCAAAACAAATTCAATTCACTTGCAAAGCAACACTCGGCTCGGACGACCTGGCACTTTGGTGTGACAAACAGGCGACATATTGTGGGCAACTAAACTGTTATTGACACATGCTCTTTGGCCTGCATAGATGTGAGTATTTTGAACAATTTATGGCAGCGGCAAATCGATTAACTGCGCCTGTGGGAACACTTTCACAAGTCGCCGCCCCAACAGAGCACACGCTTTGTTTAACCCATTTTGGTTAAGACCAAAGGAAAGTGAAATTGATGGCACAAATGTATGAATGTTTGAACAACAAACATGTCGAGTTGCTATACCTAGTAGTCACGCTGTAGTTGCTGTTGCTGTTGTGGTTGTTGTTGTAGTTGTTATGTTGTGGCCGTGCTAAATGGCCTGGTTAAGTAATCTTGTGAGAGTCGCAAACATTGCGCAGTCAACAGAGACCTCGATGATGAAGATGACGATGAAGACGACTCTACGTAAACGTCAACGGCGATGGTGACAATGCTGAGAATCTTGTCTATATGTATGGGTAGTATACGAAATACAGTTAGCAACTAGAAGCGACTACAACGACACCGCAACTAATTGTTACGCCTTCAAGTAAGAAATCTCACTTTCAATGCTATTACTGCTATTGTTGTTGTTATTGCTGCTGTCATTTTGTCTGCCTATGTTGTTGATGTTTCTGTTGCTCTTGCGGTTTTGTGATCGATTTGCTCAGATACGCACCGCACATGAGCAAGCTCAGGCCCAGGCCCAGGCCGAAGCCTAGACCAAGACCAAGACCCCGACCAAGACCGAAACCCCAACACACGCCACAGACCGCAGCTCAGCTGCGTTGTGCTGGGCGGGGGCCGTAATTGTGTTTACCATGAAATGTGCGCCCTAAACTTTCACTGCTCGTTGCGGCGCACGCGTTGGCAGCTGGGCGAAGCGCCAATCAACGAGCTCTACTCCGAGGCTTCGAGACGCTTCGCTGATGCTAATGGGCTTCATACTTACTATATAGTATATGAGACGCCAGTGTCTTTATCGTTCTTGCTGCTGTTACCTAACACTCCACAAAATGTTATCGTACGAGAATATGCTTTGAAGAGTCATTAAAATATGCTTCCGTTATGACTGTATATTCAATGAAGTCGTTTAAAAATAATGTCCAATTAAATGGAATGAATGAATGAATGAAATGCTTCAATGATTTTTCAGCAATTGGTAGAATACGAAATAGTTTCCCTTCTAGAAAAAGAATTGTTTGAACAAATAGAATATCCGTACTAGTACATACTACATACTAGAATGTACTGGTTTTATTACTAGTGAAACTCTGTACATAATTATAGAAAATAAAAAAATTAGGATAATTAAAAAAAAAAACAAGTAATTCCGTAGAATTACTTTACTTATTTAGTACTAGTACTGACTTTAACCTATAAAGGTGGTGACATTAACGGGATATAAAAATGTATGAATCTGTTATACTACTGAAAATTTACAAAAATAATCTTATTTCTCTAGGTAAATAATCGGGAAAATTACCTCAAAATTGTATCTATCTGTGTCTATTGGTGCCTGTGTGCGAGCATGTGTAGTAAATAGTCATGTGTAGTAAATAGTCATAGTAGTCGGGTGTCCCGACTTTGAAAAACTCTGTACATAATTGTAGAAAATAAAGAAAAGTGCTACTGAATCCACATCCAATACATGATTCAATTGTTCTAGGTAGATTAGTAAACTGTAAACTTAAACGCTCCTTTGTCAAAAGGCAATTTAGACTGTGTGGTGTAAGAATCAAGTAAGATAAATAAAATATGTCCGTTTTCTGGATTTGCAGAAAATCTAAAACTGAGAGAATAAGAGAATAAAATAAGAGAGAATGCTGTTACCAAACAAACTACCAGTGCTAAGAAACAAACAAAAAAATTGTATTCTCAAAATTGTGTCTATCTGTGTCTATTGGTGCCTGTGTGCATGTGTAGTACATAGTCATAGTAGTAGTAAATAGTCATGTGTAGTAAATAGTCATAGTAGTCGGGTGTACCGACTTTGAAAAACTCTGTACATAATTGTAGAAAATAAAAAAAATGAAGAAAATTAAAAAAAAAAACAATAATTATTGTATGTAGTTATGTATGTTCTTAACTAGTTCTTTACTGGAACTGATGAAATATAAAACAACAACAGAGAACTATATGTGGCATATTATTATAGCATAAAATTACCTCAAAATTGTGTCTATTGGTGCCTGTGTGCGAGCATGTGTAGTAAATAGTCAGTAGTTCTAGTAATAGTAGTAGTAGTAGTAATAGTTCTTTACTGGTACAGAACTACAATGAACTATTTTTTAAATTTTACTGAATTATTAAAAAAATTAAGAAAATTTAAAAAAAAAAACAAGTAATTCGTTAGAATTAGAATATTGTAGTAATACTAGTTACTACTAGTTTACTAGTTACTAGAAGTCCCGACTGTGGAAAACTCTGTACATAATTATAGAAAATAAAAAAATTAATTAAATACTTAACTAGTACTGCTATTATTTTTTGGAATTCTACTGAATTACTTGTTTTTGTTAATGATCTTAATTTTTATATCCTGTACCCAAAGGGTACAATGGTATATTAGTTTTGTGCGAGTGCACATGGAACACATAGAAGGAGGCTTGGTAGACCCCACAAAGTATATATATTCTTGATCAGCATGATAAGCCGAATCGATATAACGATGTCCGTCTGTCTGTCTGTATGGACGCAAGGATCTCCGAAAGTATAAGAGCTAGAATAACGAAACTTGGTATACAGATTCTCCTGAGACCGAGAAAGGACGAGTTTGTTAATTTTCTCTGATCCACACATTAGTCACATTAGGTTAGTGATTATATAACCGTATACCAAGTTTCATTATGATAGAGACATCGGAAAAAAAGTTATAGCCATATAACCAGGCCCAATGCACACATACATACATATGTACAAGTACACCAACACGCATAAGGCACGATTCTGATATAAATGTAAATGTATGTATGCATGCATGGAATATTTTATATTTAATTTAGTTAATTAATTAAATTAATTTAGTTAATTAATTTAATTTAATTAAATTAATTAATTTATTTAATTAATTTAATTTCTTTTTTGTGGGGTGGTACTGGATATTTGAGAGTTTATCCTGCTCGACTTTAGCATTCCTTTCTTGTTTTTTTGATTTTTCCCCACACTTCCCCCCATGGTTGTTTTCCCGATTTTCCGTTCGAATAATCGCCTATATCTCGGTGACTATAAGATCTAGGGACACCAAATTTTATTCCAAGATGCCTTATGTGTATTTTGGAATTTCCCTCTCTCCCCCGCAAATCGCAAAAATGTTGTAAATATCCCCCAGTTAGTATGTGTCCGTATGCCACCAGTTTCATTATGATGGACCGATTTAACAAGAAGTTATAGCCATAAATATATTTGCTGCTCTAGTACTAGTACTACAATTATAGAACTACTAGAACTAGTAGTAGTACAAGTAGTAGTACTAGTACTAGTCTTTATGTAAGCTGTTGCTGTTGTTGTACTGATTACTGGTACTAATACTAGTTCTGAACTGAACTACTGAACTTTTTGATGTCTCTTGTTTTTTTGAAGCTTACATAAAGAGGCGGGCAATAAGTCGAGCAAGCGCTTCAACGTCGTTGCTTTTACGAGCACCCAGGTCGGCTGAATAGCGATGCATCGGCTGCATGCTGATTGATTTGTGACAAACTCTCTATTTCCTATCCATCTACACGAGCGTCTTTATGTAAGCTGCATTGTTGCTGTTGCTGTTGTTGTTATTGTGGCTGTCATCGCCTCTATTGCAACACGCACTTGCGGAAGTGGCCGTGGCGGCAGTGCGGCCCATGTCGACGCGCATGCGCAATAAACCGTTTTATGCATAACGGCATAGCCAGCAGTGCTGTTAATTTTTGCGCGTAGTTGCGTCTCAGTCATGGCAGAGCTATGCTTTGGGGTAAGTACGCATGCCGAACCCAACCCAACTCGGCCCGGCCCGGCCCGCTTCGTCGACTACGTAACTCATTTGCGTTTTTATGACGCTGCGGCCCCGAGGCATGCGCATGTGCTAATTAATTGATGGAAATGAAGCCGGCGTGCCAGTTTTGACTCAACGCTAGTTGAGTGAATTGTGGATCTGTGTGGTTATGTATCTGTGTGTGTGTATCTTTTAATTTGCACTTCATTTTTGCTTATTGGCTAACACTAAACAGATGAGCTGAGCTGCTCCCCCTTTCTCTAAGATATGTTCGTGTCTACACTTATGTCTATAAAAACGGCCGGTCCAGCTGTAACGCCTCGTAGTTATGTTGTGGATAGCGATAGGCAGCATCCTTGCCGGCGGCCCCCGGTCCCAGAGGTATGTAGCGTTGCCGCATCGGCCACCAACTACTGCCACTTGCGTATATATCCTCGGTAGCATGCGCCTTTAGTGAGGGCGCCATAGCGTGTATGATCTCGAGACGATCGTGTGCATGCCCACTGGAAAAGATCCACTTGAGCACTAGAAAACTCGAAGTTATAAGTGCTATTTTGCCCATGACAAACGAGGAGCTGGAGAGAGCAGTGAGGGCTTTTAGAACCAGCGGCAGCAGCACCAACTTTGCCAGTAAGGCAGCTCCAAGCAGGGGATAAAGCATTTTCAACAGTTTCTTGTGCTTGTGATGTTTGCCGCGTGCTGAAAGAAATACAAATTATTTAATAATGTGGCTTAGATCTTCTCTCTCTCGTTCCTTTTCTCTTACTCTATCTGAACATCGTTAAAATGCACACTTGCTCTAGTTTAGGAGGACCTGAGTCCTAACTGTGGAAAATCTAGTTGTTAAACTTTTCGAGATCTTTGCTTTCATACATTCAGACAGATTTTCTAACTCCATTCGAGGTGACCCACAGGTGACCCACAGGTGATCCCGACTCCTAACTATGGTAATATATGTAGCAATTATACTTTTTGAAATTGAAGGAAGATAGACAGATAGAGTACAGTCGACAAAATTGAAATACCCTATTACCAAATCTTTCATTAGAGAGCAAATTTAACTTCATTTGAGTTCATTTATCGTCAGGTGTTCCGATCCTGCTTGTTACAATTTACATTCGAAAAATGGTATGACTTTTCATTAAAGAGTATAAAAAGTGAAATTTTTCGCTAAAAATAAAAAGAGCTGCTGATCTATTTGTTGTTTTTTGCTTGCTTGCTATCCTATCTTTTCAACAATTAAACAAGTAAATCTTCAAGTCCAGTCTTACGTCTAGGGTTATAGGTCTATAATAGAAATATAAAATTCTCTCTAGATTTTTAATAAGTTTGTAAATGAAGGAATAAAGAATTAAAAGTGATCATTAGAGATACCAACTTTTATTAAAATATACACTAAAATATCAATAACTCTTTGAAGAAATTAAAAAATTCTTTGCCCTAATCTACAAAGATGTAGATTTTCCTTGCGTAGCTTTAAGCCGATGACTATTCTATGCTAAGCACCTGGCGAATTTTGAATGTGGAAATAAGCAATTACATTATCTAAAGAGGTCGTATAGTCCCATTGTATCTACACTTCTGATGTACTCACCCTCATCCTGCCAGGCTTTGACACTTCTGCTTAGCTCCTGTCCACTTAGTTCGCCGTTAATAAAGCGCCAGAGCTGTTGTTCGGCGCTCTGGAGCCATGCCCTTTGCAGCCGTTGCTCCATTTCCGCTTCCTCCTCGGCATCCTGCTCGACGGCAGCCACAATAGCGCTACCCAGCTGTACGGCAGGTGGCACACTCTGCACCATTAGCCAGGATATGTTGAGGCAAAGCCAAAAATAAACAGCGAGCAACATTTCAGCGAACGTTTTAAACTGCAGCACAGTTCTGAGCGAACTGCGGCAAACATTCCGGCAGTCATTCACTCATCCACTCATCAACCTGGTGGATGGTGGAGCCATCGTTGCACTCCAACGCATTCAGAGTTTTGTCTGTTTGTTGCTGCTGGCTGCAGCTGTAGTTGCACCGCCTAGTTGCATTCATTCTTACACTTTAGTTAATCGGTTTGCCAGTCGGCTGATTGCCTCAACTTTTTCTTCTTGCCCATCTTTTCTGGTTCTATTGTGCGCAATTGTACATACTGTTTTATTTGTATATATATATTTTGGCTTGTTTTGCCTTGTGGCTTTCGATTCAGTATTACTTGAGCGTGAACACCATTAAAATTTCCCTACTTTAATAAACGGTTTAGTCGGCGTTATTGTTGCTGTTATTTTCGCTGTGTGCCGCTCGTCTTGGGCCAACGGCTCCACACATCAACAACAAGTAAAAACTCCATTATCGTTGCTGTCTGCAAACGTTTTGCTTGCCGCGTTTCAGTTCACTTGTCATTTTGCTAAAATTTTTCATTTCTAAACAAATGTGCCGCACACTGCCAAGAGAAATGAGAGACAGGTAGCTATCACAGCTCTCACTCTATAATGAAGATGTGTGTGTGTGTGTGAAAAGAAGCCTTGGGTCAGCAAGAGATTTGTTACAACAATTTTTTATTTTCGTCGAAACAAGTTCAGCTTTCAATTTAATACGGCGTTGTTGTTAATGGGTCTCCTTTCCACTTGGCCTTGAACTGCGCGAAAAGTCTGAGTCAATTAGTTATGCAGGCACTTTTATCACCATGTCTGGGCTGATTTTTTTAAAAGTTTGTTACGAATTATTATTGCAAATTAAGGCTCATGCAAGTAAAATACTTGACAAATAATAAACATTAATCGGTTGCTATTACGTCTAAAAACTTTGAATTAGATTAACTAAATTGCTGATCACGTTGCGTTGTGTAAAAATTTAAATCTCTTAATTGTATTAAGATATAAACCAAGTGGAAATTTTATGCTACTACCAACTAAGCACAGTGAAGTTTAAGCAATAATTTGAAAAACATTAACAATTGAATGATACTGTTGTTGCTTTAAATAACAAACTAAAAATTCTATACTAAATATATAAAGAATCTATAAAGAATTTCTGGCAAACCAACATGTTATTGAAATAAACATTTGTTTTAATATTGCAGTAGAGATATTTTTGCTAGAAATTAAAAAAAAAGTTCTTCAATCTATTTTTCTGGTAAATTTCAGAGAAATAAGATTTTTATGCTTAACTTCACCTTCAAGGGCTTATTTAAATTTGCAGCTCCCGTAAATAAAAACATTCAAATTTGATAAGATTTGATTGGTATTTAAAATTTTGTAAATACATAAATTGAAAATAAGTATACTGGTTCGTTTTAAACTACAAGTATTTCTTAATTAAATGAAACATTCAGGAAATAACAAAAAGCACTGTTTAACTTTTAGAAGAAAGTACACTTAGGTTCTTTTATGGGAGCCCTCAAAAACATTTAAAATTTGAATATTAAATGAGATATGAAGATATCCTCTTCTGCGCCAAATAAATGCATATGTATATGCCTTACTGTAGCTTACAACAGAAACGTTATTCCTTTTTGACCTTGGATTTGGAACTTTATTTTCCATTTAGTCATTAGTCAACTTTCGCAAACCACAGAGGGTATATCACAAATATTATATTTATACTTAATGTACTTAATTTTTTTCTTTCCTTGTCTATAAAAATAAATTAAAGGCTGTTTTTGACGCGAATGCTCCAAGATTGTGGGAGAACTATGCTAGTATACATCTTATCTTCTGTAAATTAAAAAAGTAAAAGGCTAGAAAGAGTGTTACACAGAAGCAAAAGTAACAAATAAGGTTTTTAGTAGTTTTATTCGTAATCGATGACTGATATCAGGGAATTGGACCTCCTGATTGAGAAGGTCTTTAACCGGAAACAGAATAAAGGCATTTACTTAGCCCTGAGTAGGAGGAAAGGGTTTAGTTTTAATTGCTTTGTCACCCAGATGATAACGATGATTGGAAGATAAAGATTTGTTATACTACAAGCTCAATTTTGAAGAGTATAGAACGGGCTTCACTGAAATTTTAAACACAGGTTGAGAATTACATATAAACTATAGTTACTTGGTTAGTTAAGCTAATAAATACTTGTCTTCCCAGTAGTATATTCGTACTAAGGACAAATATTGCCACAATATTTAGTATATTGTACTGAGTATTAACTTCGAAAGGAGAAGGCTTTGGTTAATGCAATGTAAAGGCGAGTGATTGTAGTGATAAGTAAGCTTGACACACCTTTCAATGAAATGAAGTAACCGGCTACGGTAATCGGCAACAACAGCAACAACGAAAATAGTAATGAAAACAACCGGATACAAATGCTTGACACCACAGTGACAATACTATAAATGCCATTTGAGTGCCAAGCTAACGTTTCGGCCAATTTTGTTTGGTTCCGTGGGGCGCGTGTGCATTTTAATGTGGCCATTTAAACTCACTTGCCAAGCACACATACACTCCTACGTATATACTGATATAGTTATATATAAAACTTTTGTATATACTTGTGTAAAACATTGCTTGAAATGTAATGTCTGTCTTGTGTACGAAGGCATTTCAAAAGCGTGTCCAAATACCCGGTCTCGGCCTTTGCAATTGGCTTATATGCCAGCAAATAGCTGTTGTTGTTGTTGCCACTCAGCTAACCCAATTTACTGTTGACTTTATTCAATTTCCGTTTGGCATTTTGATAACCGAAAGATATTGTAACTGCCACGAGCGTTGAATAATTGTGTACCTACACACTTACTCTGATTTTACTTAAGGTTTAGCTCAGCCTAATTAAGTTTATTTATAAACAGGACAACAGACAATGGCTGGACGGCGTTGTAACAAAATTAGCATTCATAACATTTCGGTCAATAAACATACATACTTATTACTGCAGCTCGAAATTAAATAATATACTATATGTACATAGGCACGCAATATGCAAATATTAATCAAAAATGTTTTCCATCACATGAAGTATGTAGTATGTATGTGGGCCGAACATTTGTTTGTACAGCAGCTGCTAATTGCACAAATGAAAAGTTCATATTTATTTATTTCCATATGCAATTTTAATTATGCTTAAAGCCACTTTTATATGTTTTTGAAAGCAATTAATTACGTATTTAGGAGAAATGTGCGCTCATTAAGGCCACTTATCTTTTTTCAAATAAAATACATTTATTGGGGATGCAAACTAAATTTCGTGATATGATGAAAAGTTTTTAATATTTAATTACTTTCAAAATGTATACATATATGTTTAATTAAACATTTTAATTCTTATCTTACCCTTCTCAATTCTCTCAATACTGACCACAATTTAAAAATTGTGTAAACAAACCATTGCACACGTTGCTCTTTACCTCTTTACAGTAAACCCATACAGAATGCATAATTAGTTAAAGTTGAGGGATTTTGGAGCAAACATTTTAAAAAGTAAAAATCAATATACATATAAATCAATATTAAGACTTTTCTATGAAAATGTATAAATATTCTTGTCTTCTGCAAGCTAATGGTTTCTGGAATGCTTGAAAACAAGAAAATTCATCCGTTCCCATAAAGGGTATCAAATATACGTTTCTAAATCTCCTCTTGTGTTGGTTTTAATAACTTTTGGTTATGAACTAAATTTTAAATAATAGAGGTAGAGAGATAGAGGTTAGTTTAAGTTTAGTGCTCAACCAAATCTGATATTACATTAAAATCGGAGGTCTATATATATATATATATATTGTAATATAGTGTAATATAGTTTATTAATTGTGTGCTTATTTTACAATGTTGTTTAATATATACATTTATACATTCACTGTTAGGTATTTCTAAATGAACTCCGTTTGCTGTCCGCCTCTGGCGACCACACAAGCACAACTGCGTATATAGTAATTGATTGATATCGATAACGCAGTTATCGTAGTTCATCTTACGAGCTAGATCTACGAACTAGGTCATTAGTACAAATGAGAGAACTAGTAACTGCCACTTTGTTTACAACTCGGCCAACCTGACAAACAGATCGACCTCGATCTCGGTCAAAAACATACAGAAATTGTCTTATTTAATATTTGTGTCCAAGGTTTTAATCTGGCCGGTTCTAAAATTCCTTTATATGGTATTTGTGTTAATTGACAATTATCTATATCAGTAACTTCATATCTATCATTTTCAAAAACACGGCTTATCTTATATGGCCCGCGGTACTTTGGAGCGAACTTTTTGCATGTGCCTGTAGTTACATCAACGTTACGAATGGCTACGTAATCTCCACACTTATAACTTAACGGCGGCTTGTTTTTCAATACACTAATTTTTTCGTTCCTAACCTGTGACTGCGTTATTTTTCGACTAGCTTCTTGTCTTATTTCTTCGAGATTATTTTGATTATTTGTAGTAAATTTTTCCTCTAGATATTCCGATAAATCATCTATCATGGCGCCTCTCTGATTAACTCCGAATAAAAGTAAACTAGGGGTTTTATTTGTACTGCTATGAACCGAATTGTTAATGGCGAATTCCACCCTATTAACTAACTTGTACCAATCTTCTTGATTTAACGGATTTGACAACTTTCCCAACATAGGCGTTATTACGCGGTTTACCCGTTCTACCTGCCCATTTGCTTGAGGAGCAGCAGTTGCTACCTTAATATGTCCAATATTTCGTTCAGACAAAAACTCAGTAAAAGCCATTGACGTGAAACAACTTCCGCGGTCTGAAATTATTCGGCGGGGGCGACTGTAATAGTCGAAGTATTTTTTCAAACAAGCGTTAACTTCCTTTGTACTCGTCGAGTTTACTGGATATAATTTTACGAATTTGGTAAATGCGTCTATCACCACCAACAAGTGTTTTTGCTTTGATTTAATACTAGGAAGTGGGCCTAAATGGTCTATATGTATCGTATCGAAAGGGACAGGTGCTTTTGGGATACTGTGTAGTGTGCGGTTGTTTACTGTCTTCGGGACAGAATGCAATATACATCGTAAACAATTCCTTACAAACTCTTCTATTTTACTCCTCATTAATGGGAACCAGTACTTTGATTTCATATCGTTATAGCATTTTTCGGCGGCTAAATGTCCAAGTTTCTCATGGCTCATTCTAATTAACTGCTCCTGCATACTTAACGGAACGTAAAGCGCTAATTCATTACTTGCGTTTACACGATAAACTGCTCCATCTATTAATGCATAATTATCAACAGGGTGATTCTCTAACTCTTCTCTTAACTCATTAATAGCCTTGTCTCTCATCTGCTCAGTTTGTAATAATAGATCCATATCCTCTGAACTCGCACCGACTACACCAACACACTCTGAATCTACGCATTTTAACGGATATGTACCATGAACGATTTCATTATTGCTATTTTCTAACGGATTCTTCTCTTCACTATTACTGACCGCGAAACTTTGCCCCGGCCTATCTAACGGTTTATCCAACGGGTTTTCTATCCGGTTATCAAGCGGGTTACCTTCCTCTATCTGCTCGACAACATGTCTTCCAAAACTTTGAATAACATTTAATAGCTCTACACCTGACTTACTAATATTCATGGGGCCAGGCTTGGTATCTACCTGACTTGGCAAAACACACGGTTCTACTGGCAATCTTTCATCATCGTTTATAATAAACTGAGTCTGCCTACTCAAGGCATCAACATGTGGCATACTACTTCCTGGCCGATGTACTAGACATTCTATCGGGTAGTTTTGTAATTCGAGTACCCATCGGCCTATTTGTGGGTTCACCTCCTTTTTTTCTAGGGTACAGGCCAGTGCGTTACAATCTGTTACAATTTTAAACGGTCTATGTTCAAGATAAACTCGGAAACGCCTTAATGCATATATTATTGCTAAGGTTTCAAGCTTAAAACTGGTCATTCGTGCTTCATCTGCAGATGCCTTAAGAGAATAGAAATATACTGGGTGTATTCTATTATCATCCTGCTTCTGAAACAATATCGCACCAAAGCCTCTTGAACTTGCATCCGTATGAAGTTCAGTTTCCCGTTTCGGGCTGTAAATTGCAAGAACTGGCGGTGTGGACAAAAGAGCCTTTAATTTTTCAAATGCTGCCATTTCTGTTCCCTGCATTGGAAAAGGTCCCTTATTTTTTAATAATTCTACTAGCGGTTTACAAATACTTGCAAATGATTGGACGAAACGGCGAAAGTATGAAAACAACCCTATACAAGAGTGCAACTCTCGTACATTTGTTGGTATTGGATAATTTTTTATTGCTTGTATATGGGTGTCGTTCGGCAAGACTCCACTTCTGCTCACACTATAGCCTAAGTAGTCGATGGTTTTCCTAAAAAATTTACTCTTTTTAAAGTTAATTTCTAATCTGTTTTCACTCAACCGGCGAAGCAATTTAGTCAGTGTATCAAAGTGTTCTGCTATACTTGTTGTTGCCACTACAATATCATCCATAAAGACCACAATTTTATTGTTTCGAACTAAATCATTTAAAGTGTTTGAAATGAATCTTTGAAAAACTGAGGGGCCATTTTTTAATCCAAACGGCATTCTGAGATACTCATACTGTCCCTGTGGAGTTACAAAGGCTGTATACTTAATTGAATCTTCATTTACTCCTATTTGGTGAAATCCGCTTTTGAGGTCAATCACCGAAAAGTATGTCTTTCCTTCCAAATATTCTAGGCAGTCCTCAATTAACGGCAGAGGAAAATTATCACGAACTGTTAGCTTATTTAAGCATCTATAATCAACGCACATACGTATTTCACCGGATTTCTTTTTAACGAGTACAATTGGAGATGCATACGGTGAATTACTTGGTCTAATTACTCCTAATGCCATTAATTCCTCAATTATTTCTGAAACTTTGCCCTTCTCATAAAATGAAAGTCGTCTCGGACCAAAGCTAAAAGGGGTACTATTAGTTAATCGGATGCTTATTTTTCCTATCGGTTCAATCATTGTATTACTCCAAGAATTTATATAATTATTATAAATAAGATCTCTACACTGTTCAGCTCTATTCAAACCAAATTCGCAGCCAACATCAACCTTTTCGTCCACTATTGCCGCCACTCCGGCACATACATCATGCAGCTCCAACAACCAACGGTTATACAAATAACTGTTTTTTACAAACTTAATTACTGAATTGTTACAGGCTACATTATTTTTAGATATGTTCTTAAACAGGGATGCACAGAAGGATTTATATTCACATTTAATGACATTCTGATTTACAGCTTTAACATTGTTTTGTATTAATCGAACTTGGAGGATACTGAGGGCATCTCTCCCAAGCACTAACTGTGTTGGTAGTCTACCATTATCTATAACTAAAAGTAAAATTTCATAATATTTTCCATTAAATTTAATACGGGATTTCACTTGTCCGCAAACAGAAAGTTGGGTTCCTCCCAGTCCATGATATTTCTTCATAAATGGATTTTCCAATACAAAATCATTTGGTACTACGGATTTATATATAAAACTAACTGGGCTGCCAGTATCAAAAAGAGAAAGAATTGTTGTAAAATCTGTGCATCCACATTTACTACTTAACAAACAAAAACTCACTAATTGTATGGCTGCCACATCGTCTTCTTCCTTTACCAGCTCTGCAGTAGCGGCAACTGTATCTTTCATACGGCGTTTCGGGCAGTCCCGATGCTGATGGCCTCTCTCCCCGCAAGTGAAACATCCATCGATTGGACGTTTCGGCTTCTTACACTCAGTCGATATGTGACCCATCTGACGGCAGTTGTAGCAGCGGACTTCACGTACTGTAGCTTTATTCGTAGAGCCTGCTTCGTTCAATAACACCAACGGCCGGATTTTGTCGAGCTGGATCACTTTCTGACGTAGCTCTTTTAGGGTCTGACAAAAGAACAACGATGACGTAATACCAACTCCATCGCGCAAGCCACACACAATGTGTTTGATGACGTCGCAATCTTCCAAATCGGCTTGACGCGCAATACTGCACATTCTTATAAAATAATGAAAAGCCGATTCGTCTTTAGCTTGCTTGCATTTTTTTAACTGCTCGCCAATCTCCAAGCGCGTGCACTCCTCCCCAAATACATCCATAAGCTGCTTACGTAAATCGCCCCACGGTATGGCTCCTTGATGGAGGAAATATTCCTTTGCCGATCCACTCAATAAACGCTTTGCATAGATCCACAAACGTTCATCTGGCACTCCAAGCATGCTACAAGCAGTCTCAAATTCGACAATCCATAAACGAACGGGCAAATTATCATCGCCAGAGAATGCTTGCACGACCGCTTCCAAGTCTTTTATATCGATACGGCTAGGATAAATTTCAGCAACACTGGACGCTCTTGATTCCACAGAAAGGTGACTCATTCCTACTTCAACACGCTGCAACTCCGCCATTTTGTCTTCTTCAAAATCACGCTTCTCAGCCGCCTCCACGGTTTGAACGGCGTTGCAAAATTTCGAAGCGTCGTCGCATACCACCATGGCGCCACATTTCTTCATAATTGTGTCTGCATTGATTTCGCCTTCAACGTGATTTGACTCGATATTAATTTCATGCGGCTGTACAGAGGTAATTTCTACCAAATTCTGGGTCTTGCATTCAGTTTGTGCTCTTTCCCTCTCCTCATCCATCACTGTTTTTACCGCTGTGCGCAGTTGGTAAATTGAGGCACCGTTATCTAAGCGTACACCTCTTTCGGTTAACAACGCGCACAGTTCTTCTTTATTTAGCTTTATAATTTCGGTATACTTCATTAACTTAACAGAGGGCTGTGGCTTCACCCCACATCTGAATTGTAATATAGTGTAATATAGTTTATTAATTGTGTGCTTATTTTACAATGTTGTTTAATATATACATTTATACATTCACTGTTAGGTATTTCTAAATGAACTCCGTTTGCTGTCCGCCTCTGGCGACCACACAAGCACAACTGCGTATATAGTAATTGATTGATATCGATAACGCAGTTATCGTAGTTCATCTTACGAGCTAGATCTACGAACTAGGTCATTAGTACAAATGAGAGAACTAGTAACTGCCACTTTGTTTACAATATATATATTAAGGAAAAAATCATGTATAGCTATTATACTATTCGGCGAAATGCTTAAAAAGGACAGTTTAAATATTCTTGGACCCAAACATTATCATTAGTGGAATGGAGCTATTCTACGTATTCTTACTCCAGTGAGATTGGTCAAAAATGTAAAAATTAAGTTTTCGTTTTATTAGAAAAAGGCTTGGGCTTTATCGTACAATACCCCAATACAAAAGCTGAGACTTCTGATAAACCAGTCATAATCATAAATTATTTAAATTTCAGTTTAATTTGTTATATTAAGTTTTATAATATAATCGACAGTAGTGTTGTTGATATTTTGAATAAAATAAAATAAAATAAAAATAACTTCGGCTTCGAAATCGCATTTTAGCTCTTAAATACTTACCAATCAACCTAGTAAGTTGATATTTATATAAAGGCACTTAAAAAATCAATAAATGCTTTTAAATGAATTGTTCGATTTAACAACTGGCGCTGTTCGATCTTCACATTAAATTTATTTAATTAGATTTTCTTAAGCACTAGCGATTTACTACGATGGCCCGTAGCCGACTTAAGACTCATGACAGCGGTGAAGAGGGCGAAGAAGAAGCCCGCCAGGCCTGTGGTGCCCACCAATAAAGTCAGCCCGCCAATGAGTACCGGTATAAGTGTTAAAAATTTTAACTTGTATGCAATGAGCAACGGCAGCAGTAGCTTTTGTAATTTCTTTTTCAACTTTTTCAACTTGCGACTCGTGCTGACGATGGCTCGGCCATGGGCGTTGTTGCTGCTGGAAGTGCTGGTGCTGAATGGCCCTGACATGAGCACTGCATGGACTCGACTTTGACGACCTTGAACTTCCTTTGATGTTGTGTGCGCCAATTTATTTGGGTCGACTCCTGTGGGTCATGAGAAAATGAAACGTACGTAGTTGTTAAGCCATTTTGCAGTTAATTAAAACGACGGCCATACCCCATGATAAACACCTGAGCCCTCTACTACACTTGGAGAAAATGCAGTTGAAATACTAGTACCTTTTACTATAGGTGGGTGGCAGACTAAATCTGTAAACCTTTCAAGTTCGATTTATGGATTGGACCAGTTCTCTTAACACTTTTACATATGATTATACGACCAAATATTGATTCTTTGGCGATAGACATTAAGTATTGATTATTTGATGGCCCTCTAAGCTAGCCCTAAAACATTTTCTAGTTGAAGTCGGTTTCTTCATAAAGGATTCCAGCACACGACTTTTAATTAGTGTAGAAAACAACTATGCGTTTATTCTTCAACTCCTTTAATGTTGTGAATTGTTTATTTATAAAATTTCACATTTCTTTTATTCTTCTACAATATATTTTTAAATTTCCCTTCTTCAAGTCTGTGCCTAAGTAGTTCATTTTTGAGCTTGATAAGAAAAAAAAAAATCACGTTTCTTTATAATATATTAGATTTCTAAGCCAAAAGTGTTTGCTAATTTCAAATAAAAATAAAAATTTATGAGAAAATTAATTGGAATAAAATTTTGATTAAAAATTTTAAGAGTACATATCGTTTAAAGAGTGTCATCTCACTCAAATCGGGACTGCTTTGGCTGAATATTTCATTTATATACAATACATTAAAATAATTATCATTACGTATATATTTAGCTAACATTTATATCATATTTTTCAAGTAGGTTCTTAAAGATTTCATTTTGAAGATGTTTTTCAAGCAGAAAATTATATTTAAGTTTAAATTGTTGGGAGTTTTAATTGAAGTTAAGTTAGATTCAAGAAGTTAAACTAAGAAAATTTTGTTAAATCTAGATCCATTTGAAAAGCGAAACTTCTTTAATTTATACCTATTTTCATGCCTGCAGTTAAAAATTATTCATCTGACACATTGAATATGGTTCGGTTATGAATATTTTCAAAATCAATAGACCTTTATCAAGAAATACTTTGCGTAATAAGCGTTTTGTAAAACGTCAGTAAATGGGAGTTGATTTATAAAACCCTGCATTGCAATTTTTAATCCGCGGTCAAGGATATCTTTCTATTCCCGGACCAGTGAACTGATTAAACTATAGGTAAGGTGCCTGGAAATTAACAAGGGGACAAACTTGAAGTCTTCCCCTTTTAATTGAAGCTTGGGATGATGGTGATTATAGGATCATATTAAAGTCCTTTTCCTTAATGAAGTGGGTAGCTTTGCAGTGCAGCTAGGGACGTCTTTTGGTTATTTTCAATGCTGTTTAACTGAAGCTCTCACTTATGCCCTTTGATATTTCTCTTAGTGCGTCGCTTGGAAGGAGCAGCAGTATGACAATTTAAATTAGCTTTCATTGGCACCCACCTGTCGTCGTCCTTGATGGCGTTGCTGTCGTCTGTAAATGATGTTGCTCCCACTCTTCATTGTTATTGTCGTCCTCGTCGCTAATGATGTTGCTTACGATGTCGCAAAAGTTGCGCACTTTCACAAGCGCCCGCTCGAATGGCGCTAGATAGGCGTCAAGTGCGAGAGTTGCCTCATCAGCCTCTGCTTCAGCTTCAGAATCAGTATCGGCATCTTGCGCAGCTGTTGTGTCAATAGCTTTAGTAGCTGCTGTCGCATCGCTTACGGGCCCATCAGCCATCAGGGGCATTGCTGGCGCTGCGTCTGCAACATCACGCGCTTCCGGCTCAGCTTGGCTGTGCACATAGGCTTCATCAGGCAACCAATGTCGTTGGGTTTGTTTTTGTTGTTGCTGTCGATTTTGTAATGGAGGCAATTGACGGTGTGTCAACATCTCGCCGCGTCTCATGGCCTGGCTTATGGCCAGGACGTAGTTGTTGGGCTCATCATACGACTCTGTTGCCCGCACCTGTTTGTAATTTCCGTCGCCAGCATTGCTTTGATTATAGCGATGATTGTGGGCGTAGTAATTGACAGGAAGTCGTTGCTCCTGCTGCTGTTGCTGTTGCGGCTGCGACTGTTGTTTCTTAAGCTGACGTTGCTGCAATGAGTTGCTGCCACTTGCCGCCGTTGCTCGCAGGATGAACCAATTGTTATGTTGCGTCAACGGTTGCCAGGTATCGAGCTCAAGCTCTAAATGCTCCGCCTGGCCTTTGTGGCTGCTGATGCTGCCGCGTTTAAGCTGATGATTTGTTGTTGTTGCCGATGTAAGGGCCCCGGAAGTGCCGCTATTAAAGCGATTGAATTGCTGTTGAGCATTATTGTTGCCAACTTGTAATATAAGTAAAAAAGCGATAAGCACAAACACTTGCTTTTCCCACATTTTGCACTTAGTCCTTCAATAAAGTTTATATATATGTAGTATATGCGTATGAATATATATGTAGTTGTAGTTACACGATTCGATGAAGATTTTACACGCACGCACTTCAAACGCCGGCTAGAATCAAACTGATCGGTGGACTCGGCTCAAAGTTCGAGCAACTGGCGCGCAAATAAACCAAATTCTACACAGCATTCGACATTTTATTGTTGGGTTTTAGTTGAGCGGTTTTACGGCCTTTCGCCGAAAGTGGTCAGCACCCCGTTCGCCCGTCCGCCCGTCCGCTCGTCTGTAGAAAATTTCGAGACTTTTACTACGCTTCAGCAATCGTCTAAAAACCTCAAAAGTCAACTAAATTTTACTACGAATCTATTTTACAGAGCTTGGCAAGAGGCAAGAGTAGGGGAGCTAAACTTCCTCCAACTTATTGTATTGTTTCTGAAGCGGAAACTTGTGGCCAGACCCCCATTGTATTTGCTCTGAGCCTGTGGCATAAATAATGAATATTAACGGATTATGTGGGCAACAAGAACTGCCCAAATGGACGATAACTTTTGTTTTGGGCTTTAAATTGATTAATTTGCTCCGAATTTCTCTCGTCATGCACAATTTTATCGAGTGCTGCCTGCTCACACACGTTTGGCTTATTGATGAGTTGTCAATACAATTGCGGGAAAAATCGTTGGCACACTCGTGAGTGGGAGCAGCCCCCTTTTCCATCCATTTATGATTTATTTCACATTAATTTCACTTTCCTTTGTAGCACTTTATAGTATTGCGGCAGCACTTTTCTTGTCGCTCTGCTTGCTGCTTGCTGCACGTTCAGAGTCACAAACGTCACTGTATTGTAGAGTTGGCGTTATGATTCTATATAAGTGTGGAATCTGTGGCACCAGTCCGCCATCTGGGAAAGTGTGCCCAATGCGCCCAGACTTTAGACCATTCAACTGAATTAGCGTAATTTGACGACGTGCGGCCCAAAGTGGCCCAAAGCCCACAGCTCGCTAATTGCCTGCAGTTTGCACTCTCGCGTCTGTTTGGCACAATTTCGTTGCCTTCTGCCACTTGTTCGCGCAACACAAACACTTTTGGCCAACCCAGCCAGAGTGCTGACTGCCTGGTGCTTATTTGCGCGTGCCAAGCGATATCCGGTCAGCTACAGCTGAGTAGAGAATGGCAGACAGACTGGCAGTACAAAACACAGTGGTTTCAATATTTACGTTGTCTTTAAAGCTATGTCATAAAAATCTTTATTTGAAGATGCTCAACAGCTAATCGGACTAAGCGAAAGCATCAAGTGAAAGAATGTGTAACTTCTGTGCAGTCAGATCCGAAATTGGATTTAATAGATGTGGGTAGAGTTTCAAAAACCGTTTCAAAAACATTAAAAGAATGCTTATAACACTATAATAAACAGTTGGTCTTTTTGTATTTATCATAGACTATAAAATCTTACCCTACAGCATCAGAGATTTTCGATATTACTCTTTCTTTTTTTTTAACATTTCATTTTATCGTGTTTTTCGTTTTAGTTTTTCTTTTATTATAAGCTTTGTTTTACACTGTTTTCAGCAAACCCACCCACACTTATTGGTCGACACAAATCAAATATTATAGATATAAACTCGTACACAAGATTTTGTTTTAAATCTTTTCGATCAACTGCTTTAAATTAAATCGGTAATCGCTATAAGGAAATCGTAAAGCAAACATTTCTCTGTTATATATTTTGCTGCCACTGTTGTCAGCTCTCACTATTTCACAGAATTAGATTCCTGCGCTGCTGAGGACCTCATTTTTGTCGCCTTCGTAACTACGTAGTTTTGTAGTTTTGCATCTCTTTTATAGCTGCGTTATACTCCTTGTTATCTAGGGTTACTTTTGAGTATATGTTGCTGGCTTATGTATTACAATCCATCCTACATATATTTAAAAGCTTCTTTCTTTTAAATACCTTTTACCACATTAAGATTTTGTCAAGGTGAATCTTAAGCTCACCATTTTCTTATGGCAAAGGCAATGTGCAGCAGTCAGTCTAAGTGTATACATTGGATATGATGGCTTCTGCCTCCGCAAGTACTTCTGATTCATTTTTTTTGCTGACACGCTTTAAGTGTAAATATTTTTTCTTGGCTTTTAGGCGCCAAGTTGACGGAAGCCTTGGGCCAACATGCCATGGCATACTTTTTGGCTGAGCGCGTGCAGTTTGTCTCTTTACTTTTTTCACATCAAACGTTTGTTACTGTCTGTACTTTGGCGTTTTTTAAAGTTTAGTCTGAACTGTGACTGCCTAGATGAGTTAAGAGCAGCCAGCTACTATAAATTATAGTTGCCTTTGAGCTCTTGAGTTTAACTAAGCCTAGCATTGGTGTTAATTTAAGCTGAGCATTAGCATATACTTGTAATTAGTAATTTGGGTTTAATATATTCGATTTTGAATATTATAATATTGCTTCGAGTTCGGAATTGTACCGTTTTCATCAAACAATATTATTTCTTTAATTTGTACAAAAGCTGCGGAGTTTTAATTTTTTGTTTTTTAATTTGTATACTTCATCAAATTCCAACAACAAGCATTGCTGCTAAGTATTGAAAAGAAGAAACAACTTGCCAACAACTGTTGTAATAGGAGCGCATTACCACGCTTTTAAAATAGTGGCTCCTAAAAGAAGCATTTGTCGTTCAAGGTCCGGATGTTGAAAGGTTTATCATTGATGACCAATTCGTTTCATTTTGGGAGTTCCCCCTAACGTGTTTATATTTTGTTTTGAGCTTAATATTCGCGCTATTGGCGTTGAAAATGCAAATAAGCTGAACAAACCGAGTCATTAATTTATGTTTTTTTGGTATTATAGTTATGTGAGCTAAGCTAGAAAGAATAGATAACTTTAAGCTCATTAATTAAAGGCGAACTTACAAGTTTTACAACTAAGCTGTGGAGACTGCTGGATTTTTCCACTGCTAATGATGTGCTTTGCCATATACATTCGTATATTTTGTATTTAAAGATATTATATTAACATTCTTTTTTGGTCAGCTGTTGTTTGTTTTGGCCAATTTGAAATTCTCATGCTTGCCAGCAAACCAATTGGCCATTAAAGCGTTAATGGTTTTATTTAAATTCAAAATTTAACTTGTGAAGAAAAAAAAAAACAAAACGGAATTGCGATATATAATATGTACGTTTGCATGATGATGATGATGATGTTGTTGATGATGACGTTGCTAATGATTTGTTTCTATGATGAGCCGCAAACTAGTTAGTTGTGCAGAGTCACACCCCTCCGAATGCCGCGTGCAGTTTGAACAATAATTTGCATGCCAAGCACTTAAATCCTTTGTTGTCCATGAAATGTATGCGAATGTTGTGGTTTATGCCAACTGCAGCACAAAAGTCAGCAACAATAATGCCATCTACTCAAAAATTTATGCTGCCATTCATGGACAAACAAAGGCCAGAAAATATCTGCCAACAATTCGTTTAGTCGAGAGTCGGGAAGTGCACTTCGATTCGCTTTCGTTTTCATTTGGCGGTTGCTTTTTCTGCCATTAGATTGAACTTAATGAGTTAAACCGAAACTAGTTTAAAATAATCTCTCTCCTCCTCTTTCATCTTGTTTCAGTTGCTCTTGACCAATGAAAATAATAAATTATAGACGATGTTTTGGTAACAGGGAACAAGTTCAGTTTAGAACAGATTGCTGCGGGCCAGACATAGCAGGCAGCTAACTGAGCGCTTCAGTTCAGTGTCGAAGAGGTTTAGTTGTTTGCCTTCATGCATGGGCCTCTTCAGTGTAGCTCATAGACTTAAGATACCTTGAGATGATTCGACATTTAAAGCGCTGGCTTTAATCGCCTTTGTTGTGGTTGGTCAAGCCGGCTCAAGACTTTTCGGGGGGAAGCTTTAAAATTGCTCGCTTTTTGACAATTCGCATTAGTTGGTAGTGCGCTTTGGTCGCGTACGGTACAGCATGAGAGTGAGTTGGAATCAGGCTCTGGCCGGCCAAGATCCAAATTTATATTAAATGCAACTTTTTCATTAAACAGTTCTTTGTGTGTGTTTTGGCTCTAGCCGCCACATTGGCAACAGCAAATGCAGGACTTCTGGGTCTGCTGAAAGGTGGCGGAGGCGGCGGCGGCGGAGGATATGGCGGCGGCGGCGGCGGCGGCGGCGGATGGAGCGGCGGTGGGGGCGGAGGCGGATGGAGTGGAGGTGGTGGCGGTGGATATGCCAGTAATTATGGATATGGCGGCCACGGCGGCGGTGGCGGCGGCGTACAAGTCATCAAAGTTATTCACACCGATGGCGGTGGCTACGGAGGCGGTGGCTACGGAGGCGGTGGGTACGGAGGCGGTGGCTACGGAGGAGGATATTCCGGGGGATATTCTGGTGGCCACTCCGGAGGTTATTCCGGTGGATACTCTGGTGGCTATTCTGGTGGCCATTCCGGAGGCTATTCTGGTGGCTATTCCGGAGGTCACGGCTACAGCGGTGGGGGCGGTGGTGGTCATGTTGAGGTTTACAAGGTGATTACCACAACTTCTCACGGTTCCGGCGGCTATGGTGGTGGCGGCTATGGCGGTGGCGGCTATGGCGGTGGCGGTTATGGCGGTGGCGGTTATGGCGGTGGTGGCTGGTCTGGCGGCGGCGGAGGCGGCGGTGGCTGGTCCAGCGGCAAGTCCGGTTGGTGGAAGAAATAAGCAGTGCCACAAGTCCCACCTACCACTTAACCACTTAGTTATAGCAATCCCATGCAAAACCCGTTCAACAATAAATGACTCCACAAAAATTAAATTAAATTAGTTTAAAAAAAAGAGTGTTCCTTTCTTTTCTGTTCTAATCTCAAGTTGAACAAGTTTGCCGAACGGTGACTTCTCAGCGACTATCTTAATGCAAATCTTTAAAGATTTGTGCATTCGAAATTGAATAAGTGTGACATAGCATTTTCAAAAGTTGCTCATAAATGTCTTAAGTTTTATGGTCAGTAATAATTTATTGAAGATTTTTGCTTTATTCTCCAACAAACCAGAACTAGTCTTATATTATTTAATAATATTGATTGCTATGCTTTTATTGGAAATGTGTCGTGCAGGCGTCATATTTTCTTAAACCTGTTCATTAAATAATTTGAAACGCAATACATTAATAATTATGCAAGCTGCTTTTTAAATGTAGAATTAGTGTTAACCTAACCAAAGTTGTCTAAATGGCTTGTAAACCGAAACAATCATTCTTGAATAGATGCTCGAATTGATTTTTGATCAATACAAAAACATGGCACTAGCCCGTCTAATAATAGCTATGACTCGATAGAAAACCGATTCGATTCGAAAACCATTCGATTTTTATGATTGAACAACCTTTCTAGATACAACTCAAAGATAAACCATTGGGACCATTGTGTAAAGGCATCCAAACTTTAATGGCTTAATTTTATTTTCTGTTAAAAGTTTTATATATTTTATCACACAGCGCTATTAAGAATCTCGATGTATGAACAATCAAATATTTACTACGATTATAAAGAAATGCAAAACACGTCCGCCAGCTAATGTGGAATACTTGTAGTTGTTCAAAAGTCGTTTATTTTTCTTAATTGTATAAAAACAATGAAATAAATAAATATTTTAAAGTCTAAGTCTCAGTCTTCTTATAGTTACTTTCTTGTCTAACTTAAAAATTGGCAGAATTGCCAATAGATGACAAACATTTTGAGTTTGAAGACACTCTACCTCCACTATTTCCATCAATATATATTGCCACTACCATACATTGAGAGACCGATTCGAGTACGCAGCCTTTGTCAGCTTCTTTGATGATCCATTTCTTTAATTCTCTTCAATACGAGATTTTCAATAAAAATCAAGCATCGATTTCAATAATTACAAGATAGAACGCTACAGTCGAGCAAGCCCGACAGTAAAATAGCCTGAACTCTCCACAAAAATATTTAAAAAAAATTAAATTATTTAAAAAAAATTTAATTCATTTATTAAATTAATTTAAAAAAAAAATATATTAAATTTTGTTTATAACTTTATAACTATAACTTTCTTCAGAATTGACCTATCATCATGATGGCATACGGACACATAAGCACTAACTGGACGTAACTACTAAAACTGATTTCAAAATTCCAAGATTTACGGTAGTTATAGAAAACAAGAGAGAGCAAGCCCGACAGTAAAATAGCCTGTACTCTCCACAAAAAGGAAAAATTAAAAAAAAGAAAATTTAAAAAAAAAATTAAATTATTAAAAAAAAATGAATGAATGAATTAATTAAAATAATTAATTAAATTAAATTAGAATACATGTTTATGTTCAGTTTAAACAGCATACATTTACATCACGTACCTATGCGTGTTTACATGCGTGTATGTATGCAGCACAAAGTTAAACCAAAGCAGCAAGCAGCGGGCAGCGCTGCCGACAGAGGTAGCGCATGAGCAGCGATTTTACTTATGGCTATAACTTTCTTCAGAATTTACCTATCATGATGAAATTGATTTTAATTGATTTTAAAATTCCGAGAATTACGGAAGTTATAAGAAAAAATACGAATTGCGGGGGAGTGGGGGGGGGGGGGGGGGGTGGATCAGAAAAAATAAACAAACTCGTTCTGCCTAGGGCTTATAGGAACCTTGATACCAATTTTGGTTATCCTAGCTCTTGTACTTGTACTCTTGGACGGACAGACGGACATGGCTATATCGACTCGTCTTCTCATCCTGATCAAGAATATATATACTTTGTGGGGTCTGCCACGCCTCCTTCTGTGTGTTACATACATGCGCACAAAACTAGTATAGCCTTTCACCCTTTGGGTACAGGCTATAAAAACACGAATTGCGGGGGAGTGTATCAGAATAAAAAAAAAAACTTGACCTGCCTAGGGCTTAGGGGAACCTGGATACCAAGTCTGGTAATTCTAGCTTTTGTACCTGAGATACTTACGCTCATACAGACGGACGGACGGACATGGCTAAATCGACTCGGCTTGTCACCCTGATCAACAATATATATACTTTGTGGAGTCTGTCACGCCTCCTTCTGTGTGTTACATACATTCGCACAAAACTAGTATAGCCTTTCACCCTTTGGGTACAGGCTGTAAAAAGGGCTTTTAACGTTTTCCAAAATGTTACTGCGCTTGTCTGAGGTTGATGGCTATTTATTTCCAAAAGACGAAAACAAGATAGGACAAACAAAGTAAATAACACGTGATTCTGTAGAAATTTTCTAATAACTTGCCGTTTAGTTTTTATATAATCCAGAAAATACCTATATTTTATTAGTATAGACCTATACATTTAAAAGACATAACGAACACCTTTCTCAAAAAGACATAATTACTGAAAATTACTTGACTATATTTTTTCAAATTGGCACTTTCTTTTCGTGATCGCGAGTAAAGTAACACCATTAACAATACATGTCCTTGTGGCGAATATCGAGCAAGCCTTTTATGAGAAAACGTCACCAAGATATTGGAAAACTGGGCAAACAGGATGCCCCACCCAATGGAAATCGTGTTCTATAAAAAATAGCAAAGTTTGCTCTTTGGAAAAAACAAAAAATTTTTTTCTCATTAAAAAAAAAAACGAACTACCTTATGTACTATACTACCCTGTGATCGCTAGTTCGGAAACATATCAAAAGGCGAAAAATGTTTTTTGAAATATTTCGCAATTAGACAATCCCGAAAAAGTTTAAATGGAATGAAGTAAGGTTTAGAAAAGAAATTCACATTTTGAATGTATGCTCATCGGCATAAGAAAGCGTTGCATAGAAAGTTCGAATATGATTCTTTGGCTGTGGGCTCTTTAATTTTGTGTTTTCTCCATTCAAGTCTGTCGACTACGTAATAGACATCATTTCGTATCCAATTTTTAAAGCATAACTTGTGCAAATTGCACTTGAGGGGCCAACATGAACATCTGGCTGTGTGTGTGTGTGTGTTTGTAAGCTTGTAAGTTCGAGCTTGTGTGCCAAAGAGGGCTCGAATAATAAACGTATGCCATAAAGTATGCTGTGATATAAATACCCCGGGGTCGAGAAGCACCAACACACACACACACTCACACACGCTCGCACACACGTACAAGCCAGCGAATTTATGAGTGGGCGGAGCAAAAAAAAAGCATGCTGAACACACGCCAAAAGGTAGAACGGAAGTAGTTTCGATTTTCTTTTGCATACGACGGAATACATAACGGAATACATAACGTGAGGCGCAAACACGCAGACCTAGACACAGATCTCTACGGCACGCACATGGCTTTAAGCGCACTTGGTTTGAAGTTGAATTTATATGCTGAAATAGGAGTTAGCTGAAACGGAAATGTTGACATTTTGGTTTATTATTATTGTTGCATTTTGTATCATGCGGAGCCATAGTTCCACAGCTGTTCATATGTCTTGGGAAAATTTGTGATGGTTACATACGTAGATTTGCATGCGCTGGAGGCAGACAATTTAAATAGAAAAACTATACGGGAAAACTTTTCATTTAAACGAAGCCAAAAGCAAATATCAAACAATGAAAATGCTTGCTAAAAAGACAGCATGTTTGTGAATGTTTTAGACATCTTTAAACAAATTATACTTCTTTATATTTATAGCTTATAATACTTTACGAAATGAACAAATAAATAAATTTTTTCAAACTGAATTATAATCAAACCTTCTTTAAGAAGTGACTGTACTCGACTGTATTTAATAAAAAAAATTATCCTCTAGCGGCTGAAATACGCTTTATAAAGCCGATGCCAGCCCTTCAGGGTTAACAAGAAAAAATTGTAGTTTTCTTAACACCACGATAATAACCCAGAGGCATATTGAAATAAGAAAAAAAAAAACAAAAATCAAGGAATTTCGGCTTATTTCATACTCGGAGTGTCAGAGCTTGGGAATGCTAGCTAATTCTGGAGACCATTGTATCGTTACGTCGACCAAGAGCGTCCAACGGCCTCCGTATATGCAAATGTTCCAGCATATAGGCCTATTATATAACTTTTATATAATTCCATATTTGTATTGCATTCTGGTATATTCCGCAAGTACTAATTCATAATATTTTAATGATTGTTCATTCAAAGTAACTTTGTATCAAATATTTATTAAATCTCTCTCTCCCTCTCTCTCCCTCTCTCTCTATCTAATCATCAACGAACATTAATAAACATTTGTAAGCAAAGCAAAAAGTTTTAATTGCTTTAAAATAGCCAGATTTATAATCAGATAATTCCAATCGCAGTCTTAGCGATAAAAAAAACTGGTTGAGCAGGGAGAGGAAGGACTCCTCTAGCTTCCTTTTGGCTGAAAAACAACACATTCTCTTCATATTTTAATTTTATTTATTTAAATACAATTATTCATTTTTTTGTTGATTGTTTTTGTTTCTTTTGAAAACGTTACAGCTTAAACATATTTATTTGCGTTATTGTTGTGGTTGTGCTTAAAATTACGAAATAAATAATGTTAATAAATAATAAATTATTACATACATTTAACTACAGTTAAGCAGGCAACTAACGTTAATGATGAATAAAGAATGCGCATGGAAAATGGACAGAAGACTGAGAATAAATGGGAAAAGAAGCATAAAGGTTGATGGAAAAAATCATCAATGTCAGGCGAAAGACGGAAGTACAATGTGTAATTGAAAAATAACAGCAGCTGCAAGATGCAAAGAGTGTGTATAAAGTTGAGATACAGTTGAAATTGATGTTATGGTGGTGTTCTGAGTGCTGCTAGGCAAATACGGAACCGATTGCTAACAGTAAATACATAGCATAAAAGTAAAGAAAAGAGAGTACATTATACAACAAAACATAATCGATTACATAAAGCGAATGATAATGATTAAATCTGCAGTGAGCTGCACAGAACGGGGGCACATTAAAGATACAAACGCGTAATGTATCTATAAGTGCGCGTTAGTGCGTATGTCTGTCTGTCTTTCTATCTGTCTGTCTCTTTGTTTGTTGTTTGTTAACCGTTGGAAACGCATCAAGTCTAATGAAAGTGCAAAAAAAGCTGAAATCTAATTACATTTTGTTTGAAAGAAACGGCAGCCTGTCTTTGTATGTGTGCGTCTATGTGTGTGATTAACATTTATCTATAAGATAAATGCAAATACATAACATCTGAGCAGCGTTTGTAATTGATACGCCAAACAATCTTTTTTTCTTCTGCTACTGCTTTGCTGGGGCCTATGACTTTTGCTGCGGTTTCTGTTGTTGTTGATGTTGGTGTTGCTGTTGTTGCAGCGTCGCTTGCTGCGCCACAAACGGTTGCTGCTGTTGTTGCTGCAGCTGTTGCTGTTGCCTGCTATGTGCACGATAGGCCAACTCCTGTGCCTCGTTCAACGAACGCCGATCCCAGCCACCGCCGCCACCTCCACCGCCCGAGGACCAACCACCTCCGCCGCCGCCGCCACCGCCCGACGACCAGCCAGAGCTACCGCCCGACGACTTGCCCGACATGAGCTTCTTCAGACCAATGATGCCGGCGAGCAGCAGCGCTATTTTGGAGATGATCAAGGCCTTGCCCGCCAATATATATAGCATGCCCATGGCAATTGGTATCATGCCCATCATTTTCATGGCCATGCCCATCATCATCATGCCCATCATTTTCTTCATTTTGCCGCGACCTGTAAGAAAGTTGCAAATGTTGCTTAGGTTAGTCAAAAGGTGTTGGTGTCTGCTTTGAAGGTGTTGTTGCTGTTGCTGTTGTTGGTCTGCGTTGTTTTCCCGCTGGGCGCCTGGTGAAAGTGCCCGCTCAATTACAACAACGAGACCAGCAACAACAATAATAACAACATCACGGTACTGTGAGAATATTTTGCAAATAATTTTTTTTTTGTTTTGTACCTTGACGCTTGGTATTTCGTTACTTTATGACAACGTCCCCGTATCTAGATTTGCATGAGTGTGTGTGTGTGTTGCTTTCATTTTATTATGCACATATGTACTTATTACCGTCACTTTGTACTTATATCCGAGCTATGCTGCATGCTGATGATGTCTGCATTAGGGACTGTGACGATTTCTCTTCGTGAAAGAAAATGCAACCCACAAGCCGATGGCGTTGGCTCACTGGAGGCGTGACTAACTGAATATCCTGCCTGTCATAATAACAAGCTGATCACACACACACACACACACACACACATACATATATATGTTGTATGTATATGCAACTGATGCGCTGCAACAATTAGCCAAATGTGGCAAGTGGCAGGTGGCGAAAAGCGGTTTGGAAAGTGTTTTGCACGCCTAGACGACGATTGCATTTGGCTAATGCACTGCGCTTATTTGGTAATAATGAACAACAACAACAGCGTATCGATAAAAGATTTTGATAAATGCGTTGTGATTTGAAAGTAAGAAAAAAACAAAACCAAAATATAAAAAAAAACCGGAGTAATGCCGTGAAAGTAACTTCACTTTTTATTGCATTTATTTGCGCGCTGCGTGAAAATGTTGCCGCTCATCCACGCGTCCAAACGCTGTAAGTGGTTGTGTCAAATTTGAAATTGATTGAAGTTTTAGGCTCGGGAAATGCCAGACAGCCACTTTCGTTACAGCCAGTCGCCGCTCGAAATGGTCAAGAAAATGGTCAACGAAATGGTCAAACAAAATGTACAAGTCATGACATCAAAGCGTGTCTGCGGCTTTGGCTTTACCCCACAGGAAAAAAAAAACACAAAAGCCCCACAACAGAAAGAACACGAAATTCTTGTATGACAGTTTTGGCTGTTTTTCGTTTGTTGTGCTGTTTGTTAAGGTTTCTGGGTCATTCCTTAACCAACCACATGAGCTTGAACGAACGGGTTTCGTTCGGGCGCAATGAGCCGTTGAAAACAATTGCGCATTTTCACAAGACAATTTTCCACGCCATCTCATATTATTTCAGTATGTACATACATTGCGTCTAGTGAGTATATACCTATAGAATACATAGAATATATATGTACATAGTCATGATAAGGTAACAACAATGTGCAGTTGCTGGCTTTGTTGTTGTAGGCAGAATGGGAACACGACAGGCAGTCGAACGTTGTGTGTTGCTGTTGCTCGCGACTGTGGATACCGACAGTTTTTCAATTAAAAACAATGCACACATGTAATCTAATGCATTGTCATGTGGCGATGCTGAGCTGATGGCGTCAATGGCGATGGGGACTCATGCTCTCGGTTTTAAACGCAGGCAGCCCATGTTGCCGCTGATCCAATTAGGCACGCCTAGCGAAGCCAAGAAATTATGTCACTGTTACGGCTTGATTCTCGCGCAATGAATACATTTAGCGGTGCTTGATGCCAGCTAATGCTGTGCGGCTAAACAGTGGTCCCGAAACGATTTGCAACGCTCCACATTTTCTCAATTTTGGGTGGACAAGAAAATAAAATTGATCGGTTTTTGAAAGAAAGCATTCATTCAGCATTTCCTAAGTATGACAACTGAATCTTCAGTATATTGTTGCAATAAAGTAGTTGCTTGCTTTGAAGTATTGTTGAAATGAATTTTTTTGTAGATTGGTTTATTCGATTAAATAATTTTTGAGCTTCTGTTGAATCTAAAGTTTACTCGATTTATTAATTTCATTTTATTTATTCTTAAGTTCAGTTGCTCACGATTTTTTCATAAGATCTTGAAACTTTTTTTATAAATATTTGGAAAACAAATTTTGAAAAGTGCTTTTTTAACAAGGTCAAGGCGATAACTTTTTATTGCTGCTTCCAATTTCTATTTACTTTATCGCAACAAAATAACTGACAATAATTGCTCTAAATAAGCAAATTAAAATATTTTTATTAGAGAAAGCATTTATTTTATATTCGTTAAATGTTTATGATGAATAAACAAATTTTAATAGATTTCTTCACATCAAATGTACAAAAAAGTAAATGTTGTCTAAACCCTAATTTTTTTATATGTATATATATTTAAATATTGGTTTGGCCCGGGATTTGCAGAGACGCTGCGTTTTGTATATATAATTATATAACATGTTCTCCAAACTGAAGAATCAAGCGAATAAACTATGAGTTCATAACCCGAAGACCATAGCCAATTAAAAGATTACAAGATTATACGATAGAAGGAAGACAATTAGGAGTAGTTATAGGAGCTTATGGGAGGCAGGAGGAAATTTTATGAAGATGGTATTCCGTAAAAAAGGTTCCTACTAGAAGTAGATTTTGAAAAAAAAAATTGTAACTTTTTTTGTTGCTTTAAAAATTATAGCCCCTTTTTAATGCAATCACTGTATCAATTCCTAAAATGATTCACTTTGAATTAATTTTGTAAATGGCTCCATAGTTTCTCCTTGGGAACCACTGTGCATAGTGGCACTGGGAAGAACATTATTTAAAGTCAAGCTTTGAGCAATTAACTCAATTATCTCACACACTTGACACACACACACTTCAGCACTGGCTGGAGCTGTTGCTTACCTTCTTCTAGGCCGCGTCCAAGCTCATCGGAAGTCAATTTGGGAAAGCTGACCTGCAGCGAGTGACCGTTAAAGAAGTGGCTCAGACGCTCGACAAGCATGTCTGTGAGCTGGGCGTCGCGATCGCTGCCAGAACGTGGCAGCGCGGACTCCAATTCGTTCTCGCTGTAGGATGAGGGGCGTACGGCAGACGCCTCGCCGCCGGATGCGGCGCCCGGCAAGCGGACCAACTTAATGCCATCGGCAACGGTTATGGCATCGATGGGCGCAATGCGATCGATGAACGAGATGGCCTTCTTTTTGAGGCATGGCACGAAACCGCCTTCGGCACGGGTGCACTCATCGTATACCCGTAAAATGGTTCGAGCGCCGGCACTTTGGGCATTGCTCGGCAAATTGCTTAAGTGCTCCGTGCCCGCTTCACAGCTGGCCAACAGGCTGTACAGCAGGCAAATGATGAACGATAAGGAGGCGCGTCTATGGCGTTGTTTGAATGTCATTTTGAGGCGATCACACGCACGCACACACAATGAATGCTAAAAGCACACACACACACGCACACACGACAGTTGCGGTTTTGTCCTTGCGGGGATTACGTTTCGGTGTCTTTTATGTTATTAACTTTTGATCGCTCGCCTCTAGGTATATCTCTTGCTCGAGCACAGCACACTTCACAGCTAGTTCAAATCAAACTGATGCCCAGACTTGGCGCGCTTTATTCTTTTATAGACCTTTCTTTGCCTCCTCATAGTCGGCAACATCGTCGTCGTCGTCGTCATCGTCATCGTCAGCGTCGTTTTCTTGGTCTCGTTCGTCGGACTTAATCACAATTTGATTTTCTTTAGCGTCGTCATCGTCTGCAACTTCGGCAACTCGCTCACTCGCTCGCTCCCTCTTCAAGCTTAGCATTTGTTTTCTTTCTTATGGTGTTGCTGCTGATGTTGTTGTTGTTGTGGCTTTTTAAGCTTTTGTTTTTGTTTCGAGTGCTGCCTGCTGACAATGCCATGGTCGTTACGCTAGTAATGTTGCTGGGTTTATTGTTGCTATGGCTGTTGCTGGGAATATGTTGTTGGCAACAGTTGCTGGCGGTAAGCGTCAATGTTGCCATAAACTTGATGATCATTACTTTGCCGCTTCGCCCGAACTTCAATGAACCGTGCATGCATGCAGAGAAGACGAACTTGTTTTCCCAGCCTCGCTTTCGTTGAAGAGCCATGGCCAAAAACAATTTTTTCTTTGTTGCTTCTTTTACTAACATTTGTGGCTAGCTCCTAACAATAATGTTAGCTTTTTCATTTTGGATGTTTTTACAACTCCAGCCGACTGGCTGCCGTTTTGCCGTTGACACTTTAATTTCAATTGGCATTCGCAATTTTCGCATTTTCGCTAACTAACCTGCTATTAAGTTTGCCATTCGCAGCAGCTTCAGCTGGCTGCCGCCTATAGGCAAGTTTATAGCAATTGCCAATTTCTGCTGTTATTATAGTATATTGGCCATAAGGAAAGTCATTTCTGCCGGCATTTTTCGCACACGCCAATCCGTCGGTTTTATTATGCAAATTTCAAATGGGGTTTTAGCCTTTGAGGGTGGCATTTTTGTACTCTTTGATTTATTCCTTTGCATTGCTAAGCAGCTTATTTCCAGAACCCACACCCAACAACACCCCACCCCAGCCCACAGACCGTCAATCATAGCAGATGCAATTCGCCCTGTAACTAAAGCAATTTCACTATGCATATTAGGGTCATTTGTGCGGTGTGCCCGGTGTGAAATGGGCAGCGATATGCATCTAAGTGCGCCATTTGAGGCACAACCTGGTCGCAGCCAAGGAGTAGTCCATGCCGTTGCTGCCTCACTTACAAATTGCAGTTGAGTGCTGATGTCGATAGCTGTGGGCGACGTTTAAGACTACAGTTTTAAACGGAACTGGTTCGTATTGGTATTGTAAATCTATTTATCTATTTATGTTGTGAATTTTTTCAGTATACTGGAAAGTGTCGAGTATTACAAAAAGCAGAAAATTCTATCCGGCTAAATGCTTATTCTTTTACATACAACACAAGAAAAGAAAATTGATAGGTTTTTGAAAGTAAGCATTCATTCAGCATTTCCCAAGTATGGCAACTGAATCTTCAGTATATTGTTTCAATAAAGCAGTTGCTTGCTTTGAAGTATTGTTGTGTGGATTCAAGTTTTCGTATTGAAATGAATTTTAGGTTAATTCGATTAAATAATTTTTGAGCTTCTGTTGAATTTAAAGTTTACTCGATTTATTAATTTAATTTTATTTATTTATTTATTCTTAAGTTCAGTTGCTCACGATTTTTTCATAAGTTCTTGAAACTTTTTTTAAAAATATTTGGAAAACAAATTTTGAAAAGTGCTTTTTTAACATGAAAAACAAAATGGTCAAGACGATAACTTTTTATTGCTGCTAATAAATTAGCATAAACGGCTAATTTAATCAATTTTACTCTAATCTTCCTCAAATAACAGTATCAGCTTTTTGTTAATTTTGGAAATTTTACTTCCTTAATTTTATTTATCTTTATTGAATTATATTATACACAAATTTCACAAAAAACTAAAACAAATATTGTTTTTATATAAGCCTAGTCAATTCTGTATTCTATTTTATAAAGTACATACTCATACATATATTTTGTAAATTGTTTACTCGTATACATATATGTATGCTGTATCTTCAAATAACTTTAGCTTTTTTGACAATTGGTTAAATGAACTAATTTTATAAATTTTGTTAAGCCCTCTTTACTTGTATATGTTTATTATAATAATTAGAAATAATAATCTACTACAAATTTTTGGTGTGGTTTAGTTTGGAATTTGTATTCTGTTTTAATTTATATTTTAAAATTAAAGGCACTCCGCCACTCTTCGGCTCGATCTTCTGTTGGTCTATGGTTATTGGCTACTCAAAATTATATTGTCGGTCATTAAATAGATTATACTTCCTATGTATCTATATATATCTATGTATCTATTAATAATTACGATGTTCTTAATTTATGGCTAATTCGTTCTGGGTGGTATAGAACGGAAAGAAACCACTGCAGCAAGCTTGTTAGGTACCTTCCTGTCGATCGAACTATCGCCAGACTCAAGAGGAGAATACCGGCAGATTAGGTTAAGGTAACATAAAGTCCTTTTGAATGTTTTTCTCCATCTGTCTTCAATAGTTGCACACTTAAACTTTGTGTAAATATAACTGGGGTATCTGTCCAAAGATGCAGTCCAATTCTCAGAAAAAATAATAAAAGCAGAAAAATACAAAAATGTGAAATAATTGTGTTCGTCATTCGAAATTCCTAATTCATCAACAAATGTGTTCTCAATAATGGTTTTTTAAATGTTGCATCCTGTTATTATAATCATATTGTTTATAAAATTCAAAAGTAACAGAGAACGCCAAAACTGTGTCTATTATCTGCATTAGAAAAATGATTGAAATTTCATTATAATTGCAAGTTTTACTTTTTACCTAAATATATTTAAAAACTTTTTTTCAAAACAGTGAACTACGTGAGTTTTACGAGTGGTAGAATTATTTCAACTCATTCATTCACATGCCACACAACTCTAGTGCCAATGTCGTGTCGTTCCCGTCGCCGTCGTTGTTGGCCACGTTTGGTTATGTGGCGACAAACCCAATAGCTGCCAAAGCTGGTGTTTTATGCATGAGCCAGTCCAGGCGGCTATATCTGAGCTGATGTATCTGCGAGATACATACATACAAGTACAAGCATGCATACATAGATACCTGTGTACGAGTAACTGTGTGTAGAACGTGCCTGGGCACATGCGATGCGAAAGGAAAGCCACGACCGGGCCTCTTGTACTACATAATTGTGGTTGAATTTCTTGCTTCTTTGTTGCTTGTTGCTGTTGCCAGCTTTTCACCAAATTTTAAATGAAAACACATTTTCTGGATTCTTGGCGAGGCTGCGCCTTACTTTCGCCGTCGCCATCGTCATCGCCGTGGCCGTTGTTGCCACTTGACCAGTGGAAGTGTTGCAGGTGGCTGGCGAAGCACAAAGGGATTGGATACCACTGCCACTTTGTGCCATTGCCATGCCGCAAGCCGTGGCACTTTTCAACTAATAAAGCTTCAAAATTATTCAACTTGAAATTTATGCCCTCCACTGCACAGATTTTGACTAATGGCCACATCAGCTACTTGTTGGTGTTGGCATTGCCGTTGCCGTTGCTGTTACTGTTGCTCTTGGCCTTTCCGCTATCAGTATTTTGCCTTTGCCGCACATCAAATGCCTCCCTAAACAGCGGCACTTTGGTTAATGATTTTCCTTTTCGGGCTACTAATTTTGATTTTCGGCAAAATGGCTTTGCCAGTTTTTCACGCTACTTTCACTGCATTCGGTGGAAAGGTGTCGAAGGTGGCGAAGTGGTCGCCATTGATCCGCCATCATGACTGGACTGAGAGTTATTTGTTTTATGTTCGAAACATTATGCGGTAGCGTTATTATAGCAATATATTTTGAGAGCCTAACGACCGTCCTTTTGTCTCGTTTACAGAATGATATCAAGCTCAGTTCGTGAATTAAAGTCAATGAACTCAAATGAAAATTGCGGTGTAGGGCAGTTCAACAAATGCTCAACTACTATATGTAAGTAGTCGGGAAATTCAATCAAATTAATGAGAAATTTGTGCTAGCGTCCTATAAAAGCGGATATACTTATGCTACAATTATTACGCTCTACTGACATGTTCGTAAATTGCTTCTTACTGTCGGTTTTACAGTTTTTTACTTCCGATTTATTGTTTTTCCTTTAAAACTTGATGGCTATTTGAAATATATTGTGCGTTTAGCAGCTGCCTGCTTAAAGAAAAGCTTATCGGTAGCTTTTAAAGAGATTACTAAGTTTGGTGTGCGGGCTCTCCGTAGGCATGTTGTATTGTTTTCGCTGAAGAATTCTCACTCAAAAGCGTCAATTATTTAAGCATTTTATGTTATCAATAAACAATAAACTCTGTAGCCGAAAAGTGGGAGGTTTTACAAACTAAACAGCTTATTTATTTACCTGGAAAAAAGCATAGTAACAGACTAGACAGTTGCATGAATGGCAAAAAAACCAAATTCGAATGCACAATGCTCAAAATGAGTTGAGTGAATTAGAATGCAAGGTAAACTGATATGAATGAATGAGTATACACACGTACAACTCAGTCGAAATGTAGAAAAACGAATTGAATGGAGTGAGAATACGAAAAACTTAGACGTAACTCTCGAATGATTCGAATGACAAACCGGTAAAGAAGAAAGAAAAACTGTAGTCAATAAAATGGTTGATATTTATATTTTCATTTGTATTTATTTTACTTATTACTAACATAACAACATATTTATTTTATATTCGAATTTAAAAACATTATTTGGTTAATTTTGTCAGGATTGTTGGCTAATAGACAACATTTTTCTGTTATTAAATTTATAGCGTTTGAAAATGTGCGTTCCGAAGCCACGCTACTGGCTGGAATGCAAAATATTTTGCAGCTTGTTTTGGGCAACAGAGGAACTCCCTCCTTTATATAATGAATTGTACAGGACAAATACGACGCTTTTAAATAATTATCTGTCCATATATCACTGGTGATGGCATATCGAAAGGCAATTTCGGCCTTTATCGGACCAAAGTGAGCAGATTTTACAATAACTAGAGTAACTCGAATAAATCGAATGTTTTCCGATACGTCAATTGTTTCTTTCCGTTTTACGTTTCATTTATTCTAACTCATTTCAATGAATGTCGTATGCTATGAGACACAAGACGCAGTCATATTCATACAAATTCATTTCATTTTCATTGTCCCACTTACTCAACTCAATTCGATTCCATTCCTTTCAACGTACCTTATGAGTGAAGCCATGCAGCTGTCTATAACAGATCCCATTTTACAAGTATAAATACAAATACATGTCTGTCTGTCCATTTGTTTTTCCTTGAGCTTAATATGGGAGGGGAAATATTTATAGTAAATATAATTATTTAAACCGACATCGATGAGTAATATCTGCAAGATATTTTTATATAATTAAAACCTTTTCCCTTTCCTTTTGATTCCTGTCATTGCACATTTTTCTCTGATACTTTTTTTCTATGTGCAAATGATAGTAAGATCGAAAACGCGATTCCTTGACTCCTCGATCTGTTGAAATGTTTACCACAAATTGATGCCTGCTTAGGTAAAAAAATAATAAATCAGCGAAAACAGCTAAACTGTAAGTATGCTTATCGTTCCTATATAGCTTTCATACGATTTTTCCTAATCATACTATGTGCTACAGTGGCACAAGATATTCTGAGAATTCATTCAAAACGGTGCTTTATAGCCTGCATGAGAAAAATAAGTTCAAATATCACAAAATATTAGATAAAGTTGTTTGTTTATTTCTGTAACAAAAATTAAAAACAACAAATGTTAACAAAAATTGGTACATAAATTTCATGCAATTGGTAAGCTATATCATAAAGTATGTTTGTTGCTGTCAGAGTAATGATTGATTGAACGGTTGAAGCGTAAAGGAAATGAAGGTGGTGGGATATAAGAGAGGGGCTTTAAGTTTACTGTACATTTTTATAGTCAATAAAATGGCAATGGATCCGCAAAACCCCAAACAACTTATTTTTAAAATAAAAATACACAAATATTGATGGCAGAAACATCCTTTGCTCCATTTCGGCTTTAATTTCTTCAAAGATCTAAATTGTAGTGACAATTCAATGTCTGCGCATTACCCTACCAACTGAAGTCATTGACAAGTTACAAGTCAGTTTATCCACAAATATTTGCACATTATTATTGTGATGTAGTTAAAGTCTACCCTCTAGCAAATGCAAAGTCATGTCCATGACCACCGGCTTTAGAATGAACAAGCGAAAAACTAATGCTGAACTCTTGAAACTCGGACAGATAAAGCGCCGAGTCATTTATTCATTCATACAACTCATGTCCATCATCACAGGTTCGAATCAAACTGTCAAAATGTCTGTCTATCGGAGCAAACATTGCGCATAGTTGGGCCTCATAGTATGTTCCCTGACCCGGGTGGCTGCCTTTGTTGTATTATGCAGGCGTATATGTTCGCATCCGTACGAGATTATACGCCTCAGCATGCATATCCATGTCGCTGGTACATATCTCTTTCAGATCTGAAGCGCATGTGAAACTATTGCGATTGTTTGTGCTACGTGCCTCCAAAGTGCCACACGCAGCAGTCAACAACCAACAGCCAACCAGCTGGCTACAACCACATTTCCATTGGCAAGGCCAAACAACAGTGGCAGCTTGTAGGGGCAGTGGCAGTGGCAGCTTCATTGTTGCCGTTTCCCGCCTTCCGCTTACACTTTTCACTGGTTTTTAAGCTTCGAGCTTTACCAATGGCTGGCCAAACACATAGATATTTGAACTTTTTTTCTGTGCCATTTTGTGGTTGAGTACAAGAAGCGAAGCCACAACAGCAGCAACTTCTTTGTGGTAACGTTGAAAATTAAAACAAGAATTACGCTTTAATAAACAGCAACTGAAATAACAATAACGATAGCTTAGCTAAAGCACTTCACCACTGCATTCGGTATTTAGTCTTTGTGGCTTATGAATGTGTGTGAAATTTTTCATTTTACGACAGAGAAAGTAAAAAAAACCAACAACAACAAATAAAAGACTTTTTGTATACTACACACACCATAGTTATGTTCTGAATTCTTTCGACTTTGCTTTATTGGTTTGGCTTGGCTTCGCTTTGTAGTGGCAAAAACCTGTGCTCAGGTCAAAGTTTGCCAGCAGCTTGAATTGCTGGCCAATTAACAACATTTTGCGCGCACTTTCGGTTTTTCAGAACATGGAAAAGTTTTATGGTCAACTTTCTATTTCATGCAGGGCCATAGCGGGCGGTGCCACCCCAACCACTAAGTATACTACATGCTTGCCATTATGAAAACAAAGAGAAGTATACATATACATATGAGTGGTATATGTGTGTGGAAAACCAAAACAAAGAAAGTGAAAACTTTTATTTTAGGTGGTGCTGGCCTTGTCGCTTGCAATTGACATTAATCAAAGCGACGAGTGCAACTTGCCGCAAGCCAAGCTCACAAATCTCACGCTAATTAGCTTTTATGTGTGACCGACTGACAGGTAAAAACCGATGCCACGATAAGATCGTGTGACAGTTGGCGCGCTTTCAACGCCACCGAACGGAAATCGCAAGCCAGGCTCAAAATGTGTCAAACATACGAGCGCAATCAGCGACCGCAACAACACCAACCAACAAAACTCTAATAAGGTTATTGGTAGGGTTGTAAAAAAACATGGATTTTTTTGCCATCGTCGATGATTTGATAAAGAGTATTCGATATTTTCCGATGTTTTTTTGAACGCCAAAAACATCGGAACATTAGTTTTAAAAGAATTTTAAAAGCAACTGGAATCTTGTTGGAGACTTAAGGGTTAAAGCTAAATATAAATTTCACAATGCCGAAAAATAAACAAATCGATGCATCGATGGTTTGTCGCGATTTATCGAACTACAATCGATGGCAGTTTAAGATCGATTTTGTGAATCATCGATGCTTTGTACTTTATTTACAACCCTGCAAAAAAATCGGTTATCGAATCAATATAAACGAATGCGACCAAGGGTAGCGACGATCAATCTGATTGATGGAATTTCAATGCCCAAACGCAATAATACTGGTAGTGCATTCCAGGTCAAGTTGGTTAGACCAAATATTAAGTATATATTAAAGTTAAAATTTAAAAAATATGCAAATTTGTAAATAATTTAATTTAATCTAAATATAAATAAATGGCGCTTCCGGCTTGCGTTGCTGCGCCACTGAATTGAATTTGAATCTTTCCGCCGTCACATCTTTCCCAATACGTCCTTCGCTTTTTATGGCTTCGAATACGTTCTTGATTGAGTACCCACTGTCGTCCACCTTTCGTCCACTTTCGTCTGTACAAAGGACGCCCCCTGTTGGTGTTTCTTGGATCAGACTTTTTTTTTTTTTAATATTGTCACAAAATTTGGACAATATCGGTCGAGCGGTTTCGGAGTCTATACGGAACATACATATATATATATATTTTATTTCTAGAGAAGATACATATTTATATTGTAAACAAAGTGGCAGTTACTAGTTCTCTCATTTGTACTAATGACCTAGTTCGTAGATCTAGCTCGTAAGATGAACTACGATAACTGCGTTATCGATATCAATCAATTACTATATACTCAGTTGTGCTTGTGTGGTCGCCAGAGGCGGACAGCAAACGGAGTTCATTTAGAAATACCTAACAGTGAATGTATAAATGTATATATTAAACAACATTGTAAAATAAGCACACAATTAATAAACTATATTACACTATATTACAATTCAGATGTGGGGTGAAGCCACAGCCCTCTGTTAAGTTAATGAAGTATACCGAAATTATAAAGCTAAATAAAGAAGAACTGTGCGCGTTGTTAACCGAAAGAGGTGTACGCTTAGATAACGGCGCCTCAATTTACCAACTGCGCACAGCGGTAAAAACAGTGATGGATGAGGAGAGGGAAAGAGCACAAACTGAATGCAAGACCCAGAATTTGGTAGAAATTACCTCTGTACAGCCGCATGAAATTAATATCGAGTCAAATCACGTTGAAGGCGAAATCAATGCAGACACAATTATGAAGAAATGTGGCGCCATGGTGGTATGCGACGACGCTTCGAAATTTTGCAACGCCGTTCAAACCGTGGAGGCGGCTGAGAAGCGTGATTTTGAAGAAGACAAAATGGCGGAGTTGCAGCGTGTTGAAGTAGGAATGAGTCACCTTTCTGTGGAATCAAGAGCGTCCAGTGTTGCTGAAATTTATCCTAGCCGTATCGATATAAAAGACTTGGAAGCGGTCGTGCAAGCATTCTCTGGCGATGATAATTTGCCCGTTCGTTTATGGATTGTCGAATTTGAGACTGCTTGTAGCATGCTTGGAGTGCCAGATGAACGTTTGTGGATCTATGCAAAGCGTTTATTGAGTGGATCGGCAAAGGAATATTTCCTCCATCAAGGAGCCATACCGTGGGGCGATTTACGTAAGCAGCTTATGGATGTATTTGGGGAGGAGTGCACGCGCTTGGAGATTGGCGAGCAGTTAAAAAAATGCAAGCAAGCTAAAGACGAATCGGCTTTTCATTATTTTATAAGAATGTGCAGTATTGCGCGTCAAGCCGATTTGGAAGATTGCGACGTCATCAAACACATTGTGTGTGGCTTGCGCGATGGAGTTGGTATTACGTCATCGTTGTTCTTTTGTCAGACCCTAAAAGAGCTACGTCAGAAAGTGATCCAGCTCGACAAAATCCGGCCGTTGGTGTTATTGAACGAAGCAGGCTCTACGAATAAAGCTACAGTACGTGAAGTCCGCTGCTACAACTGCCGTCAGATGGGTCACATATCGACTGAGTGTAAGAAGCCGAAACGTCCAATCGATGGATGTTTCACTTGCGGGGAGAGAGGCCATCAGCATCGGGACTGCCCGAAACGCCGTATGAAAGATACAGTTGCCGCTACTGCAGAGCTGGTAAAGGAAGAAGACGATGTGGCAGCCATACAATTAGTGAGTTTTTGTTTGTTAAGTAGTAAATGTGGATGCACAGATTTTACAACAATTCTTTCTCTTTTTGATACTGGCAGCCCAGTTAGTTTTATATATAAATCCGTAGTACCAAATGATTTTGTATTGGAAAATCCATTTATGAAGAAATATCATGGACTGGGAGGAACCCAACTTTCTGTTTGCGGACAAGTGAAATCCCGTATTAAATTTAATGGAAAATATTATGAAATTTTACTTTTAGTTATAGATAATGGTAGACTACCAACACAGTTAGTGCTTGGGAGAGATGCCCTCAGTATCCTCCAAGTTCGATTAATACAAAACAATGTTAAAGCTGTAAATCAGAATGTCATTAAATGTGAATATAAATCCTTCTGTGCATCCCTGTTTAAGAACATATCTAAAAATAATGTAGCCGGTAACAATTCAGTAATTAAGTTTGTAAAAAACAGTTATTTGTATAACCGTTGGTTGTTGGAGCTGCATGATGTATGTGCCGGAGTGGCGGCAATAGTGGACGAAAAGGTTGATGTTGGCTGCGAATTTGGTTTGAATAGAGCTGAACAGTGTAGAGATCTTATTTATAATAATTATATAAATTCTTGGAGTAATACAATGATTGAACCGATAGGAAAAATAAGCATCCGATTAACTAATAGTACCCCTTTTAGCTTTGGTCCGAGACGACTTTCATTTTATGAGAAGGGCAAAGTTTCAGAAATAATTGAGGAATTAATGGCATTAGGAGTAATTAGACCAAGTAATTCACCGTATGCATCTCCAATTGTACTCGTTAAAAAGAAATCCGGTGAAATACGTATGTGCGTTGATTATAGATGCTTAAATAAGCTAACAGTTCGTGATAATTTTCCTCTGCCGTTAATTGAGGACTGCCTAGAATATTTGGAAGGAAAGACATACTTTTCGGTGATTGACCTCAAAAGCGGATTTCACCAAATAGGAGTAAATGAAGATTCAATTAAGTATACAGCCTTTGTAACTCCACAGGGACAGTATGAGTATCTCAGAATGCCGTTTGGATTAAAAAATGGCCCCTCAGTTTTTCAAAGATTCATTTCAAACACTTTAAATGATTTAGTTCGAAACAATAAAATTGTGGTCTTTATGGATGATATTGTAGTGGCAACAACAAGTATAGCAGAACACTTTGATACACTGACTAAATTGCTTCGCCGGTTGAGTGAAAACAGATTAGAAATTAACTTTAAAAAGAGTAAATTTTTTAGGAAAACCATCGACTACTTAGGCTATAGTGTGAGCAGAAGTGGAGTCTTGCCGAACGACACCCATATACAAGCAATAAAAAATTATCCAATACCAACAAATGTACGAGAGTTGCACTCTTGTATAGGGTTGTTTTCATACTTTCGCCGTTTCGTCCAATCATTTGCAAGTATTTGTAAACCGCTAGTAGAATTATTAAAAAATAAGGGACCTTTTCCAATGCAGGGAACAGAAATGGCAGCATTTGAAAAATTAAAGGCTCTTTTGTCCACACCGCCAGTTCTTGCAATTTACAGCCCGAAACGGGAAACTGAACTTCATACGGATGCAAGTTCAAGAGGCTTTGGTGCGATATTGTTTCAGAAGCAGGATGATAATAGAATGCACCCAGTATATTTCTATTCTCTTAAGGCATCTGCAGATGAAGCACGAATGACCAGTTTTAAGCTTGAAACCTTAGCAATAATATATGCATTAAGGCGTTTCCGAGTTTATCTTGAACATAGACCGTTTAAAATTGTAACAGATTGTAACGCACTGGCCTGTACCCTAGAAAAAAAGGAGGTGAACCCACAAATAGGCCGATGGGTACTCGAATTACAAAACTACCCGATAGAATGTCTAGTACATCGGCCAGGAAGTAGTATGCCACATGTTGATGCCTTGAGTAGGCAGACTCAGTTTATTATAAACGATGATGAAAGATTGCCAGTAGAACCGTGTGTTTTGCCAAGTCAGGTAGATACCAAGCCTGGCCCCATGAATATTAGTAAGTCAGGTGTAGAGCTATTAAATGTTATTCAAAGTTTTGGAAGACATGTTGTCGAGCAGATAGAGGAAGGTAACCCGCTTGATAACCGGATAGAAAACCCGTTGGATAAACCGTTAGATAGGCCGGGGCAAAGTTTCGCGGTCAGTAATAGTGAAGAGAAGAATCCGTTAGAAAATAGCAATAATGAAATCGTTCATGGTACATATCCGTTAAAATGCGTAGATTCAGAGTGTGTTGGTGTAGTCGGTGCGAGTTCAGAGGATATGGATCTATTATTACAAACTGAGCAGATGAGAGACAAGGCTATTAATGAGTTAAGAGAAGAGTTAGAGAATCACCCTGTTGATAATTATGCATTAATAGATGGAGCAGTTTATCGTGTAAACGCAAGTAATGAATTAGCGCTTTACGTTCCGTTAAGTATGCAGGAGCAGTTAATTAGAATGAGCCATGAGAAACTTGGACATTTAGCCGCCGAAAAATGCTATAACGATATGAAATCAAAGTACTGGTTCCCATTAATGAGGAGTAAAATAGAAGAGTTTGTAAGGAATTGTTTACGATGTATATTGCATTCTGTCCCGAAGACAGTAAACAACCGAACACTACACAGTATCCCAAAAGCACCTGTCCCTTTCGATACGATACATATAGACCATTTAGGCCCACTTCCTAGTATTAAATCAAAGCAAAAACACTTGTTGGTGGTGATAGACGCATTTACCAAATTCGTAAAATTATATCCAGTAAACTCGACGAGTACAAAGGAAGTTAACGCTTGTTTGAAAAAATACTTCGACTATTACAGTCGCCCCCGCCGAATAATTTCAGACCGCGGAAGTTGTTTCACGTCAATGGCTTTTACTGAGTTTTTGTCTGAACGAAATATTGGACATATTAAGGTAGCAACTGCTGCTCCTCAAGCAAATGGGCAGGTAGAACGGGTAAACCGTGTAATAACGCCTATGTTGGGAAAGTTGTCAAATCCGTTAAATCAAGAAGATTGGTACAAGTTAGTTAATAGGGTGGAATTCGCCATTAACAATTCGGTTCATAGCAGTACAAATAAAACCCCTAGTTTACTTTTATTCGGAGTTAATCAGAGAGGCGCCATGATAGATGATTTATCGGAATATCTAGAGGAAAAATTTACTACAAATAATCAAAATAATCTCGAAGAAATAAGACAAGAAGCTAGTCGAAAAATAACGCAGTCACAGGTTAGGAACGAAAAAATTAGTGTATTGAAAAACAAGCCGCCGTTAAGTTATAAGTGTGGAGATTACGTAGCCATTCGTAACGTTGATGTAACTACAGGCACATGCAAAAAGTTCGCTCCAAAGTACCGCGGGCCATATAAGATAAGCCGTGTTTTTGAAAATGATAGATATGAAGTTACTGATATAGATAATTGTCAATTAACACAAATACCATATAAAGGAATTTTAGAACCGGCCAGATTAAAACCTTGGACACAAATATTAAATAAGACAATTTCTGTATGTTTTTGACCGAGATCGAGGTCGATCTGTTTGTCAGGTTGGCCGAGTTGTAAACAAAGTGGCAGTTACTAGTTCTCTCATTTGTACTAATGACCTAGTTCGTAGATCTAGCTCGTAAGATGAACTACGATAACTGCGTTATCGATATCAATCAATTACTATATACTCAGTTGTGCTTGTGTGGTCGCCAGAGGCGGACAGCAAACGGAGTTCATTTAGAAATACCTAACAGTGAATGTATAAATGTATATATTAAACAACATTGTAAAATAAGCACACAATTAATAAACTATATTACACTATATTACAATATACTATTTTTTGGCAGCTTAAACCAAATATGTTTATCTTTTCGATATGGGTTGGTCTTATTACTTCAGACCTTCATTGTTTACATTTTTAATCCTAAAGCTGTATTAAAATCAGTTACTTTTTAGCTTACATTTTTTGATATTTTCATCTGCGTTTTGAAATTATTGCAATAAATTTTAAATTTGTACTATGTTCAAAATGTTTGCAAAAGATTTGCTTTTATAAATAAAAAGGAGATTACCATATATACCATATGTGTAATGTTAATATCTTTAATATTACAGATAATGGCTTAAGTTATTTTTTGACTTATCAGAATCTTCCATTTACTAAACTAGTGTAGTAAGTGTTTCCAAAGTCACCTCTAACAATACAGAAGCGCTTTATTCTGCACTTAACAAAGCCAAAGTTAACTACAATTTTAAAATCATTTCAACCCTTTTTGATTTGCAAAGTTAGTTGCATAACAAATCACTCGTTTGTAATGTTGAATTCCTTTATTATTTTCCACAAACAATGTGCACAAAAGAAAATCGGACACTGCCCCGTCTCTTGGATTGTTGTCTAGTGTAACTTTTAACCACAAAACTAAACGAGCGCAAAATAAATGCTTGGTTGTTTTTCATTAATTTTTTTGCGCTCATTTTGTTTTGCTAACTTTTGGCAATTACTTATGTAGCTGGTCTTTCGCTTCTAGCAGCTGCCATCAACATAATCAGTAACGAAATTTTTGAGAAAAATATCTAAGCATTTTTCCAGCTGGCGTTTACTTATTAGCGGGCAAGTGTGTCTTTGCGTCGCGCGTCGAAGCATATTTATTTTTATTATTGCCATTTGGAATTATTAATGGTATGCCAGGAGATTTTCGCTTTCTTTTGGCACCAGCGGCGGCTGCTGACACGCATCAGTGAAATCTGCTGTGTCTCTTTGTGGCCACAAATCATGGGATACGCACTCTCGCCTATGACTTGACCAATGAACCGCCACGCCCCTTGCCATGACGTCTTCGTCATCTGCAGATACGTGCAATTATATTCTTAAGTGCCCATATACGAGTACTCGTACTACTGCCAGCCAGAAAGTGCGTAAGCCATGAATTTTTAATGGCCCCTCAAACTGTGCCATCTGTGCTAATTAAAACGATAAAATCACAGAAAGTAACAATTAAAGCGCAACTTAATGCCCTGAACTTTATTGTGTGCTTGTGTGTTTGTTTGTTTATTGAAAAGTGAATCTGAAACTATTGTCATTGCTCCGAGCTGTGGTGGTGGGAAAATTCGAAAACTTTAAACAGATAAAGTTTGTTGGCGCCGAGCAACAGGATGTCAGTATTTCCAGTGCTGCGATCTAATGACAGGCAGCGCAATTGCAGCTTCGAAAATTCGAAATTGCAACTTACTAGATGTGTACATTTTATATTTACAAAAGTATTTGGCATCTCAACTTATCTGTGCGCCAAGTGTTTGCCTTCCAGGCACTCTGCCCGATCAGACAATCATCTAGCCAAGCTGGCTGGCTGGCTGGCTGGCTGGCTGGCTGGCTGG